CGAGGGGGTACTTTTGAGAATTCTAGTCTTTTGAGAAAGTACCATCAACGGATGCATGCCATCCGAGGGGGTACTTTTGAGAATTCTAGTCTTTTGAGAAAGTACCATCAACGGATGCATGCCATCCGAGGGGGTACTTTTGAGAATTCTAGTCTTTTGAGAAAGTACCATCAACGGATGCATGCCATCCGAGGGGGTACTTTTGAGAATTCTAGTCTTTTGAGAAAGTACCATCAACGGATGCATGCCATCCGAGGGGGTACTTTTGAGAATTCTAGTCTTTTGAGAAAGTACCATCAACGGATGCATGCCATCCGAGGGGGTACTTTTGAGAATTCTAGTCTTTTGAGAAAGTACCATCAACGGATGCATGCCATCCGAGGGGGTACTTTTGAGAATTCTAGTCTTTTGAGAAAGTACCATCAACGGATGCATGCCATCCGAGGGGGTACTCTTGAGAATTCTAGTCTTTTGAGAAAGTACCATCAACGGATGCATGCCATCCGAGGGGGTACTTTTGAGAATTCTAGTCTTTTGAGAAAGTACCATCAACGGATGCATGCCATCCGAGGGGGTAATTTTGAGAATTCTAGTCTTTTGAGAAAGTACCATCAACGGATGCATGCCATCCGAGGGGGTACTTTTGAGAATTCTAGTCTTTTGAGAAAGTACCATCAACGGATGCATGCCATCCGAGGGGGTACTTTTGAGAATTCTAGTCTTTTGAGAAAGTACCATCAACGGATGCATGCCATCCGAGGGGGTACTTTTGAGAATTCTAGTCTTTTGAGAAAGTACCATCAACGGATGCATGCCATCCGAGGGGGTACTTTTGAGAATTCTAGTCTTTTGAGAAAGTACCATCAACGGATGCATGCCATCCGAGGGGGTACTCTTGAGAATTCTAGTCTTTTGAGAAAGTACCATCAACGGATTCATGCCATCCGAGGGGGTACTCTTGAGAATTCTAGTCTTTTGAGAAAGTACCATCAACGGATGCATGCCATCCGAGGGGGTACTCTTGAGAATTCTAGTCTTTTGAGAAAGTACCATCAACGGATGCATGCCATCCGAGGGGGTACTCTTGAGAATTCTAGTCTTTTGAGAAAGTACCATCAACGGATGCATGCCATCCGAGGGGGTACTTTTGAGAATTCTAGTCTTTTGAGAAAGTACCATCAACGGATGCATGCCATCCGAGGGGGTAATTTTGAGAATTCTAGTCTTTTGAGAAAGTACCATCAACGGATGCATGCCATCCGAGGGGGTACTTTTGAGAATTCTAGTCTTTTGAGAAAGTACCATCAACGGATGCATGCCATCCGAGGGGGTACTTTTGAGAATTCTAGTATTTTGAGAAAGTACCATCAACGGATGCATGCCATCCGAGGGGGTACTTTTGAGAATTCTAGTCTTTTGAGAAAGTACCATCAACGGATGCATGCCATCCGAGGGGGTACTTTTGAGAATTCTAGTCTTTTGAGAAAGTACCATCAACGGATGCATGCCATCCGAGGGGGTACTTTTGAGAATTCTAGTCTTTTGAGAAAGTACCATCAACGGATGCATGCCATCCGAGGGGGTACTTTTGAGAATTCTAGTCTTTTGAGAAAGTACCATCAACGGATGCATGCCATCCGAGGGGGTACTCTTGAGAATTCTAGTCTTTTGAGAAAGTACCATCAACGGATGCATGCCATCCGAGGGGGTACTTTTGAGAATTCTAGTCTTTTGAGAAAGTACCATCAACGGATGCATGCCATCCGAGGGGGTACTTTTGAGAATTCTAGTCTTTTGAGAAAGTACCATCAACGGATGCATGCCATCCGAGGGGGTACTCTTGAGAATTCTAGTCTTTTGAGAAAGTACCATCAACGGATTCATGCCATCCGAGGGGGTACTCTTGAGAATTCTAGTCTTTTGAGAAAGTACCATCAACGGATGCATGCCATCCGAGGGGGTACTCTTGAGAATTCTAGTCTTTTGAGAAAGTACCATCAACGGATGCATGCCATCCGAGGGGGTACTCTTGAGAATTCTAGTCTTTTGAGAAAGTACCATCAACGGATGCATGCCATCCGAGGGGGTACTTTTGAGAATTCTAGTCTTTTGAGAAAGTACCATCAACGGATGCATGCCATCCGAGGGGGTAATTTTGAGAATTCTAGTCTTTTGAGAAAGTACCATCAACGGATGCATGCCATCCGAGGGGGTACTTTTGAGAATTCTAGTCTTTTGAGAAAGTACCATCAACGGATGCATGCCATCCGAGGGGGTACTTTTGAGAATTCTAGTATTTTGAGAAAGTACCATCAACGGATGCATGCCATCCGAGGGGGTACTTTTGAGAATTCTAGTCTTTTGAGAAAGTACCATCAACGGATGCATGCCATCCGAGGGGGTACTTTTGAGAATTCTAGTCTTTTGAGAAAGTACCATCAACGGATGCATGCCATCCGAGGGGGTACTCTTGAGAATTCTAGTCTTTTGAGAAAGTACCATCAACGGATGCATGCCATCCGAGGGGGTACTTTTGAGAATTCTAGTCTTTTGAGAAAGTACCATCAACGGATGCATGCCATCCGAGGGGGTACTTTTGAGAATTCTAGTCTTTTGAGAAAGTACCATCAACGGATGCATGCCATCCGAGGGGGTACTTTTGAGAATTCTAGTCTTTTGAGAAAGTACCATCAACGGATGCATGCCATCCGAGGGGGTACTTTTGAGAATTCTAGTCTTTTGAGAAAGTACCATCAACGGATGCATGCCATCCGAGGGGGTACTTTTGAGAATTCTAGTCTTTTGAGAAAGTACCATCAACGGATGCATGCCATCCGAGGGGGTACTCTTGAGAATTCTAGTCTTTTGAGAAAGTACCATCAACGGATGCATGCCATCCGAGGGGGTACTTTTGAGAATTCTAGTCTTTTGAGAAAGTACCATCAACGGATGCATGCCATCCGAGGGGGTACTTTTGAGAATTCTAGTCTTTTGAGAAAGTACCATCAACGGATGCATGCCATCCGAGGGGGTACTCTTGAGAATTCTAGTCTTTTGAGAAAGTACCATCAACGGATTCATGCCATCCGAGGGGGTACTCTTGAGAATTCTAGTCTTTTGAGAAAGTACCATCAACGGATGCATGCCATCCGAGGGGGTACTCTTGAGAATTCTAGTCTTTTGAGAAAGTACCATCAACGGATGCATGCCATCCGAGGGGGTACTCTTGAGAATTCTAGTCTTTTGAGAAAGTACCATCAACGGATGCATGCCATCCGAGGGGGTACTTTTGAGAATTCTAGTCTTTTGAGAAAGTACCATCAACGGATGCATGCCATCCGAGGGGGTAATTTTGAGAATTCTAGTCTTTTGAGAAAGTACCATCAACGGATGCATGCCATCCGAGGGGGTACTTTTGAGAATTCTAGTCTTTTGAGAAAGTACCATCAACGGATGCATGCCATCCGAGGGGGTACTTTTGAGAATTCTAGTATTTTGAGAAAGTACCATCAACGGATGCATGCCATCCGAGGGGGTACTTTTGAGAATTCTAGTCTTTTGAGAAAGTACCATCAACGGATGCATGCCATCCGAGGGGGTACTTTTGAGAATTCTAGTCTTTTGAGAAAGTACCATCAACGGATGCATGCCATCCGAGGGGGTACTCTTGAGAATTCTAGTCTTTTGAGAAAGTACCATCAACGGATGCATGCCATCCGAGGGGGTACTTTTGAGAATTCTAGTCTTTTGAGAAAGTACCATCAACGGATGCATGCCATCCGAGGGGGTACTTTTGAGAATTCTAGTCTTTTGAGAAAGTACCATCAACGGATGCATGCCATCCGAGGGGGTACTTTTGAGAATTCTAGTCTTTTGAGAAAGTACCATCAACGGATGCATGCCATCCGAGGGGGTACTTTTGAGAATTCTAGTCTTTTGAGAAAGTACCATCAACGGATGCATGCCATCCGAGGGGGTACTTTTGAGAATTCTAGTCTTTTGAGAAAGTACCATCAACGGATGCATGCCATCCGAGGGGGTACTTTTGAGAATTCTAGTCTTTTGAGAAAGTACCATCAACGGATGCATGCCATCCGAGGGAGTAATTTTGAGAATTCTAGTCTTTTGAGAAAGTACCATCAACGGATGCATGCCATCCGAGGGGGTACTTTTGAGAATTCTAGTCTTTTGAGAAAGTACCATCAACGGATGCATGCCATCCGAGGGGGTACTCTTGAGAATTCTAGTCTTTTGAGAAAGTACCATCAACGGATGCATGCCATCCGAGGGGGTACTCTTGAGAATTCTAGTCTTTTGAGAAAGTACCATCAACGGATGCATGCCATCCGAGGGGGTACTCTTGAGAATTCTAGTCTTTTGAGAAAGTACCATCAACGGATGCATGCCATCCGAGGGGGTACTTTTGAGAATTCTAGTCTTTTGAGAAAGTACCATCAACGGATGCATGCCATCCGAGGGGGTACTTTTGAGAATTCTAGTCTTTTGAGAAAGTACCATCAACGGATTCATGCCATCCGAGGGGGTACTTTTGAGAATTCTAGTCTTTTGAGAAAGTACCATCAACGGATTCATGCCATCCGAGGGGGTTTTAGTTTTTCTGCCCGGAGGAGGCAGGTCGACGGTGGGTCGTCGGTCGATTTCCCTGGCAAAATCGATCGTCGACCCTCTTTCCGTTGAGGTATTCCCGTGAAAAACCACCACCCTCTCCTTTCCAAAACGCTCTTCCACTGCTTCCAGCAGCCCCTCGAACCCCACCATCTAGGTGTATTTTGAGGCGCCTCAAAATGCAGCCCCTCGAACCCCACCATCTTCCTAGTGTTCCCCGGGCGCCTCGCCACCACCACCCAGGTAGCACAGCAGCCCGCGCGTCGGACCACGGGCCAGGGGAGTGGGGGCGGAGGCGCCAGGGGGAGAGAGTGGGCTCGGTGGTTGGGGTTACAGCACTGAAACCGATCTACACCGCACTGGACCGTACGTACCTTCCAGGATGGGTATAGAGCCATTGAAAATCACCACCCTCTCCTTCCCAAAAAACCCTTCCACTGCTTCCAGCAGCCCTTCAAACCCCACCATCTTCCTTGTATTCCCCGGCCGCCTTGCCATCACCACCACCCAGTTTGATGGCAGCACAGCAGCCCGCGCATCGGAAAACGGGCCGGGGGAGTGCGAGCGGAGGCGCCAGGGGGAGGAGAAGAGAGGCAGGCCGTCGGGGGGGAGGAGATAGTTGAGGCGCAGGTGGCGCCACAGACTGGGGCTGGGCTTGCCGCAACCTTGGTACACGGGCTGTGGGGGGAGGGGAGGTGGGGTGGGTGGGGAGGGAAGAGAACAGAAGAAGGGGAGGAGGAAGTTGAGGCCCAGATGGTGCCAGAGGCTGGGGCTGGGCTTGCCACAGCCTTGGTACACGGGCTGTGGGGGGTGGAGGGATGGGGGGAGATGAAGGCAGGTGAGAGTGCAGGCAGCACGTATGCCTTGGGGCATCAAGCCGGGGCTGGGCTTGCCACAGCCTTGGTACACGGGCTGTGGGGAAGAAGGGGGGTAAAGGGTGAATAGAGGATTGGGGAGGATGTTGGGGTGGGAGGAGGTAGTTGAGGTGGAGGTGGCACTGCTTGGAGCAGCTTGTGTCCTCCACTACACCACAATGAGGTTCATCTCACATGCACTTCTACTGTAAGAGGTGAGTGACCAACACAGCACCACGCAGCACCACAGAGAACCGACCTGGTAGACAACATCGGCATGGATGAGCTTGGAGCGGTGTGTGTCCTCCACCACTATCAGGTTCATCTGCGTCGTCTCGAGTAAGTGACCAGCACTCTGGCTCTTACTGCTTCCTGCACTGAGCACTGAGTGACCAGCACCGCACAGCACCCACCTGGTAGACAACATCGGCGTGAATGAGCTTGGAGCGGTGTGTGTCCTCCACCACTATCAGGTTCATCTGAGTCGTCTCCAGCCCCACCAGGTGCTTCACCATCTCGTTGTAGAAGGCCAGCTTGTAACGAGTACAACCAGGGCAGGAGAGGCAGGCAGGACAGGCAGGCAGGCACAGAAAAGAGAAGGGAAGAGAGATTTGAAATAGATGAACGAATAGCCTAGCTGTTTTGTTCATCAAGTGTGTGTCAGGTACACAAAAGCATCTCCCTTGGTTGGTTGCGTAAGTGCATCCCCGTTTTGGCCGCCTTCCATTACAAAGGCGTGTGAATCACCGACAAAAATGTGGGTGCTTGGTGAGCTGAGTAAGAAGGTTATTTGAGTCGACCGTGTTTTTCTAGTCGACTGAAAATAGTGTTGGGTGGGCTGAGTAAGAATGGCCACTATTGGCAAGTGCGTGATTGAGGGAAGACGATATGGGGAAGGAACGGAGCAAGGAGGAAAAGTAGGAAGCGGAGGACTGGAATGGGATCAGAAGCGGGGGGGAGAGGAGGGAGTGGGAGAGGGGGGAAGAACTCCACGAGTGAGGGGGGCGAATGAAGCCCACCCATGTACCTACCTGGCTGCCAATGAGTGTCGGTGTTGGCTTGCAGCAGGTCTGCTAGCATGAGGAACTGGGGGAAGAGCTGAGGGAAGGAGGACGGATGAAGCCCACATGTGCATACCTGGCAGCCACTCGGCTCAGGTATCCCTGGCTGCCAATGAGCGAAGCCCATGGACCCCCCAGCTACCTGGCTGCGGCGGAAGAGGATGGGGATGTCGGGGTTGGCGCGCAGCAGGTCGGCTAGGACGAGGAACTGGGGGAAGAACTCCACGAGGGAGTGGTAGAAGGCCACTGCGTGGTTGTATGCGAGGGACACCACCCGGTGCAGCTTCATCACCTGGGACTCCCCCGCCTTGTAGTCAAACTGGTGACGGGTTTGGGTGGGGGTGGGGGTGGTCGCGGTGGAACGGGGTGGGAAGGAAGCGGGGTTGTGGCTCGAACTGGGGGAAGAACTGAGAGCAGGTCGGCTAGGACGAGGAACTGGGGGAAGAACTCGACGAGGGAGTGGTAGAATGCGACTGCGTGGTTGTACGCTAGGGACACCACCCGGTGCAGCTTCATCACCTGGGACTCCCCCGCCTTGTAGTCAAACTGGTGACGGGTTTGGGTGGGGGTGGGGTTGGTCGCGGTGGAACGGGGTGGGAAGGAAGCGGGGTTGTGGCTCGAACTGGGGGAAGAACTGAGAGCAGGTCGGCTAGGACGAGGAACTGGGGGAAGAACTCCACGAGGGAGTGGTAGAATGCCACTGCGTGGTTGTATGCGAGGGACACCACCCGGTGCAGCTTCACCACCTGGGACTCCCCCGCCTTGTAGTCAAACTGGTGACGGTCGGGGAGAAAGTGAAGGGGGTTTTGGAGGGGTAAGATGCGGTGGCGTGTGGTTGTATGCGAGGGACACCACCCGGTGCAGCTTCACCACCTGGGACTCCCCCGCCTTGTAGTCAAACTGAACAAGTGGGGGGCGGGTTGGGTTGGGGTGGGGAAGAGTGAGGGCAGAAGGCCAGAGAGGTTGAGGAACTGGGGGAAAGGATGGGAACGTTTGGGTTGGCTCGCAGAAGGTCAGAGAGGTTGAGCAACTGGGGGAAGAACTCCAGGAGGGAGTGGTAGAAGGCCACTGCGGCGTGGTTGTATACGAGAGATACCACCACCCGGTGTAGTTTCATTCAACACCTGCGTTTCCCTGCCTAAAGTAAAACTGGTGGGAATTAGGGTGGAGATGCGGATGGGGTTTGGTTTGGGAAAGGAGAAGGGGGTTTTGCAGAGGTGAAAGAGAGGGCAAGTGTATGCAGGAAGTCCACACCTTGCACGCTTGCTAGAGGAGAGGGAGGCAAGTGTGTTTGAGGCACACTCCCTCTCCTCCCACCCACTTTCTTACCCTCTCCCCATTCCTATCCGGATTTCTGAATCAACTATGGAAGAACACACATTTCTCCAAAACCAAGACCTGCCAAAAATCCCCCCATTCCTCCCTTTCACCGCAGTTTCCTTCCACACAATCTCCTCCCCCACCATATATCCCCCTCACATCCCCCCTCCCCCCATCCCCAGAGCACCTCGAGGTCTCTGAAGCACCCGTGGCGGTCGAAGTGGAGGGAGCGGTTGAAGACGAGCCCATTCACTTTGATGAACATGCGGCGCATCTCAAACAGCTGAAACACCATCGCATCGTGCCAGTGGTGGTCCGTGTTGTGCGTGCACCGTGGATCCGCCCTGAGATTCCCCCATTCCCCCACACCCCCCCCCCCCCCATTTACCCCCCCATTTCCCCCCCCCCCCCCCGCCCCATTCCCCCCACGCACATCGAGGTCTCTGAAGCACCCGTGGCGGTCGAAGTGGAGGGAGCGGTTGAACACGAGCCCATTCACGTTGATGAACATGCCGCGCAGCTCAAACAGCTGAAACACCATCGCATCGTGCCAGTGGTGATCTGTCTTGTGAGTGCACCGAGGATCCGCCCCTAGCTCCCCGGACTCGTTCGCGTGCGACAGTTTCGGGCAGTTTTCCGGCTGGTCCGGGCGGTAGTAAATTTCGTCGGCGAATTCCGGGCGGAAGCAGGCGCGCACGGTCGGGAAGGATTCGCCGCAGGAGCCGAAGTTCGGGCAGGGTTCGCCCATGCAGCGAAGTTTCACTTGCCCGGGGTAGTTGGTTTTGTGGTAGTTGAGAAACGTGTCGTTTAGGTCGGTGCGTTTTATGCTCTTATCGAGTGGTACTGTAGCGAGTATGCCCTCTCGAGATGATGTTACAGAGGCCACGCTGCAGGGAGCGGGGAAAAGGAAGGAAAGAGGGGAACGGGGAGAGGGGCGAGAGGTAAGGGCGGAGGCTGGCCGGTCAGGGGCAGAGGGCAAGAGAAAGAGGCGCAGGGGGAAGGGAGAAAGGTTGATACAGGCGAGAGGAAAAGGGCTTGACGTGAAATGATGGTAGAACAGCAAGCAGAGGCACTGAGCAAGCCGGGTGACATCCACTCCACATGCAACCCACCCACCCACTTCAGCAGAGCAGAATACATCTTTGAGATATCTTAAAAGGGAGTACAATCTCTCTCTGCTACTACTACCACCTCGACTCTCTCCGTTGTGACTCAAACCACCCCTCTCCCAATGATTCGCACCTTCCACCGCACCCCACCCACACCCATCGCTGTCGTCTCACCTGCTGCCTGCTGCCATGCGCTTGGCAATGATAGCCTCTGCTCTGCCTGCTCCACCTGCTGTGGTAATGCCTGAACTAGGAGCATAGTGTTAGGGGGAGGAACGGACCAATCATTCTCCCATTTTCATCGTACTGCACCACACCCACTCCCACCGCACCTACTCCCACCACTATCGACTCACCTGCTGCCTGCTGCCATGCGCTTGGCAACGATAGCCTCTGCCTGCTCCACCTGCTGCAGCAACGTCTGAGCCATGATCATGGCTCTGGGAGGAGGAAGGGACCAACCACTCTCCCCCCTCCATTGTACTGCACCGCACCCACTCCCACCGTTCTTGTCTCACCTGCTGCCTGTTGCCATGCGCTTGGCAATGATAGACTCTGCCTGCTCCACCTGCTGCAGTAATGCCTGCGCCATGATCATGGCTCTGGGAGGAGAGTGGGAAGGGAACAACGAAGGAGCATATGAGACCTCGTGCCTCCCAAAACACTGCTCCACCCCAAAGGGCAATCAGCGCCTTTGCCTGCCCCACCTGCTGCAGCAATGCCTGAGCCATGATCATGGCTCTAAGGGAGGAAAGGAAGGGAACAATGGGAAGCAACACCTTATGAGCTGTGGGTGTATATTCACCCGAAAGGGCAATCAGCGCCTCCCTGCCTGCTCCACCTGCTGCAGCAGTGCCTGTGCGGGAAGAGAGCGAAAGAGAGGGATCAATTCAACCAGAAGAGGAGGTGGGTGGGTGTGGTGCTCTGTCTGTAACTTCTCCGCGAAGGGCAAGAGCAGGTGGACCTGGCTGAGAGTGGTGTTGGGCTGGGCCGCGCCGCCAAAGCCTCCACCACCCCCACCCCACCCCACGCTCCTCTACAGGCTTTCCACCCCACGCTCCTCAACAAAGCGACTCCAAATACAGATTTTTTAAGCGCCTAAAAAATTGACTCAAATGCCATCTCAACTCACCGCTCCGACAGGGTGGCGTTGGCCTGGGCAGCCATGGCCTCTACCATTCCCACGCTCCCCTCCACCTCGTCCACCAGCTGGCTCTCTACTCGTCTCACAAGTCGCCTCTCAAGAGTCAAGTCAACTCACCGCTCTGACAGGGTGGCGTTGGGCTGGGCTGACATGGCCTCCACCAGCCCCACGCTCCTCTCCACCTCATCCACCAACTGGCACTGTCCACCAACCACCAAAAGTCCGTTTCAAAGGTCGCCCCAAAGCCGTCTTTGAAAAGTCAACTCACCGCTCCGACAGGGTGGCGTTGGGCTGGGCTGCCATGGCCTCTACCAGCCCCACGCCCCTCTCCACCTCATCCACTAGATCCGCCTCCGCTCCCTCTGCTATTGTCAACCTGGGATCATTAGGAAGGAGGTAGGGGGGGTCGGTTGAATGCATGTATCAGTGCCTCCCCCTCACCCAACCAGTCCCACGCTCCTCTCCACCTCGTCCACTAGATCCGCCTCCGCTCCCTCTGCTATGGCCAACCTGGACGAGTTGGGGGAGGGGGAAAAGAGGGAAAGAGGGGGAGTTGGGTCAGTGATGGGTCAACCGCATCACTCACCCACAATATCACTTACCCGCATTCACCCTCCTCTCATCCCCCTTGCTCTTCTCCCGCAAACTCCAGTTTCTCCCCCTCCCCCCTTCACTTCCCCTCTCACTTCCCTTCACCCTTCCTTTTCCTCCCCCCCTTCTTCCACCCCTTTCCGTGCCACTCACACACCTCTGGTCCATCTCTGCTACTCAGTCTAGCAGAGGTATCTCTCCTCTCCTCTCATCCCTCTCCCTTCCCTTCATCCCTCAGCATCACTCACTCACCCCTTCTCCATCTGCTCGCTAAGAGCATTCCCCACCCTTCCTCTCCCCCTTCCCTTCCCATTCACCCCTCCCTTCGCTCTGCCCCTCACTCACCCCTTCGCCATCTGCTCGCTAAGAGCATTCCCCACCCTTCCTCTCCCCCTTCCCTTCCCATTCACCCCTCCCTTCCCTCTGCTCCTCACTCACCCCTTCGCCATCTGCTCGCTAAGAGCATTCCCCACCCTTCCTCTCCCCCTTCCCTTCCCATTCACCCCTCCCTTCCCTCTGCCCCTCACTCACCCCTTCGCCATCTGCTCGCTAAGAGCATTCCCCACCCTTCCTCTCCCCGTTCCCTTCCCATTCACCCCTCCCTTCCCTCTGCCCCTCACTCACCCCTTCGCCATCTGCTCGCTAAGAGCATTCCCCACCCTTCCTCTCCCCCTTCCCTTCCCATTCACCCCTCCCTTCCCTCTGCCCCTCACTCACCCCTTCGCCATCTGCACGCTAAGAGCATTCCCCACCCTTCCTCTCCCCCTTCCCTTCCCATTCACCCCTCCCTTCCCTCTGCCCCTCACTCACCCCTTCGCCATCTGCTCGCAAAGAGCATTCCCCATCTCCGTTGGTCCGTCCAGCAGCGCCGCGTCTTCCGCGTCCGGCCCCTTGGGCACCACCTCCGCCTCCGTACCCTCTGCCCTCCCTTCCCCCGTTCCTTCCCTTTCCCCTCCCCCTTCCCTCTGCCCCTCACTCACCCCTTCGCCATCTGCTCGCTAAGAGCATTCCCCATCTCCGTTAACGCGTCCAGCAGAACCGCGTCTTCTGCGTCGGGCCCCTTGGGCACCACCTCCGCGCCCTCAATCATCTCCGGCACTATGATTGGCGCATCGTCCGCTCCTGCAGCCGCTGCCACGTCAGCACCAGGAGAGCAGAGCCACGTCACGTCAGCCAGGTCAGCGGAGAAATTTGAGCAAGGGTTGTGCAGCCAAGGCATACCTTACAAGTTACAGCACATGTTTATGTTACATGACATGACACGGATATTGAATTTTGCAAGTGTGTTTTAAGTGGACTTTGAAAACACACTTGGTCAGTCTGCGCTGCACCGCTGGTGGTAGGGACTTCTTTTTGAGACGACTGAGAAGGTTTTGAGAAGTCTCAGAACTTCCTTGAGTTTCCATTAAACGAGCAGATGTGAACCAAGCTGCAATCAGCTATGCCAGCGCGCACGCCCTACAAGCCTCTGACTGATGGACTTATAAGAAGTTCCGAAACACGCTGCAGCGCGGGTCAAGGCCCCCTTGAGTTCTCCCGTTTCACAATAAGACGCGAACCAAGCTGGTAATCATCCAATGCCGACGCTCGCGTGGAGGTCAATTCAAAGGATTAAAAAAAGGCGACTTCCGAGGCTGCTTAAAAGGCGGATCAAGCTGGCAGTTAACGAATGCCAGCCTTACGAACACGCAACGGTCAGTGATTGCTCTTACGCGCCAGACGAACGGCGACGATGCAGCATAGGAGAGCGAGCGGGACCGCGGAGAAGCGCGCCGACCCCATCGCGGAAGGATGTCCCGCACTACGTTATCAGGCTTCCAAACCGGCTCAAACGCCGGCGTGACGTTGCGACACTAACGGCTGACGGTCAGCAGCAGGCTATGCTCTTAGGGCGCCTAAATGACGGTCAGAAGCAGGGTATGCACGGCCGCATCGTCAGTAGAAGCATAAGGGCCTGGTATTGCGAATGGGGAAGTGTCGTACGCATGTCACGCGCTCGGTAATCGTGCTGTGCTGATCATAACTTGTGGTCAGTGCTCATTTGTCCTCTGAATGCTCTCGCAAGCATCACTTGCCACTCCAACCATAACTGCGGCGGGACTCGTTACAGGAAGTTTCAAGGTGATAAAAGGTGCACCGCAAATGAATCATAAGATTTTGTGTAACGGAACAGTTTTTGCTTTCTGAACAAGGCAAAACAGCTTGTTTCATCCTAAACATACACACGATATATGTACAGCTACTATGACCTATTTAATCAAATATAAGCGCATCCACGATAATGGCACCCCGAGAATGCATGAAATATAGACCCAAGTGATGGGTGGCATCCTGTGGCCAAGGAAAGCACAGCAATTCACAAAAGGAAAGAGACAAGGGCGTGCACTGCATTAGGCTTGTGAGAGCAAGATAATTTTACACTGAAACGCAATCGATTCGTATCAGACATGCACTGAAAAGAGTTAATGATGATATAAGTGGATGAAAGAAAATGACATTTTGTAACAATGGCCCATTGTCACTGTAGCATTACCACTGTACCTGAGGATGTGATGCAGTAGCGCTCCTCCCAAGGCTCTCAGCAACAGGCCGGGGCAGGTTGTATGTGGAGCAGGCAGGAGCAACCACCACAATTTCCTTCAGCTGCTGCCCGAACAGCCCGTGGTTTCGGGCAGACAGTGCGGTCAGCACGAAATCCATGACACAAATGTCGGTGCATATGCCAACCACAATCATCTGCAATGTAGGTAGGAGATGAGGAGGGCAAGTATTTTTGAGCTAATATTGTGAAAGGAGAAGTGAAGAGTCTGGAAAAAAGCAGGATGAGAGAAAGAACCAGACGGGAACTAGGGTAAAGGCAGCAAAAATAAAAACAACGAGTAGGGAGGGAGGAGTGGAGAATAGGACGAGTGAGCGAGGAAGGGAGGGGAAAGAGTGTACATGTTCCAGTTAATGCTTGAATGCCCATTGCGTCACAATAATTGTGTTCCTTTTGACAGTTCTCAAAAGCAACACCAACGTAGAGGAGTGGGCGGAGGAGGACGAGTGCGGAAAAAGGGGAGAGAAAATAAGTGTACATGTTCCAGTTGATGCTTGATTGCCCATTTTGTCACAATGTTTGTCCCATCTGGTTGTATGCCGCCCACAAACCCGTTGATACAGTCCTTCTCCATTAGAGACACACTGCCTCTAGTCAAACGCCCATCAGCATCTGGGGCTGCTGCAGCGGTTTCTCCTCCCCTGCTTGCTTCCCTCTCAAGCCACGCCAAGGCTGCAAGGGAGACACGGGCAAGCAGGGAACAAGACAGGCTAAGAACGGAACCTGATTGAGAAAAGACTGAATGAACTCTGAGGTGCATTCAAGGTTGCCAGCCACATTGGACATGCATTAGCAGGAAACCTAGGATCAGAATGAAAAGCAGAGGGTCGATTGCAGGAAGAGAAAAAGAGGGAAGAGACAGCAAATAGGAATCAGGGTAAAGGAGACAACAACAACATATAGTCACACATCATATAGTCACTCACGCTCTACCTGCTTCCCTTCCCATGTGCCTCGCATGCACTGAGGGGGGTATGGAGCCCCTGGTCTGTCCACTGAGTGGTCAACACAATATTCACCCTTCATAAAGTCACTCACCACAGTCACCTCATCATACAGTTACCCACACGCTACAGTCACAACTCACCCTCTACCAGCTTCGCCTCCCTGCACTGGGGAGGGTACGGTGGCTCTGGCTTGTGAGAGGTTCCATTAGTCACCTCTGATAGTCGCGTACTATACAGTCACACACCCTACATTCACTCACCCTCTACCAGCTTCTCTTCCCCCGTGCCTCGCACGCAGTGAGGGGGGTACGGTGGCTCTGGTTTGTCTGCCTCGTGGGTGTCCAGAAAGGCCAAAATAGGCATGCCACGTGTCAGCATGTCACTGGCCAGCGAGGATGTACGAGACACCATGCTCTCTATCTGCTCGTCTCTTACTGGCGGAGCCTTTAATAAGAGATGGTGGGGTGGGAAAGGAGGCGTGATTGTAAAGGGGGCAGGAGGGGGAGGGGGAAGGGGAGAGGGAGATGGAAAGGGAAGGGAATTGGGTGAGAGGGATAGAAAGAAAACGGATTCGGCATTGGCTAAAAAGGTTGAGAAAGAAAAAGGGGCAGAGTGTAACGTTGCAATGGACACGGAATTTAGAGGATTGTGAAAAACTAACACCAATACAACTCATTCGGCTTCTCCCTCCCACTCCGGCCACTCACCACACTCCCCCCCAATCCGCCTCTTCTTCCGCAAAATCACCAATTTCCCCGCGCCTTTTCTTTCCCCTCCGCCCACTCACCAGATTCCCCGCGTCCCTCCTTCCCCCTCCGCCCAAGTTACCAGATTCCCCGCGCCAGGAGTGCAGAAGCCGTTGACCTCATCCACTATCACCAACCCCAAGCGTGAATCCCGTGCAATGCGGAACTCCCCGGATTCTACGGGGAGGTGCCGACGTAGCGCTGACATCAGCATGGCTTCGTCAGGAACCGACATCTTGAGGCGCACGAGGGTGGGACTTTCAAGTTACGATATTCCGTTACTAACTACAGGTTCATAAGAAAACTATGCTATTACTGTTCCAGTGGAAGGAAGGAAGATTATAAAAGGGAGGTATCGTATCTGGAATCAGAAATGCGGTATGAGCGCATCAGTCGTCAAGGTATTTCAAGAAGATTTGAAGGTGCTGCTCCTCAATTACTTGCGACAAAAAACAAACGGACCAACTCGTGAAGTTACTTCGTACTCGGCTTCGTGTCGTTGCCTCGCCTTATTGACGACGAATCGCAGACGGGTAACAAGTGGTCCATCGCAACCGGAATCCCTGCAAACAATTTTGGCGAAATCTTGATTGGTTCGTTTATGATCCTCTCAACAAGCTGTTCCAATAAGCGGAGGGTCACAACGGCGTGTATCAGCAAATGTCTTGAGACAGTTGCATTGGAAGACACCAAGGGTTCGCAGATGACCCTACAAAAACACCCCCTCGCAACAGGTCCTTTCCTGCATGTCTGTGTGGCTTGCTGCTACTATTTGATATCGATGCGATCGTGCCAACATGCTGTAGTGTCTTCTTTGTCCCGAAGTTGCGACATTTGCTGCTCTTCTATGATAGGTTCGCACGACATTGTCTTCCCTGCCAGTGTCTCCTAAAACCTTTTCGACTGCGAGGATCTTCTCACGCGTCATGCGGCCAGTCTCTCTAGCCGAAATGAGTCGTCTGCTTGCCGTTTCACCAGGCGGTCGACTGCTCGGATTGGACGTAGGGACCGCGCTCGTAGGCGTAGCCGTGTCCGACGCAGCGAATCGAGTGGCATCACCTCTGCCTGTCGCCAATAGGCGATGGCAGAGGAGGAAGGAGCAAAGCGATCCTGGCGTCAGCAGCAGCAGTGGTGTTGGGATTGATCATGGATCCATGGGCGGTGGTGACAACGGAGATGTGGGGGAGGCAAGAAACGGCGATGGAGCTGCTTTTGAGGAGAGTGGCAATTTTGCAGGCAGCAGTGTGCAGAAATCTTCCAGCACTTTCAGCAGCAACAGCAACCACTATAGTAGACCCTCCAACAATCATCTTTCTTCAATGTCTCAGAACCTCCGAAACCGACCTGTTTCTCTGAGATATCTTGACTCCATTGCTCGCTCTCGCTCCGTTGTTGGCATGGTTGTGGGGTTTCCCTTAGAGCTGTTTGGAGGGCGCTCCAACATGACCCCTGTGATTCAGAACTTTCTGTCCGGGGACATTGCCAGACACTGCCCCTACCTCCATAGCGTTCCACACTTGCTGTGGGATGAGAGGCTTTCTACTGCATCCGCAACAGGGGTTCTTCAGGGGCTTGGTTTGCACGCGGTGTTGGAGAAGCAGCTTACAGACAAGATCTCTGCAGTGTATATTTTGCAAGGCTGTTTGGATGCTATGGCTCACCAGCAGAGGGCAGAGCACACTGCAAAGTGAAATCTTGTACTCTTGTACTCTTTCTTCGGTGTGCTTTCAACCCCGAGTTTTCTTTGGTGTATGTATGCTTGACATTTAATTGAAGCTACATGGATGTTCATAAATACCGGTATGTCAATGGCTGAGGGTCAAACCAGCTTGAACCTCGTGCCTTCTTGCTTCCTACTCGTGCCTACTTGATTCCTACTCTTGCCTTCCTGACAACCTAGTACTCCTCCTCGCTGAAGTCCTGGAAATCATCCTCGCTCTCCTCCTCACTCTCGTCGCTGTCATCACTGAGCACCACAGCCTGCTTCTTCTGAGCCCCACGAGAGAGATGGGTACGACGTTCTGCTGCTGCAGCTGCCGGCTGACCACTTTTCTTGCTGAAGGGGGATGGGCGCATTCTTTGCACCTTGCTCACAGGCTCCTTCACTGGAGACTTGATATCCACCTCATCAAAGTACTCAAACTGATCACCAAGAGCTGGTTCCTCCACCTGCAAAAACCAGAATCATGAAACATCAGCCATGGTCGATCAGCCAAAAAAAACAATCAACGACAAAAGCAAACTAAACAAACACCAACCTTCTCCTCCTTTTTATTGGCGGCAGGACTTTTTGTGGCAGCCTTCTGGGCAGGTTCTTTCTTGGAAGCTGCCGGCTTCACTTCTGCCGTAGACTCTGAAAGGAGAACCACAACGAGCGTCAGCATGCTCGAAATGCATCTGGCCCATGAATGGGCTAGGTAGAATCTTTGTACTGACCTCCCCCTGAGGTTTTTTCTTGGAGCGACATCTTTGCTGCCATGGCTGCAAGCCTCTCCCTGAGGCTTCCTCCTCCGAAGTCCTCATCGCTGTCATAATCCTGGAAACATGGAGAGCAAGGCAAGGGTTAGCTTGGGTCCCACAGCAGACGCCCTGGAATGATGAGGAAAGGGGGGTGATATGCAGGTGTAGTATGTGACATGGGGCTGCATGTGAAACCACGGCTGCATGTGATACAGGGGTGCATGGGATACAGGGGTGAGTGTCTTACAGGGATTCATATCATGCAGGGCTGAATGAGATACAGAGCTTCATGTCATACACGGCTAATGAAAACTATGAAACACAGCTGCACGTGATACAGGGCCAAACAGAATAGAGCGGGAGACGTACAGATCCAGCCGGAGTTTTTGGCTTGGGAGCAGGTTTCGCCTTGGGAGCAGGTTTGACCGCCTCCGGTTTTGGTGCCTGAAAATAGTAAGAGTATCACAAAAGCAGTCAGCAAACTTCATCATTGAGGGTACAGGTATCCATCGATTAGAGGAAACATCTGTGCCTCATGCTTCCCTCACATAGGCCCTTGATCAGCACACCTGAACAAGAGGCACAGGCGCCTGTGGTTTTGCTGTAGCAGCCACAACTGTCGGCTTTGCTGCAGCAGAAGCAGCCCCCTTTCCTCGCTTAACCTTGGCATCTGCAGGACAAGCAACGTGAGTGAGGATGTTAGAATATGGATATTGCTAGTGATCAAGCCTGGCTGAGCTCGTTATCCATACCTTCCATGAAGTCATCATCTGAGTCTGAAATGAAGTCCATCTCCTCATCACTGAAGACCTGAGCCTTCTTCTGTGCCTTTTTCGGCTTCGCAGCCACAGCCTTGGCAACACGACCCTTCCCCTTGGTAGGCTTGCCTGCCACCTCCTTGGCCTTATCCTGAGCCGCCTCCTCCTCCGCAACCTGGCAAGTTTCACTTGCACTGGATTAGCTTCATATGGGAGCAAAGACGGGCCAGCAAAGGTTCAGAAAACTAACGAAGTGAAATCTAACGTGCTGGATGATAACAACGTACCTCAAGTTCTTCAAGGAACAAGTCCAGATCGCTTTCCCAGAGGTCCTTGGGCTCCGTCTTCAACAGAGCATCGTGGTCGTCTTGGTTCTTCTTCTGATCCCTCAGCAGCTCTTGAACCCTCTCCAGGGTTAAACTCCACAGTGGCATGCCAAGGAGATAGTCATAGCCACCATCGCCCCCCTTCTTAGCCTTCGAGCCCCCTTCCTCTTCACCCGACTCCTCCCCCTCATCGTCACCCTCCTCATCTGCGGCTGTGGATGAACCACCGCTCGAGCTGACCTTGCCTTTTGGCAAGGTTGCGAACTTCTTCTCCTGCAAGAGAAAATAAGAATAAGTTCGTCAACTCCGCTCATCATAACCACAAATAGCAGGAAAAGCTAACCATGGAGCAGCAAAGCCTTACCTTGAGTTCAGCCAGAAGCTCCGCCTTCTTCCTGTTGCTGACGATGATCTCTCCACGCACAACTGCAAGGATGAACCTCACTCTGTTGTCCAGCTTGATGAGCTCATTTCGAAGTTGCTCCAGTTGAATATCCTGTAAATCGTGTGGCAACAATACGACAGTCAGTCCAAGAAACTCAACGAGCATGTCTAAATAATGTGTAAAACAGGACCAAATTCTAAAGTCGAACGTCCATTACCTTTCTCTTCCTGTAGTACTCCAGCCGCATGTGATAAAACTCCTCAATGACTGCAGGAGTACACAGATCAAATGTGCAACATTAGACCCTCTGTGTCAATATGAGGGCAACAACCTCCCACGGCAGGAAAACAGCTGATGTTGTTGTGTTTCTTACTTTCTTCCGGAGTTTCGTACTTCCTCATCCTCCCGTCCTTGTCAAAGAGGTGCATGTTGCTGGTTGCTACTGATGCCGTCAGCTTGAAGCGCTTGATCAGTCCCTCAGCCTCTGCAGTAGCCATTCCCTCGGGCGACAAGTGCACCTCAAAATGCACAGTGGTGTCAGTGTGATGCTCCCGCATGTCCTGCAGTTCAAAACAAAAGCATGTCAGCGTTATCCAGTGATTCAAATATTTGCAAAAAACACTCCCACCAGTATTGTTATGTACCTTAATGAATGGCTCCTTGTTCTTGTCGTTTACCACCATCATCCCCTCCAGGTACTCTTTGTAGTTCTGCGTCCAGGTCCGGATGGGCAGCTCCGTGATCTCCAGAACGGTGTCGCTGACCTTGTTGATGGTTCCAGTCACGATGTAGTTCCGGCCGTCTTTGTTGCTGTTGTGTTCGACAGTCCCCTGGAGGAAGAAAACGAGGAAGGCGAAAAAAACGTGTTGAATACAGAATGTCTTTAAAACAGGTAAACAGATCCCTGACAACGTGTTGGTCAGGCTGAGCTTACCTTGAACCCACGGAACCAGGGGTGCAAGGGCTCCATCTCCTCTCCCCTCATCAGCCGTTTGAGGTTGTCAACGATGTCGCGTGGGTTGAACGTTGGCACGTAGGAGCTCCATCCAGTTCCGATTCCTTCACTTCCATTGACGAGGACCAAGGGGAGGATTGGAAGGTACCTGCAAAAAGTATGCGAGCTCATGGTGAGGACTTGGCACTGAAAAAAAATCATGTAAGACCTTCATGCGCTAACTGGAATCATCACCAGCATACCATGTTGGCTCAATCTTCTGTCCGTCTTCGTTCAGGAAGTCCAGAAGGGCATCGTCCACCTCAGAGAAAAGAATCCGCGTGAGTTTGTGCAGCCTGGTGTAGATGTAACGAGGGCTGGCAGCATCCTTCCCTCCCTGCATTCGGCAACCAAAAAATGACAAGAGTTAGCTAGCAGTCGATGAGGCTGAATGGGAAGAAAAAGTGCCACGAAATGTCTTCCTGACGTACCTGAAGGCGAGTGCCGAACTGGCCACTGGGCACCAGAAGGTTGATGTTGTTGCTACCCACAAAATCCTGGGCGAGACCAATGATGGTGGTCATCAAGCTCATTTCACCATGGTGGTATGCAGAGTGCTCGGAGATGTAACCAGCCAGTTGTGCGACCTGATGAGACAGCATACGTGAAACGCACTCAGTTACCGACAGCTGAGCAGACTATTGACTCTAGGAACATCTTGCCGGTTTCTTCCGCACCTTCACGTCACTCTTCAGCTTCCTCTTAAAGCAACTGAAGAGGATCTTTCTCTGGCCAGGCTTGAGGCCATCCATGACAGATGGAATGGATCGCAGGTTGTCCGCAATGGAGAACAGGACCAACTCCTTGTTGACAAAGTCGCTGTAGGTGATCGTCTTGGCACTTTGATCCAGGAAAGTCCCAGGCTGACAATTACAACAGAGAAGAAATAAGAATGTGATAATAACATCAGCAGCCAAGACAAGGGACAATAACATTAGCAACATATCTCACGCATAATTACCTCCACATTTCGCAGCCAGGTCTTCCTGTCCTCCACCTTCTTTTTGCTAAACGCCATCTCAATGCTTTCGCCATCCTCTTCTCCCGTCCACTCAAAGCTCTTCCGGTGCTGATCAAGGGCTGCAAAGTACTCCTTGGCTTCCTTCGGTGTGCTTGTTCCCAGACCCTGTGAGACCACAAACAGAGAATGTTAAGTTTAAAATCTCAAAAACATCTAGTGCCGTAGGCACCAGCACAGGAACTTGCCTTATAGTACTTGATGGACCATCCTTTGGTACTTCCTCCAAGGGATTCTTTCCATGACTCGTACTCGGGTATCGTGTAGAAGGAAATGACCTTTCCACGGGGCCCAGTAGCCTGCACAGCACAGAATGCTCAAAGTTAGAAAACAATATTCAAACAAGGAAAACCGAATCGGAGTTATCGCCAGCACTCATCTAACCTTGACGATGGGTGTGATGAACTCCAGAAGGAAGTTGGGCTGCTTCAGGAGTGACGGCCAAAAGGCGTGGAGGAAGTTGATGAGGAGGCCCTTAATATGCGATCCATCATGGTCCTGCATTGGGAGGCTCCACAAATGAGACATTTACAAACTGTTCTTATATACCCCCCCAGAAGCCTAGAATTGTCCAAGCTGCTTACCTGATCGGTCATGATCATCAGATGGCCATATCGTAGGGATTTGGTGCTGTCGTAATGCTTTCCCTGCTGAAGCCCCATGATTTGCTTGATGTTGGTGATCTCTGCGTTCTCTGTTAACTGCTTGGCAGGGGCATCCCTGACGTTCAGGAGCTTCCCACGCAGCGGGAATACTCCATACTTGTCGCGACCGACAACACTTAGACCGCTCACCTGAAAGCACGCAAACGCAAAAGTTATTCGACTGAGACACCTTATAGCAGCACTGTTACATCAGGTGCAGATATTTCCGACACTTACCGCAAGAGCCTTTGCAGAGTCCCCCTCCGTAAGAATCAAGGTGCACTGCTCGGAGTTGCGTCCACCTGCATCATTCGCATCGTCCAGCTTCGAAATTCCCGTGAGCCGCTGCTTCTTGCTTCCATCGCTCTTCTTCATATCCTTGTTCGCCTTGAAGGTTGCGAAGGAGAGGATGCTGTCGATCACACCCGATTTTGCGACTGCAATAAAAAAATTACACTGCAGGTCAGTAACTGTCCAGCATGGGACTTGAGAACAAAAACGAGAACGAACAAAACTTACCTTTCTGGAGGAAACTGTCCGGTAGCTTGCACGTGGAGCCAAACTCGCTCGCCCGGGTGTTCAACGTCTCCTTGGTCTGTGAATCGAACGCCGGGTTGACGATCATCGAGTTCACGAAAACCCACAAGTGGCACTTCACTTGATGGGCCTTAATAGCCGGCGCACCCTTCCCTGCCTTCTTCTGGGCCTTCTCTATGAGGAACTTGGTCACTTGGTCAGCGACAAGATTGACGTGGGTGCCACCCTTGATTGTCGCGATGCTGTTGACGAAGCTAACCTGCTGAAACTGGCCGTCACTCAGTGAAACGCAAACCTCCCAGTTGTCGTTGACCTTCTCGTAAATCCTGCCAGAAATCCCAGAACGAGGTTCAGCTCACACTGAAGTTCGAAATTCATGAAAGCTAGCCACGTAATCGCTGACGCTGATTGCACTCACTTCGGCAGAGGGCCAGGGACTTCGCCACTGGACTTGGACGAGTCGAGGTAAAGTCCGACGTAATCTTGGAAGTTCTTCATGGGAATCTTGCTTCCATTCAGCTCGACCTTGACAGCTTTCCCGAGCACTCCAGCCATGTCCACCACACGCTTGCTCATAAGAGCCACGTGATCAGCATCAAGATGTGTCAGCTTGAACTTAGCCAGGTCTGGATGGAACGTCACGCACGTCCAGCTTTCTCCAGACCTGGTTTTTGTAATCTCGGGCTCCGACTTCTTGCTCATGTTGTCGTTGAAAACCTGTTGACAATGCCAGGAAAATCCCGTCAGAACCAGGAAGGAAGCATAGGACGAGACATTTGATTAAGTACTGAAGAACAAGCTTGCATTGTTGTGGTGAACGTCCTACCTGACGATATTGCTTCTTGCGATCGCCGTCTGCAGTCTCGATGACGAATTCTGTGGAGAATATGTTAGCGAGCTTAGCACCATAACCGTTCCGGCCTCCCGTCGTCTTTTTCTCCGTATCGTCGTAGTTGCTGCTGGTGAGGAGATGGCCAAAGATCATCTCCGGAACGTAGCAGTTCTCGTCCGCATGAATCTCGATCGGAACACCCTTGCCGTTGTTCCACACCTGAAGCAGGAAAATGTTTTCCGTGAGAACGGCTTCGTCGATATACTGACTCACTCTTAGCTATCTTGGAATGCAACTCACCTTAATCATGTTCTTTTCCGGGTCAATGTTCACTTTGAGCAAGTCCATGGAGGGATCTCTCTGTTTGTTGTCGGCAGCGTTGACGAGAATCTCGTCGAAGATCTTGTACAAGCCAGGGACGATGGTCGCATCGCGATGTACCATTCTGCCATTCTCGTAGACCCACAAGGTCTGCGTGTGGCTCTGAACTGATCCGACGTAAGTATCTGGCCTTAGGAGGACGTGTTCTAGCGGAGTTTTCTTCTGGTATGTCTGCTCAATTGTCCTTCCCTTGCTGATGTTTGCTGCCGTGCTGAGCTGAAGAGGTTCCTTGGCCTTCTTCGCTGCAGCTTTCGGTGCAGCCTTCATCTTCGTCTGCAACGCAATTCATCAGTTAACGTAAAGAGAACCGCTTTGCTGCATAATAATTTCGAAAATATATTGCGTACTTACAAGTGGAATGAAGTTCTCGTCATCGCTCATATAGTCGATATCCATGTCTACCGGTTCTCTCTGGCTCCTAAGGTTGTCCTAAACAGGATGGATAATACGTGGGACCTGAGTAAACTACTGACTGCTTCTCAGTCCCCACTCAACACAATCGGTACCTTCACAAAAGCTCAGCTGGGAGTCTGGGAATCAAATTGAAGAGAACGAGCTGAACTTCATTCACAACTCCCCTGTTGTGCGATAATCCCAAAGCAATGACAGCCTGAATGAATGCCATTTCATGACACCACACCATAACAGGCATGGGGGGGAGGGGGGGTAGACAGTCCGAGCCGCCTCGAGTCAGTCACCAGAATTCCGCGCCAAATTTCAAAATCCGTAGGCTCTGCACCGCAGACTGCAAACCCTCCGAATCGTCAGAGGCTTCTGCATTCCGTCAGAAAGGGTCATCACCTGGCATGGATGACCATAATGTACACTTCCGACTTATATTTGAACATTTGTTAACCTCATGTACATGAGCAGTCTTAATGAGCATAAATATGTGTTAATTTAGACTGGAATTATATTATTACCTATAATGAAATAAATTTTTATCATTTTCGAGGTAAAGCACTCGAAATCGTTATAATATGTAGGGTAATTCAGAAATTGTGTTTTATGAAGGACGCTAAAGTTTAGGTATTGTATGTGACACATGTGAGTGAGTGCTTTTTTTTTCCGTTTTTGTTTTACCAATGCGACATCTTTTATACAAGCTAGTTTATTTTGACATCATTGTAGGTTTTAAGTTTTATTAAATGGTCGTAACCATATTGACATCATTGTAGGAGTACATGGTTGCGCCGTTAGATGATGCTACGGCTCGCAACGCAACCTACCAATAGCTAGCACCCAACTAGCACCTACTAGCAGCACGTTTCCCAGCTCGTTCCCAACACCAACGTTTGCTCCTGCGACTCGAACAACTGGTTCAATTTTAGGTCCTTATAATTACCTGTTCCTAGCCACTGCGCTTTGCAGGCATAATCTATGAGTCAAACTTAGAGAGCGCGATCGCACCTCATGGGTGCCTGTACGGCTTCCGTGGCATGGTATTGCATTTCGCTGTCCCTTCTCACAGGTATGTCTATCATAGTTAAGTTTTAATAATATCGTTTCCTGTTTGACTGAAAACCAGGTGATCCGATAAACTGTCTCTCCATTCAACTGCATCCCGGTCAGTTGTTGAGTGCTCGGTCTGCTTAGCTTCCAAATACCTGTCATTATGTAGACTCGCTACATCCCAATACTCACTACTACCCGTACTCGTTTGTCCTTGGTGCGACCGGCGCTTCAATCGCGTCATCCAGTACCAGATTACTTTTGAGTCGACTCAAAATGTCCTCCAACGGAATTAGGATTGATCCTTTGTCCTTCGTTCCTCCGGCGGCTCAACTGCGTACCGGTTACAGGCTCCTCTTGTTGAAGCGCCGCAAAACATGTGATGACTGTCGAGGCGCCGCAAAAGTTTGTCTTTCGTGCATCCGACGCTTCAATCATGTCATCCAGTATCTGTTTCCCGTTGCCGGTTACAGGTTCCCCCTTTTCAGCCTGCTCGAAGCGCATCAATTGCGTCATCCAGTACCTACCGGTTACAGTTCCTTTCTTACAGCCTGCTCGAATCCCCTTGGCGATTTGAATGTCGTTGCTAACCACCTTTTGCCCCTGAGTCGAAGACACGGCTTCCCTCACTGCATCCGTTCCCCATTTCCCTCAGCATTGCTAGCAGCCCGATCATTCGATGAGCTGCAGGGCCCAGTGGCGGAAACGGAGGAGCAATTGAGGAAGTTCTGTCTCCTCACTACTCAAATCCTTACTGCGTGCACCCACCCCACCCCTGTCTTACACCTCCCTGTTTCTCTCAGCGCTAGTGGCAGCGCAATCGTCAGATGAGCTGCTGCTGGGCCGCGTGGCGGAGATGGAGGAGCAGCTCAACCAGCAGCTGCTGGAGGGGGGACCTGCTGAGGGCACCACCCAACCAGCTGGAGCGACAAACAAGGCTGCAGCAGCTACTGCCGGCTCTGGCGACGGCGCTGCAACGTTAGTCGTTTGTTCCTTTTTGCATGCGTGCTTTCTGTGAATTCGTGAAAACACCTCCCAGCCCACCGAAGCTGCCACAGACAAGGCAGGTGCCACTGCTGGCTCTGACGCTGGCACTGCACTGCAATGGCAATTTTCACCATATCAGTGACTCCCTACCACCACGTCTCACGTTTAAAGGAAGCCTGCTGAAATCCACCTCGCTTCTCTTTGAGCATATTTGCCTACAAGCCAAAGAGCACCTTCCTTAAACCTGCTACTAGTCCCTGTATCTCTCTCCCTTCCCTTCTCTCCCCTCCACATCCACATCAGTGACTCCTTGCCACCACGTCCCACCTTCAAAGAAGGCCTGCTGAAAACCACAACTCTCCCCCGTGGCATCTACCGCAACAAGCTCAATAGCACCTTCCTGGAATACCACCGAAACGTGCACAAGGGGGAGGTAGAACTGCACTGCATGGGCGGCACCTGCCCGAACCTAGACAGCTGCGGCCCGGCGTTCCCGAACGTGCGAGCCTGCTTCTGGCCGAACCTGGTAGACGAGGATTATATTTACCCGGACCAGCCCGAGAATTGCCCGAAGCTGTCGAATTGGGAGGAGGTTGGGGCGAAAGGGGCGGACCCTAGGTGTACCCACCCTGGAGATAATCTGAGATTTGATAAGTATGTGCCTCAGTATTTTGAGATCAAGGACGTGTTTGTGGATGCTAACGGGGTTCTCTTTAACGAGTCGTTGCACTTCTTCCGCCACGGGTGCTTCAAAGACAAAGAGGTGAGGTGAGGCGATGAGGTGAGGTCACAGTCACAAATCAGTTTCCTTGTTTACAGTCTCAAGGCATATCCTGTTCTCCATAGTAGCAAAGCAGTTCCCGTTCTTGACACCCTTTTTATCGCTCGTCGCCCTCCCTGCCTGTCTCTACGCTACACACTCTCCCACTCTCGCTCACACTCTCTCCCCATGCAGTTCGCCTATCATGCCAACCAGACCAGCGTGCAGCACTACCACCGCCTCGTATCGCTGCTGTACCAGCTGGGCGGGGCGTTCTACCACACGCTCATCGAGGTCGTGCCTCACTTCCTGCTGCTCGCCCCGCTGCTGCGAGACAACCCCGGCATGCCCATTGCCGTCAGCCGCAAACAGGCAAGCCTACCAGCTTTGGGGTGGGGGCGGTGGGAAAGGGGAAGAGGGGGGCCGCTCTATCACACGCTCATCGAGGTGCTGCTGCACTTCATGCTGCTGGTACCTCTGCTGAGAGACAACCCTGGCATGCCAGCCGCAAACAGACAAGGCTCTTTGCTGTACCAGCACGAGGGGGGATGGAAAGTATGTTTTTTGTTTTCCAACTCTCTACAGCTGTTTGGGTGGGCATGGGGTGGGAGAAGGAGAGAGAATAGTCCCTAGTAGGGACTCCCTACTATGCTCCAGGCTCCAATCTTGCCTCTCCTGCTGTTCACGACTAAGAGCCATTCCAGCAACAAGTAATGTTTTGCGCTCTCTCCCCTCCTCGCTTGCTTGCGCATGTCCCTCCCACTTAATCACCTATCTGCGCAAATTTAGCGGGTTGTTTGTAGCACACAGGGTTGCCGTGCTCTGCTCGCTGAAAGACGTGCGATCGGGTGTGCTGCAACCAATGGTGGTGGGTATCAGCCCACAGAACCAACTTGAAGTCCTCTCTCTAGTTGCTTTTGCATGTGCCCCATTGCTACTCCCCTGCTCCCCCGCCAGCACAGCTGAAGACGTACGACTCAGTGGCGCTGCAACCCATTGTGGGCATCAGCTCACTTAACCTATTTCGCAAGTCTCTTTTACCACGCCTCACAAGTCATTTTGAACCATTCTGCACTCTTTTCTCCTGCTCCCCGCCAGCACAGCTGAAGATGTACGACTCTGTGCTGTACCCCATTGTGGGCATCAGCTCGCGTGAGCTGAACCTCGTTCTCAAGTCTCTCTCTTACCATGCTCATAAGTCACCTTGAACCGTACTGCACTCCTCTCTCCTGCTCCCCGCCAGCACAGCTGAAGATGTACGACTCTGTGCTGTACCCCATTGTGGGCATCAGCTCGCGTGAGCTGAACCTCGTTCTCAAGTCTCTCTCTTACCATGCTCATAAGTCACCTTGAACCGTACTGCACTCCTCTCTCCTGCTCCCCGCCAGCACAGCTGAAGATGTACGACTCTGTGCTGTACCCCATTGTGGGCATCAGCTCGCGTGAGCTGAACCTCGTTCTCAAGTCTCTCTCTTACCATGCTCATAAGTCACCTTGAACCGTACTGCACTCCTCTCTCCTGCTCCCCGCCAGCACAGCTGAAGATGTACGACTCGGTGCTGCACCCAATCGTGGGCATCAGCTCTCGCGAGCTAAACCTTGTTCTCGTGGACGATCGCAATCAGAAGCTGCTGCTGCACGCTGACATGGCGTACCAGGTACGTGCTGACGTGGCATATCAGTTGCATGCTGACGTGGTGTACCATATGTGCCGACGTGGCATACCAGGTATGTGCTGACATGGCGTACCAGGTAGGTAAGCACTGTCGCACACCCTGTATTCTCACTTCTCCCGCCTTGTCCCCATTTCAGCTCAGCCCTTCTCCTCGGTCCAACCACTGCCCTCAGCACCCCATCTGCTTCCTCTCCCTTCCTCACCCTTAGTACAGCCTGTTCCAGGCATGTGGCAGGGCAGCGCCAGGCGTGTGGCGGGAGCTGAGGCGGCTCAAACCAGCTCTATGCTCCCTCCCACCCACTCGCTCCCTCACCCAACCCCTCCCCCCATCCCCACTGCAGCCTGTGTTCCAGGCATGCGGCAGGGCAGCGCCAGGCGTGTGGCGGGAGCTGAGGCGGCTCAGAGCACCTCTCTAACCTATCATCCCCTTTCCTTCCCCCCCACCCACTACCACTGCAGCCTCTATTTCAAGCATGCGGCAGGGCGGCACCAGGCGTGTGGCGGGAGCTGAGGCGGCGCTACCTCGTGCCGGCCGATGGCCTCCCCATGTTCGCCCCGGGCTTTGCTCCCCGGCACCCTGGCAACAGCACCACTGCTTCAACCACCAGTTCCAATACCAGCAGCAGCACCAATAGCAGCAGCATCCCCCCTCCGTGGACGGACGAGCAGATGGCGCGGCTGCCCGCCAGCTGGCTGGCTGTGATTGCTCGGCGTCACAAGTCCAAGCGCCGCATCGCTGGCTTCCCGCAATTGGTGGATTCCATGAAGCAGATCTTCCACCCTTCTAGGGTCTATGTGTTTGATGGCAAGCTGAATGTCACCCAAGGTGAGATGAGTTGGAAGCGCAGCACGGCTTGAGTGATATCACAAACCACTCGTGTCCACGCAATTGGTGGATTCCATGAAGCAGATCTTCCATCCTTCTAGAGTTTATGTGTTCGATGGCAAGCTGAATCTCACCCAAGGTGCGCTGGATTGGAGTAACAGTGAAGATGAGTTGCCGAGTTGGGAGCAGTTTACGGTGTGGGACTCTGGGTGCTCTTTGTGTGACTGATGACAAGCAGATGGCGCTTCTGCCCGCCAGCTGGCTGGTTGTGATTGCTCAGCGCCACAAGTCCAAGCGCCGCATTGCTGGCTTCCCGCAATGCGTTCGACGGCAAGCTGCCTCTCACCCAAGGTGAGTTGGGTTGGGAGGAAGGCAGTGAAAAGTAGTGGTGTTCGTGGTGTTTCACGGAGCAGGCCTGACCGACATGATTTTCATGCCGCTCAACGCCTGTTTTCCCCTTCCCGCCCTCTTGTCCCTCCCCATGGCCTCCCAGCCAAGACGGTGTTCAACAGAGCAGCAGTGTTCGTGGGGTTGCACGGGGCAGGCCTGGCCAGCATGGTCCTCATGCCGCTCAACGCCTGTTTTCCCCTTCCCCGCCCTCTTGTCCCTCCCCGTCCCAGCCAAGACGGTATTCAACAGAGCAGCAGTGTTCGTGGGGTTGCACGGGGCAGGCCTGGCCAACATGGTCTTCATGCCCCTCAACGCCAGCATCTTGTGTGCCTCCTCCTGTTTTTCCATTGCCTCCTGTATCCCCATCCCACATCCTGCTTTCCGTTTCCCTGTCCTCTTTCCCCAACCCCCCAGCCAAGACGGTGTTCAACAGGGCAGCGGTGTTCGTGGGGTTGCACGGGGCAGGCCTGGCCAACATGGTCTTCATGCCCCTCAACGCCAGCATCTTCGAAATCCGTCCCCGCGGCTACCCCAACCCGTGCTACCACCACCTCGCCACAGCCACCCAGATGCACTACCATTTGATCCTCGGGAACGGTACCAAGGACAGCGAGTTGAAGTTCAATCACACCGAGGCTGTTGAGGTGCTGAGATTGATAGCCAATCGCACGCGCGCGAGAATGTCGGCTGAAAAGTTTGAGTCGATTAACCTGCTGCCGCCGCTGGAGGCGGTTGGGGAGGAGGATTGGGAGGAGGGGGGTGGGGAGGATGGGGAGGAGGATGAGGACAATGGCGGAGGGGGGAATGCGGAGTTGACTATACCTCTTGAGCTTATGGCGGATGTGACTCTAAAGGCGCTGAATGACACAGATGTAGGGTCGGAGGAGCAGGAGGAGGAGGTTAAGAGTCTGGATGAGAAGACTTTAAAGAAGATGGAGGGGGAGAGAGCGGTGACAATTGGGGAGTTGAGTGAAGATTTGAAACGGGCTGTGATGAAACAGGTGCATGTGAATTCAGGGGTGGCACATGATAAGCGCAAGGCGATTCTTAACTGTACGGGCGGCCCGTGCCCGGATTTTTCGGGCAGGTGTGAGTCGAACCACGAAGCTTCGGCTTGCAGTATGGATAAGATTTCAGACCAGGGTTTTGCCCGCCCGGCGATTCCTATAAACTGCCCGAAGAAAGCAAATGTGACGACTGTGGGCCCGGAGGGGAGGGATGAGAGCTGCTCGCATACGTCAGATTTCGGGTGGTATGAACCGGGTACATTTCAGATTTACCTTCTGCGGGGAGTGTATATCGACCACGAGGGGCACGTGTTCAACAAAACGACTCATTTCAACAGGGAGGGGTGCAACAACGACTCTCCGGTAAGCGTCTTGTCTGTGTGTGCGGTGACAGCGTGCAGTGCATGATGTGGAGATGTATGTGTGAGGTGAGGTGACAGCGTGTGTGTGAGGCAAGTTTTGTGATGTAATGTATGTGAGTCGAATCGAAGCCCTGCGCTTCATCCACAAAGGTGCATAAGCTGAAGAAAGTGGTGAACCCGGCGTAATGCCAATGTTACCAGGGCCGCTTCTTCTGCTGCAGGCTTATATCATCTCACTCATCCCTACCCCCATCCTGAGCCACCATCTCTGCTTGCAGTTTGAGTACAAAAAAACGAAGGTCAAGAGGCTCAAGAGGGTGGTGAACCTGGCCTACTACCAGGGCCGCAACTTCTACCACGGGCTCATTCAGTGGACGCCCTCCCCCCTGCTCTCAACCCCACCCCCATGTCAACACCACGCTCACAGTTTGAGTACACGAAGGGGACGAAGGTGCACAGGTTGAAGCGAGTGGTGAACCTGGCGTACTACCAGGGCCGCAACCTCTACCACGGGCTCATCGAGCGGACGCCCTCCCTTCATGTCATCCCCACTCCACTCCCATCCCAACACTGGCATTGCAGTTTGAGTACAAGAAAGGCACAAAGGTGCATAGGCTCAAGAGGGTGGTGAACCTGGCGTACTACCAGGGCCGCAACCTCTACCACGGGCTCATCGAGCGGACGCCCTCCCTTCATGTCATCCCCACTCCACTCCCATCCCAACACTGGCATTGCAGTTTGAGTACAAGAAAGGCACAAAGGTGCATAGGCTCAAGAGGGTGGTGAACCTGGCGTACTACCAGGGCCGCAACCTCTACCACGGGCTCATCGAGCGGACGCCCTCCCTTCATGTCATCCCCACTCCACTCCCATCCCAACACTGGCATTGCAGTTTGAGTACAAGAAAGGCACAAAGGTGCATAGGCTCAAGAGGGTGGTGAACCTGGCGTACTACCAGGGCCGCAACTTCTACCACGGGCTCATCGAGTGGACGCCCCACCTCCTCCTCCTCAGCTCTCTGCTGCGCGCCCACCCCACCATACCGCTGCTCGCCATACACGACCAGGTACATACATTTGGTGTAGGCGTGTACAAGGGATTTGCAGCTGGAAAAGCGTCTTTCTGATCGCCCTGCAACCTCCTCTCATCTTCCTTCTACACCTGCCCCGTGCAAGATCACCTCTCATCTTCCTTCTACACCTGCCCCGTGCAAGATCACCTCTCATCTTCCTTCTACACCTGCCCCGTGCAAGATCACCTCTCATCTTCCTTCTACACCTGCCCCGTGCAAGATCACCTGTCATCTTCCTTCTACACCTGCCCCGTGCAAGATCACCTCTCATCTTCCTTCTACACCTGCCCCGTGCAAGATCACCTGTCATCTTCCTTCTACACCTGCCCCGTGCAAGATCACATCTCATCTTCCTTCTACACCTGCCCCGTGCAAGATCACATCTCATCTTCCTTCTACACCTGCCCCGTGCAAGATCACCTCTCCTCTTCCTTCTACACCTGCCCCGTGCAAGATCACCTCTCATCTTCCTTCTACACCTGTCCCGTGCAAGATCACCTCTCATCTTCCTTCTACACCTGCCCCGTGCAAGATCACCTCTCATCTTCCTTCTACACCTGCCCCGTGCAAGATCACATCTCATCTTCCTTCTACACCTGCCCCGTGCAAGATCACCTCTCATCTTCCTTCTACACCTGCCCCGTGCAAGATCACCTCTCATCTTCCTTCTACTCCTGCCCCGTGCAAGATCACCTCTCATCTTCCTTCTACACCTGCCCCGTGCAAGATCACCTCTCATCTTCCTTCTACACCTGCCCCGTGCAAGATCACCTCTCATCTTCCTTCTACACCTGCCCCGTGCAAGATCACCTCTCATCTTCCTTCTACACCTGCCCCGTGCAAGATCACCTGTCATCTTCCTTCTACACCTGCCCCGTGCAAGATCACCTCTCATCTTCCTTCTACACCTGCCCCGTGCAAGATCACCTCTCATCTTCCTTCTACACCTGCCCCGTGCAAGATCACCTCTCATCTTCCTTCTACACCTGCCCCGTGCAAGATCACATCTCATCTTCCTTCTACACCTGCCCCGTGCAAGATCACCTCTCATCTTCCTTCTACACCTGCCCCGTGCAAGATCACCTCTCATCTTCCTTCTACACCTGCCCCGTGCAAGATCACCTCTCATCTTCCTTCTACACCTGCCCCGTGCAAGATCACCTCTCATCTTCCTTCTACACCTGCCCCGTGCAAGATCACCTCTCATCTTCCTTCTACACCTGCCCCGTGCAAGATCACCTCTCATCTTCCTTCTACACCTGCCCCGTGCAAGATCACCTCTCATCTTCCTTCTACACCTGCCCCGTGCAAGATCACCTGTCATCTTCCTTCTACACCTGCCCCGTGCAAGATCACCTCTCATCTTCCTTCTACACCTGCCCCGTGCAAGATCACATCTCATCTTCCTTCTACACCTGCCCCGTGCAAGATCACCTCTCCTCTTCCTTCTACACCTGCCCCGTGCAAGATCACCTCTCATCTTCCTTCTACACCTGTCCCGTGCAAGATCACCTCTCATCTTCCTTCTACACCTGCCCCGTGCAAGATCACATCTCATCTTCCTTCTACACCTGCCCCGTGCAAGATCACATCTCATCTTCCTTCTACACCTGCCCCGTGCAAGATCACCTCTCATCTTCCTTCTACTCCTGCCCCGTGCAAGATCACCTCTCATCTTCCTTCTACACCTGCCCCGTGCAAGATCACCTCTCATCTTCCTTCTACACCTGCCCCGTGCAAGATCACCTCTCATCTTCCTTCTACACCTGCCCCGTGCAAGATCACCTCTCATCTTCCTTCTACACCTGCCCCGTGCAAGATCACCTCTCATCTTCCTTCTACACCTGCCCCGTGCAAGATCACCTCTCATCTTCCTTCTACACCTGCCCCGTGCAAGATCACATCTCATCTTCCTTCTACACCTGCCCCGTGCAAGATCACCTCTCATCTTCCTTCTACACCTGCCCCGTGCAAGATCACCTCTCATCTTCCTTCTACACCTGCCCCGTGCAAGATCACCTCTCATCTTCCTTCTACACCTGCCCCGTGCAAGATCACCTGTCATCTTCCTTCTACACCTGCCCCGTGCAAGATCACCTGTCATCTTCCTTCTACACCTGCCCCGTGCAAGATCACATCTCATCTTCCTTCTACACCTGCCCCGTGCAAGATCACCTCTCATCTTCCTTCTACACCTGCCCCGTGCAAGATCACCTCTCATCTTCCTTCTACACCTGCCCCGTGCAAGATCACCTCTCATCTTCCTTCTACACCTGCCCCGTGCAAGATCACCTCTCATCTTCCTTCTACACCTGCCCCGTGCAAGATCACCTCTCATCTTCCTTCTACACCTGCCCCGTGCAAGATCACCTCTCATCTTCCTTCTACACCTGCCCCGTGCAAGATCACCTCTCATCTTCCTTCTACACCTGCCCCGTGCAAGATCACCTGTCATCTTCCTTCTACACCTGCCCCGTGCAAGATCACCTCTCATCTTCCTTCTACACCTGCCCCGTGCAAGATCACATCTCATCTTCCTTCTACACCTGCCCCGTGCAAGATCACCTCTCCTCTTCCTTCTACACCTGCCCCGTGCAAGATCACCTCTCATCTTCCTTCTACACCTGTCCCGTGCAAGATCACCTCTCATCTTCCTTCTACACCTGCCCCGTGCAAGATCACATCTCATCTTCCTTCTACACCTGCCCCGTGCAAGATCACATCTCATCTTCCTTCTACACCTGCCCCGTGCAAGATCACCTCTCATCTTCCTTCTACTCCTGCCCCGTGCAAGATCACCTCTCATCTTCCTTCTACACCTGCCCCGTGCAAGATCACCTCTCATCTTCCTTCTACACCTGCCCCGTGCAAGATCACCTCTCATCTTCCTTCTACACCTGCCCCGTGCAAGATCACCTCTCATCTTCCTTCTACACCTGCCCCGTGCAAGATCACCTCTCATCTTCCTTCTACACCTGCCCCGTGCAAGATCACCTCTCATCTTCCTTCTACACCTGCCCCGTGCAAGATCACATCTCATCTTCCTTCTACACCTGCCCCGTGCAAGATCACCTCTCATCTTCCTTCTACACCTGCCCCGTGCAAGATCACCTCTCATCTTCCTTCTACACCTGCCCCGTGCAAGATCACCTCTCATCTTCCTTCTACACCTGCCCCGTGCAAGATCACCTGTCATCTTCCTTCTACACCTGCCCCGTGCAAGATCACCTGTCATCTTCCTTCTACACCTGCCCCGTGCAAGATCACATCTCATCTTCCTTCTACACCTGCCCCGTGCAAGATCACCTCTCATCTTCCTTCTACACCTGCCCCGTGCAAGATCACCTCTCATCTTCCTTCTACACCTGCCCCGTGCAAGATCACCTCTCATCTTCCTTCTACACCTGCCCCGTGCAAGATCACCTCTCATCTTCCTTCTACACCTGCCCCGTGCAAGATCACCTCTCATCTTCCTTCTACACCTGTCCCGTGCAAGATCACCTCTCATCTTCCTTCTACACCTGCCCCGTGCAAGATCACCTCTCATCTTCCTTCTACACCTGCCCCGTGCAAGATCACCTCTCATCTTCCTTCTACACCTGCCCCGTGCAAGATCACCTCTCATCTTCCTTCTACTCCTCCTGTCTAACCATTATGTGTCTTAAGTCAACTCAAAACACGCCTCAAGCCTTATCATCCGCTTTACTTTCCCTGCAATGGAACTTATACAAGTTGGTGTATGTGTGCTTAAATCAGGACCATTTGCTGAATAAAACCCTCTTCCACTCTCTCTCCCGCGCTCACCTGCTCCTCACTCTTTCTCTTTTCCTCGCAGTGGGATTTCTACGAGAATATATCGAAGCCTATTATAGGCGTGGAGCAATTCGCCATGAACCGACTCAGTATAAGCCGCGGGGAGCTCTTCTATGCTGATGAGGTGTACCTTGTAAGTCATACACGGGGCCAGGAGTACAAATCTTTTACACGCTATGCAAATGCTAAAACGTTTTGCCATTCAAAGTCTCACCATTGTCCTCTCCTCAATCCCCACTTGTTTTTTTCTGTTCGAAAAGGATTTCGTTATGTCCTTTCTTACCTCTGCTTCCCTCCCCCAACACCCCAGCCACTATACCAGGCATGTGGCAAGGCCAGCCCTTCCCTCTGGTCACTCCTCCGCTCCCACTACCTCCTCGCCCCGCAAGGCCTCCCCATCTTTCCACCCACCACCTGGATCCAACGGCCAGGATTGGCCGATCCGGTGAACCAGACCGAGGCGGCCACGGTGCCGCCCGATTGGATGGTGCTGCTGGTGCGGCGGCCAGGTGTCAAGCGCTCATTGGACCGCTGGGACGAGCTGTATGAGTCGGCCGTGTCGATATTCTCTCTCAACCGGGTGCATGTGCTAAACGGCTCCGTGCCCATGCTCAAAGGTATGCTTGCTTGTATCACCTTAGAGAATTCTCAAAAGTCAAGCTGTATGAGTCGGCCATGTCGGTATTCTCTCTCAACCAGGTCCATGTGCTGAACAGCTCCGTGCCTATGCTCATAGGTACTCGACCCTTTTTTTCAGTTCATTGTAGTAGGTTTGTTTGTTTGGTTCATTTTTTTTCCCTTTTTCTTTTTTTGTGCCTTTTTGTTTCTTGATTTCCTTTCCAACAATCTCCAACAATGATCCTCAAGCTTTCTGCCTACTCCTCCTTCCCCCGTCTCCCCTTCCATGTTCCTGCACGACCCACGCTCCTGTTCCTGTTTCCATACCTCCAGCGCGGTCGCTGTTTCGAAGAGCGAGGCTGCTTATAGCGGGTCACGGAGCAGCAATGGCAAACATGGTCTTCATGCGACCCAACATGACAGTCTATGAAATTCGTCCCGACAAGAGCAACAATGCGTGTTACCACCACCTAGCACATGCGTGTGGGCTCCGGTATTACCTGACGTTTGGGGACGGGGATGGGGAGAGAATAGTGAAGATTGATGTGGGGAAGGTTACAGGGGTGTTGAAGGAGATTGCCAAGACGTTTCCGCCTTTGCCAGGGGACGAGCATCCAGATGACGTGTCAATCTTTGGGGATGGATAATGTTGCACAGTGATGTAATTCTGTCTATTTTGTATATTGTGGATAAGATATGTGCTGGTAAATTAAGATTTGCGGATCAGGAATGGCAGTTGCTTGCTGCCCAGCAGTCTTGCAATTGTACTGGTACTACCAATTCCTGAACAGCACTGCAGCAGACCTTGAGCAAGGCAGGCAGGAATTACACAGGCATGCACTGCACAGAATCTGTACTGAATCGGCTGTCATGGGTATGTCATCTTTGTTCCTCATGGTACGGTACCAAGATGACACTTCGATGCACTGCATTGTCTCTCGGCGAGAAAGGATGCATACCGGGAGTATGGCAATGAGAGAAGGATTAATACAAATTATACAGGCTGGATGTATGGGCAGTCAAGTGACAAGATACACTCATAATCAGGATCAGCTAAGGGCGAGCGCAGAAAACTCATTCTACACTCCTTTCTCAACTTCTTCTCCAAACACCGCTTCCCATAAGACTGCTTCAATTGCTTACCAGCCTCCTCCCTCCCATTCTTCCTAACATCCAGCGCAAATTCCTGGGCAAATTTTAACAGCTTTTCAATGCCGTTTACGTCTTGATTGGCCAAGTGTACCTTTCGCGTGTGCGTGCGATACTTCTTACACGCCGCATCCCGATCGCACTCCATCGGACTCATCCCCGCATAGAGCGAATCGTTAGCAGGCGCGGGCGGAGGGCCCGCGGTGCACTGATACTGCATGTAATTTATCCCCGCGTTTATTGCGGTGTAGTAATAGAGATCGTAGAACACTCCGAAGGGGGAAATCTCGAGAACGATCGCGTCTGAACGAGCGAAACAGGTGGGGTTGGTAAGACCTGCGCCGTGTAGGGCGACGATTATTTCGGCGGAATCAGTGAGGGCTAGCTGTTGGGAGAAAGGGAGGACGGCGTATTCTGTCATTGTCACCTGTTGTTGGGAGAGAAAGGAGGGAAGGCAGGTGGGGTTGGTGAGACCTGGGCCGTGTAGGGCAACGATAACTTCGGCGGAATCAGTGAGGGCTAGCTGTTGGGAGAATGGGAGAACAGCGTATTCTGTCATTGTCACCTGTGGGGGATGTGGGAGGGAGAGTGTCAGAGTGTGTGAGAGGGGAAGGAGCGAAGGGAGGGTTTGTTGGTGAGGTCTGCATGGTGTGATGCGGTGATGACTTCGGCAGAATCGGTGAGGGCTAGCTGTTGGGAGACTGGGAGGACGGCGTATTCTGTTATTGTCACCTGTTGGCGGGTGGGCGACGGAAAGTGTGTGGAAGTGAAGGGAGGGTGTGTATAAGACCTGCTGGGCCATGGAGTGAAGGACTAGCTACTGAGAGAATCAGAGGACAGTGTCACATACAGCAGCCGCAAGGCCCTGCAGGTGCTTTTTCACCTGAATGTTCGGATGCTGTATGTGACGAGCAATAAAACGATGACGACTGGGAGGAGGGTCATGCACCCAGACAGCTCCTGGAAGCCCATCTGAGGCTTGTACTGATGAAGGCTTGCAAATAAATTAGTCTTTGCAAAACTAGTTGATGGAAATAAGGCCTTTGCAGCCCACCTGTCTGCTTCTGACAGCTCATGCACCCAGACAGCTCCTGGAAGCCCATCTGGTGAAACAGCTCCTGAAGGGCCTTGCGGCTGTCTGCTCTGCTCTGCTCTGCGTGCATGAATCTCCTCCCAGTCGCCATGTTGTCATTGCGCGTCACATGCAGCCCACCTTCACATGGATACAACCCCCTACCCACGAATGTATACACACATTCAACCACACCTGGATATCCATCCGGCTAAAGAGCTCCTGCAGGGCCTTGTGGCTGTCAGGGTGCATGACTCTCCTCCCGGTGGTCATGGTGTCATTGCGCGTCACATACAGCAGCCAGCACATAGACGAGCATGCAGACAAGCACGCATGCATGCAGGCATCACCTGGAAATCCATCCGGTTGAAAAGTTCCTGCAATGACTTGTGGCTGTCGGGGTGCATGACTCTCCTCCCAGTCGTCATGGTGTCATTGCGCGTCACATACAGCAGCCGCACCCGCGACCCATCGTCAGGGTAGTGCCGATCGCTACCGCCGCTGCTGCCGCCACTGCCGCTGCCGCCGCTGCCACCACTGCTGCTACTGCTGCTGCTGCTGTCACCAGCACTTCCACCACCACCAGAGCTCGCGGCCATGATATCGGGCACTGGTTGGCCGTCAGGCGTGAGAAACACCTCCCTCAGTCGCTGCCTCACCACCTCTGCCTCCTCCGCCATACCGTTGAATGTGATGGCCTGGAGGGATGGGGAGTGGGAGGGGGCAGTTGGGGTGCTTTAAGGTCAGAGTTGGAATGCGGGGGAGAGGTGAAAAGAGAAACACCTCCCTCAGTCGCTGCCTCACCACCTCTGCCTCCTCCGCCATACCGTTGAATGTGATGGCCTGGAGGGGATGGGGACAAAACGGAGGATTTCTCGCTGCGTTCACTGCGCCTCTAGCTCCACCTCCACCAGCCCACCAGCCTTTGAGGCACCTCAGAGACACGCCTCGAGAAGAAAGAGTGCATACCTTGAGCAGCCCAGCGGGAGCACAAGAAGACCCGGAACAAGAACGGACATAACGGGGGAACGGAAGAATGGGAAGAATGGAAGAGAGCCTTACCTTGAGTAGGCCCGGCACAATAAGAGTCTGGAAGCACATGTGGGCTGCTCATCACTTGCAGCATTCAACTGCCCCTCAAACTCCACCCGCTCACTAGCCTTTGAGGCACCTCAGAGACACACCTTGAGACTGAAAGAGAGGCTTACCTTGAGTAGGCCAGGCAGGCACAACTAGGGTCTGGAAGCGAAGCACACGGGCCGCTCATCACTTGCAGCATTCAACTGCCCCTCAAACTCCATCCCGTCACGGCCCACCACCCTTGAGGGGTCTCAAAAACACATCTTGAGGAGAAGGGAAGGGAGACTCACCTTGAGAAATCCAGGAACGACAAGCGTCTGGAAGCACATGGGCCTCTCATCGCTGGCTGCATTCAACTGCCCCTCAAACTCCACCCGCCCACCAGCCAGAGGGCCGGCGGCGAGGAGCGAGGAGGGCGAGATGGATGCGAGGAGGGAGGGGAGGAGGGAGGCGGGGAGGAGCGGCTCGAGGGCCATGCGGAGGAGGAGGTGCAGCATTGAGGGTAGCCAGCCGTGTGGGCCGTGCTCCTTCATTCTGGGAAGGAAGCAGGGTAGGGAACACGTTAGAGAAAATGAGGGGAGAGAGCGAGGTGTGAGTCAAAGGGAGGCGTGGAAACGGGATTGGTTGGAGCGCCATGCGGAGGAGGTGGTGCAGCATGGAGGGTAGCCAGCCGTGTGGGCCGTGCTCCTTCATCCTGAGAAGGAAGCAGGGTGGGGAACAGGTTAGGAGAAGAAGTGGGAGAGAAAGAGGTGTGAGTCGATTGCACAGGAGAGACATGCGGAGGAGGTGGTGCAGCATGGAGGGTAGCCAGCCGTGTGGGCCGTGCTCCTTCATCCTGAGAAGGAAGCAGGGTGGGGAACAGGTTAGGAGAAGAAGTGGGAGAGAAAGAGGTGTGAGTCGATTGCACAGGAGAGACATGCGGAGGAGGTGGTGCAGCATGGAGGGTAGCCAGCCGTGTGGGCCGTGCTCCTTCATCCTGAGAAGGAAGCAGGGTGGGGAACAGGTTAGGAGAAGAAGTGGGAGAGAAAGAGGTGTGAGTCGATTGCACAGGAGAGACATGCGGAGGAGGTGGTGCAGCATGAAGGGTAGCCAGCCGTGTGGGCCGTGCTCCTTCATCCTGAGAAGGAAGCAGGGTGGGGAACAGGTTAGGAGAAGAAGTGGGAGAGAAAGAGGTGTGAGTCGATTGCACAGGAGAGACATGCGGAGGAGGTGGTGCAGCATGGAGGGTAGCCAGCCGTGTGGGCCGTGCTCCTTCATCCTGAGAAGGAAGCAGGGTGGGGAACAGGTTAGGAGAAGAAGTGGGAGAGAAAGAGGTGTGAGTCGATTGCACAGGAGAGACATGCGGAGGAGGTGGTGCAGCATGGAGGGTAGCCAGCCGTGTGGGCCGTGCTCCTTCATCCTGAGAAGGAAGCAGGGTGGGGAACAGGTTAGGAGAAGAAGTGGGAGAGAAAGAGGTGTGAGTCGATTGCACAGGAGAGACATGCGGAGGAGGTGGTGCAGCATGGAGGGTAGCCAGCCGTGTGGGCCGTGCTCCTTCATCCTGAGAAGGAAGCAGGGTGGGGAACAGGTTAGGAGAAGAAGTGGGAGAGAAAGAGGTGTGAGTCGATTGCACAGGAGAGACATGCGGAGGAGGTGGTGCAGCATGGAGGGTAGCCAGCCGTGTGGGCCGTGCTCCTTCATCCTGAGAAGGAAGCAGGGTGGGGAACAGGTTAGGAGAAGAAGTGGGAGAGAAAGAGGTGTGAGTCGATTGCACAGGAGAGACATGCGGAGGAGGTGGTGCAGCATGGAGGGTAGCCAGCCGTGTGGGCCGTGCTCCTTCATCCTGAGAAGGAAGCAGGGTGGGGAACAGGTTAGGAGAAGAAGTGGGAGAGAAAGAGGTGTGAGTCGATTGCACAGGAGAGACATGCGGAGGAGGTGGTGCAGCATGGAGGGTAGCCAGCCGTGTGGGCCGTGCTCCTTCATCCTGAGAAGGAAGCAGGGTGGGGAACAGGTTAGGAGAAGAAGTGGGAGAGAAAGAGGTGTGAGTCGATTGCACAGGAGAGACATGCGGAGGAGGTGGTGCAGCATGGAGGGTAGCCAGCCGTGTGGGCCGTGCTCCTTCATCCTGAGAAGGAAGCAGGGTGGGGAACAGGTTAGGAGAAGAAGTGGGAGAGAAAGAGGTGTGAGTCGATTGCACAGGAGAGACATGCGGAGGAGGTGGTGCAGCATGGAGGGTAGCCAGCCGTGTGGGCCGTGCTCCTTCATCCTGAGAAGGAAGCAGGGTGGGGAACAGGTTAGGAGAAGAAGTGGGAGAGAAAGAGGTGTGAGTCGATTGCACAGGAGAGACATGCGGAGGAGGTGGTGCAGCATGGAGGGTAGCCAGCCGTGTGGGCCGTGCTCCTTCATCCTGAGAAGGAAGCAGGGTGGGGAACAGGTTAGGAGAAGAAGTGGGAGAGAAAGAGGTGTGAGTCGATTGCACAGGAGAGACATGCGGAGGAGGTGGTGCAGCATGGAGGGTAGCCAGCCGTGTGGGCCGTGCTCCTTCATCCTGAGAAGGAAGCAGGGTGGGGAACAGGTTAGGAGAAGAAGTGGGAGAGAAAGAGGTGTGAGTCGATTGCACAGGAGAGACATGCGGAGGAGGTGGTGCAGCATGGAGGGTAGCCAGCCGTGTGGGCCGTGCTCCTTCATCCTGAGAAGGAAGCAGGGTGGGGAACAGGTTAGGAGAAGAAGTGGGAGAGAAAGAGGTGTGAGTCGATTGCACAGGAGAGACATGCGGAGGAGGTGGTGCAGCATGGAGGGTAGCCAGCCGTGTGGGCCGTGCTCCTTCATCCTGAGAAGGAAGCAGGGTGGGGAACAGGTTAGGAGAAGAAGTGGGAGAGAAAGAGGTGTGAGTCGATTGCACAGGAGAGACATGCGGAGGAGGTGGTGCAGCATGGAGGGTAGCCAGCCGTGTGGGCCGTGCTCCTTCATCCTGAGAAGGAAGCAGGGTGGGGAACAGGTTAGGAGAAGAAGTGGGAGAGAAAGAGGTGTGAGTCGATTGCACAGGAGAGACATGCGGAGGAGGTGGTGCAGCATGGAGGGTAGCCAGCCGTGTGGGCCGTGCTCCTTCATTCTGAGGGAAGGAGATACGGGGAGCATGAGCGGTGTGAGTAACAGGGAGGCATAACGGGTAGGAGAGGGAAGGAGGAGGTGCAGCCTGGAAGGCAGGCAGCCGTGTGGGCCGTGCTCCTTCATTCTGAGAGGGAAGGAGATACGGGGAGCATGAGCGCTGTGAGTAACAGGGAGGCATAACGGGTAGGAGAGGGAAGGAGGAGGTGCAGCCTGGAAGGCAGCCAGCCGTGTGGGCCGTGCTCCTTCATTCTGAGACAATATGTTGAAAAGAGGGGCGTGAGAGGTGTGATTCATGGAGAGGCCTAGCGGGTAGGTGAGAAGATGAAATTTGCTGTAAACCCATGCTATAGTACAAAGAAACAAGAGAGAGAATGAGGGACAGAATGGAAAGCGACAAGGGAATCACCTGTGCACGGTCCAGTCAGCACGGGGCAGCAGAAACCGATCGACACGTGGCAGGCCTGACTTGGATGTCACATTGTTCACGAGCAGGATGTGTGCCGCCTTGCCTGCACGTGAGGGGGCAGAGAGAATAGGAGGCGATGTTACTACAGGCGCGTCAAATTGATCTGTCTTGGATGTCACATTGTTCACGAGCAGGATGTGTGCCGCCTTGCCTGCACGTGAGGGGGCAGAGAGAATAGGAGGCGATGCTACTACAGGCGCGTCAAATTGATCTGTCTTGGATGTCACATTGTTCACCAGCAGGATGTGTGCCGCCTTGCCTGCACGTGAGGGGGCAGAGAGAATAGGAGGCGATGTTACTACAGGCGCGTCAAATTGATCTGTCTTGGATGTCACATTGTTCACCAGCAGGATGTGTGCCGCCTTGCCTGCACGTGAGGGGGCAGAGAGAATAGGAGGCGATGTTACTACAGGCGCGTCAAATTGATCTGCCTTGGAGGTCACGTTGTTCACGAGCAGGATGTGCGCCGCCTTGCCTGTGTGTGAGGGACAGAGGGAAAAGGGTTCTGGAATGGATGGAACGGGGAAATATTCGTCTTTCATCATCAAGACCCCTCCCAATCAAGATGCGTCCCAAATGTGCTACCAGCTTATTTTTTTCCTTTCTCTTCTGCTCACCTAGAAAGTGCGCCACATTTGTCGTCTGGTGTGTGAGAGGCACAAACAGGGTCCCGCCCATGCGCCACTCCGCCTCCCCCCCAACCCACCGCCGCCACCGCCCATCCCCTGCTGCCTGCAGCCCGCCTTTCACGGGCGCCTCTGAGAGCGCTGATCTCAGCATGCGGCCGAACTGAGGCAAGTTAGAGCAGGGCGCTGGGGGGAGGAGCGCTTTGAGTTTCCCCATCCCGCAACCCATTCTCACCTAGAAAATGCGCCACATTTGTAGTTTGGTGTGTCAGAGGCACAAAGAGAGTCCCGCCCATGCGCCACTCCGCTTCCCCCCCAACCCACCGCCGCCACCGCCCATCCCCTGCGGCCTGCAGCCCGCCTTTCACGGGCGCCTCTGAGAGCGCTGATCTCAGCATGCGACCGAACTAAGGCAGGTTGGAGCAAGGGCTGGGGGAGGGGAGTGCTTCGAGTCTTTCCAACACACACACTATCCCCATTCCCCATCCGTTCCCCATCCCTTGCTCACCTAGAAAGTGAGCCACGTTGGTGGTCTGGTGTGTGAGAGGCACAAACAGGGTCCCCCCCATGCGCCACTCCGCCTCCCCCCCAACCCACCGCCGCCACCGCCCATCCCCCGCGGCCTGCAGCCCGCCTTTCACCGGCGCCTCTGAGAGCGCTGATCTCAGCATGCGGCCGAACTGAGGCAGGTTGGAGCAGGACGTGGGAGAGAGCAGCGCGGATTTGTTGGCTGTGGCGGGGGCGTGTACCGGGGGGAGGCAGGGGTGGGGGGGGCGCGGGGGGAAAGTGGTGCTGCTGGTGCTGCTGGTGCTGTCGGTGGTATCGGTGGTGTCGGTGGTATCTGTGATATCGGGTCCGTATCTGCCGAGCAACGCCGACCCGTTGTAGCAGACGTTGCGGCAGACGCAGACGGCCTGGGTGCAGCAGAAGGCGTTGCGGAGCCGGTAGCACGCGCAGCCCGAGGGGAAGGTGGCGGGGAGCGCGGAGGGGGAGGTGGAGAGGGGGATGGGGAAGGTGGGCGGAGGGAGGGGCGGGATGGGGGTGAGAGAGGGGGGAGCGGAGGGAGTGGTGGTGTCAGTGGGGAGGGAGGTGGGGATGGGGGTGGAGGAAGAGATAAGGGGGCTGGAGAGAGAAGGTGTAGGCGTAGAGGAGCCTGTGCTGATAAGGTGGGTGGTGGCAGCAGTGCCAGTGGCGTCAGATGGTGTGGTGTTGCTGCTATCAGCAGTCGCTGCAGTAGCTGCTTCAGTCCCAGTAGCAGTAGAGGTACCAGCGGCACCACCACTGCTGCCAATCTCTTTCCCTCCGCTCTTTGCCCCTGCAATGCTCCCCTCCTTTACTTTCTTTCCTTCCTCTTCCTCTCCCCTTTTTGCTCTCTCTTCCAACCTCTCCCCCATGTCTTTCGGCTCTCCCCTCAGAGCAGCAAACACCTTTCCAGCAACTTCCCTTATCGTAGATAGCACCTCCCCCGTGTCCACTTGCAGGGCGGAGTCTTTTGTCCCATTCCCCAGCAGCAGCCAATAGTGCATCTGCGACACGCTGGCTAGGTGGTGGTAACACGCGTTAGGGTAACCCCGGGGGCGGATTTCCAGTAGGAAAGCGCCACGTGGCATGAAGAGGAGGTTGGTCAGGGCGGCCCCGTGCGTGCCGACCAATAGGGCGGCTCGGCGGAAGAGAGCCCGGGCTTCAACGAGGGAGGGGGGGCAGAGATGGAGGGGGGCAGAGATGGAGGGGGGCAGAGATGGAGGGGGGGCAGAGATGGAGGGGGGGCAGAGATGGAGGGGGGCAGAGATGGAGGGGGGCAGAGATGGAGGGGGGCAGAGATGGAGGGGGGCAGAGATGGAGGGGGGGCAGAGATGGAGGGGGGCAGAGATGGAGGGGGGCAGAGATGGAGGGGGGGCAGAGATGGAGGGGGGCAGAGATGGAGGGGGGCAGAGATGGAGGGGGGCAGAGATGGAGGGGGGGCAGAGATGGAGGGGGGCAGAGATGGAGGGGGGCAGAGATGGAGGGGGGCAGAGATGGAGGGGGGCAGAGATGGAGGGGGGCAGAGATGGAGGGGGGCAGAGATGGAGGGGGGCAGAGATGGAGGGGGGCAGAGATGGAGGGGGGCAGAGATGGAGGGGGGCAGAGATGGAGGGGGGGCAGAGATGGAGGGGGGGCAGAGATGGAGGGGGGCAGAGATGGAGGGGGGGCAGAGATGGAGGGGGGCAGAGATGGAGGGGGGCAGAGATGGAGGGGGGCAGAGATGGAGGGGGGCAGAGATGGAGGGGGGCAGAGATGGAGGGGGGGCAGAGATGGAGGGGGGCAGAGATGGAGGGGGGGCAGAGATGGAGGGGGGCAGAGATGGAGGGGGGCAGAGATGGAGGGGGGCAGAGATGGAGGGGGGCAGAGATGGAGGGGGGGCAGAGATGGAGGGGGGCAGAGATGGAGGGGGGCAGAGATGGAGGGGGGCAGAGATGGAGGGGAGCAGAGATGGAGGGGGGCAGAGATGGAGGGGGGCAGAGATGGAGGGGGGCAGAGATGGAGGGGGGCAGAGATGGAGGGGGGCAGAGATGGAGGGGGGCAGAGATGGAGGGGGGCAGAGATGGAGGGGGGCAGAGATGGAGGGGGGCAGAGATGGAGGGGGGCAGAGATGGAGGGGGGCAGAGGATGGAGGGGGGCAGAGATGGAGGGGGGCAGAGATGGAGGGGGGCAGAGATGGAGGGGGGCAGAGATGGAGGGGAGGCAGAGATGGAGGGGGCAGAGATGGAGGGGGGCAGAGATGGAGGGGGGCAGAGATGGAGGGGGGCAGAGATGGAGGGGGGCAGAGATGGAGGGGGGCAGAGATGGAGGGGGGCAGAGATGGAGGGGGGCAGAGATGGAGGGGGCAGAGATGGAGGGGGGCAGAGATGGAGGGGGGCAGAGATGGAGGGGGGGCAGAGATGGAGGGGGGCAGAGATTGGAGGGGGGGCAGAGATGGAGGGGGGCAGAGATGGAGGGGGGCAGAGATGGAGGGGGCAGAGATGGAGGGGGGCAGAGATGGAGGGGGGCAGAGATGGAGGGGGGCAGAGATGGAGGGGGGCAGAGATGGAGGGGGGCAGAGATGGAGGGGGGCAGAGATGGAGGGGGGGCAGAGATGGAGGGGGGCAGAGATGGAGGGGGGCAGAGATGGAGGGGGGCAGAGATGGAGGGGGGCAGAGATGGAGGGGGGCAGAGATGGAGGGGGGCAGAGATGGAGGGGGGCAGAGATGGAGGGGGGCAGAGATGGAGGGGGGCAGAGATGGAGGGGGGCAGAGATGGAGGGGGGGCAGAGATGGAGGGGGGCAGAGATGGAGGGGGGGGCAGAGATGGAGGGGGGCAGAGATGGAGGGGGGCAGAGATGGAGGGGGGCAGAGATGGAGGGGGGCAGAGATGGAGGGGCAGCAGAGATGGAGGGGGGCAGAGATGGAGGGGGGCAGAGATGGAGGGGGGCAGAGATGGAGGGGGGGCAGAGATGGAGGGGGGGCAGAGATGGAGGGGGGCAGAGATGGAGGGGGGCAGAGAGATGGAGGGGGGCAGAGATGGAGGGGGGCAGAGATGGAGGGGGGCAGAGATGGAGGGGGGCAGAGATGGAGGGGGGGCAGAGATGGAGGGGGGCAGAGATGGAGGGGGGCAGAGATGGAGGGGGGCAGAGATGGAGGGGGGCAGAGATGGAGGGGGGCAGAGATGGAGGGGGGCAGAGATGGAGGGGGGCAGAGATGGAGGGGGGCAGAGATGGAGGGGGGCAGAGATGGAGGGGGGGCAGAGATGGAGGGGGGCAGAGATGGAGGGGGGCAGAGATGGAGGGGGGCAGAGATGGAGGGGGGCAGAGATGGAGGGGGGCAGAGATGGAGGGGGGCAGAGATGGAGGGGGGCAGAGATGGAGGGGGGCAGAGATGGAGGGGGGCAGAGATGGAGGGGGGCAGAGATGGAGGGGGGCAGAGATGGAGGGGGGCAGAGATGGAGGGGGGCAGAGATGGAGGGGGCAGAGATGGAGGGGGGCAGAGATGAGGGGCAGAGATGGAGGGGGGCAGAGATGGAGGGGGGCAGAGATGGAGGGGGGGCAGAGATGGAGGGGGGCAGAGATGGAGGGGGGCAGAGATGGAGGGGGGGCAGAGATGGAGGGGGGCAGAGATGGAGGGGGGGCAGAGATGGAGGGGGGCAGAGATGGAGGGGGGCAGAGATGGAGGGGGGGCAGAGATGGAGGGGGGCAGAGATGGAGGGGGGCAGAGATGGAGGGGGCAGAGATGGAGGGGGGCAGAGATGGAGGGGGGCAGAGATGGAGGGTGGCAGAGATGAGGGGGCAGAGATGGAGGGGGGCAGAGATGGAGGGGGGCAGAGATGGAGGGGGGCAGAGATGGAGGGGGGCAGAGATGGAGGGGGGCAGAGATGGAGGGGGGCAGAGATGGAGGGGGGCAGAGATGGAGGGGGGCAGAGATGGAGGGGGCAGAGATGGAGGGGGGCAGAGATGGAGGGGGGCAGAGATGGAGGGGGGCAGAGATGGAGGGGGGCAGAGATGGAGGGGGCAGAGATGGAGGGGGGCAGAGATGGAGGGGGGAGCAGAGATGGATGGGGGGCAGAGATGGAGGGGGGCAGAGATGGAGGGGGGCAGAGATGGAGGGGGGCAGAGATGGAGGGGGGCAGAGATGGAGGGGGCAGAGATGGAGGGGGGCAGAGATGGAGGGGGGCAGAGATGGAGGGGGGCAGAGATGGAGGGGGGCAGAGATGGAGGGGGGCAGAGATGGAGGGGGGCAGAGATGGAGGGGGGGCAGAGATGGAGGGGGGCAGAGATGGAGGGGGCAGAGATGGAGGGGGGCAGAGATGGAGGGGGGCAGAGATGGAGGGGGGCAGAGATGGAGGGGGGCAGAGATGGAGGGGGGCAGAGATGGAGGGGGGCAGAGATGGAGGGGGCAGAGATGGAGGGGGGCAGAGATGGAGGGGGGCAGAGATGGAGGGGGGCAGAGATGGAGGGGGGCAGAGATGGAGGGGGCAGAGATGGAGGGGGGCAGAGATGGAGGGGGGCAGAGATGGAGGGGGGCAGAGATGGAGGGGGGCAGAGATGGAGGGGGGCAGAGATGGAGGGGGGCAGAGATGGAGGGGGGGCAGAGATGGAGGGGGGCAGAGATGGAGGGGGGCAGAGATGGAGTGGGGGGGGCAGAGATGGCGGGGGCAGAGATGGAGGGGGGCAGAGATGGAGGGGGGCAGAGATGGAGGGGGGCAGAGATGGAGGGGGGCAGAGATGGAGGGGGGGCAGAGATGGAGGGGGCAGAGATGGAGGGGGGCAGAGATGGAGGGGGGCAGAGATGGAGGGGGGCAGAGATGGAGGGGGGCAGAGATGGAGGGGGGCAGAGATGGAGGGGGGCAGAGATGGAGGGGGGCAGAGATGGAGGGGGGCAGAGATGGAGGGGGGCAGAGATGGAGGGGGCAGAGATGGAGGGGGCAGAGATGGAGGGGGGCAGAGATGGAGGGGGGCAGAGATGGAGGGGGGCAGAGATGGAGGGGGGCAGAGATGGAGGGGGGCAGAGATGGAGGGGGCAGAGATGGAGGGGGGCAGAGATGGAGGGGGGCAGAGATGGAGGGGGGCAGAGATGGAGGGGGCAGAGATGGAGGGGGGCAGAGATGGAGGGGGGCAGAGATGGAGGGGGCAGAGATGGAGGGGGGCAGAGATGGAGGGGGGCAGAGATGGAGGGGGGCAGAGATGGAGGGGGGCAGAGATGGAGGGGGCAGAGATGGAGGGGGGCAGAGATGGAGGGGGGCAGAGATGGAGGGGGCAGAGATGGAGGGGGGCAGAGATGGAGGGGGGCAGAGATGGAGGGGGGCAGAGATGGAGGGGGGCAGAGATGGAGGGGGGCAGAGATGGAGGGGGGCAGAGATGGAGGGGGGCAGAGATGGAGGGGGGCAGAGATGGAGGGGGCAGAGATGGAGGGGGGCAGAGATGGAGGGGGGCAGAGATGGAGGGGGCAGAGATGGAGGGGGGCAGAGATGGAGGGGGGCAGAGATGGAGGGGGGCAGAGATGGAGGGGGGCAGAGATGGAGGGGGGCAGAGATGGAGGGGGGCAGAGATGGAGGGGGGCAGAGATGGAGGGGGGCAGAGATGGAGGGGGCAGAGATGGAGGGGGGCAGAGATGGAGGGGGGCAGAGATGGAGGGGGGCAGAGATGGAGGGGGGCAGAGATGGAGGGGGGGCAGAGATGGAGGGGGGCAGAGATGGAGGGGGGCAGAGATGGAGGGGGGCAGAGATGGAGGGGGGCAGAGATGGAGGGGGGGCAGAGATGGAGGGGGCAGAGATGGAGGGGGGCAGAGATGGAGGGGGGCAGAGATGGAGGGGGGCAGAGATGGAGGGGGGCAGAGATGGAGGGGGGCAGAGATGGAGGGGGCAGAGATGGAGGGGGGCAGAGATGGAGGGGGGGCAGAGATGGAGGGGGGCAGAGATGGAGGGGGCAGAGATGGAGGGGGGCAGAGATGGAGGGGGGCAGAGATGGAGGGGGGCAGAGATGGAGGGGGGGCAGAGATGGAGGGGGGCAGAGATGGAGGGGGGCAGAGATGGAGGGGGGGCAGAGATGGAGGGGGGCAGAGATGGAGGGGGGCAGAGATGGAGGGGGGCAGAGATGGAGGGGGGGCAGAGATGGAGGGGGGCAGAGATGGAGGGGGCAGAGATGGAGGGGCAGAGATGGAGGGGGGCAGAGATGGAGGGGGGCAGAGATGGAGGGGGGCAGAGATGGAGGGGGGCAGAGATGGAGGGGGGCAGAGATGGAGATGGAGGGGGCAGAGATGGAGGGGGGCAGAGATGGAGGGGGGCAGAGATGGAGGGGGGCAGAGATGGAGGGGGGCAGAGATGGAGGGGGGCAGAGATGGAGGGGGGCAGAGATGAGGGGGGCAGAGATTGGAGGGGGGCAGAGATGGAGGGGGGCAGAGATGGAGGGGGGCAGAGATGGAGGGGGGCAGAGATGGAGGGGGGCAGAGATGGAGGGGGGCAGAGATGGAGGGGGCAGAGATGGAGGGGGGCAGAGATGGAGGGGGGCAGAGATGGAGGGGGGCAGAGATGGAGGGGGGCAGAGATGGAGGGGGGCAGAGATGGAGGGGGGCAGAGATGGAGGGGGGCAGAGATGGAGGGGGGCAGAGATGGAGGGGGGCAGAGATGGAGGGGGCAGAGATGGAGGGGGGCAGAGATGGAGGGGGGCAGAGATGGAGGGGGGCAGAGATGGAGGGGGGCAGAGATGGAGGGGGGCAGAGATGGAGGGGGCAGAGATGGAGGGGGGCAGAGATGGAGGGGGGCAGAGATGGAGGGGGCAGAGATGGAGGGGGGCCAGAGATGGAGGGGGGCAGAGATGGAGGGGGGGCAGAGATGGAGGGGGGCAGAGATGGAGGGGGGCAGAGATGGAGGGGGCAGAGATGGAGGGGGGCAGAGATGGAGGGGGGCAGAGATGGAGGGGGGCAGAGATGGAGGGGAGCAGAGATGGAGGGGGGCAGAGATGGAGGGGGGCAGAGATGGAGGGGGGCAGAGATGGAGGGGGGCAGAGATGGAGGGGGGCAGAGATGGAGGGGGGCAGAGATGGAGGGGGGCAGAGATGGAGGGGGGCAGAGATGGAGGGGGGCAGAGATGGAGGGGGGCAGAGATGGAGGGGGGCAGAGATGGAGGGGGGGCAGAGATGGAGGGGGGCAGAGATGGAGGGGGGCAGAGATGGAGGGGGGCAGAGATGGAGGGGGGCAGAGATGGAGGGGGGCAGAGATGGAGGGGGGCAGAGATGGAGGGGAGAATTCGGGTTTCTGTGAAAATAAGGGGAGGTTCGTAATACTTGTCAGAAGTCTAGAAGCTGATTGTGTTGACGAAAAGAAGGGTATACATATGATGCATGAGAGAGGTGGAAGGGAAGGAAGTCGTTGGGGCAAATAGGACAAAATCATGGTGGAATGGTCAACCAAAATCGGTCCCACGATGTGTTTGGGTGAACCAATCACAAGGTTGGGACCAATGTGGAATGACCACCAATCAACAAATTGCTCGTGTCAAGGCTCCACCACAAAATGGTGGATTGGCACCCAACACAAATGTACACCCAAATTGGGATACATGCCCAACTCGACTGTACACCAAGATTTGTCAAGTACTGAGAGGAGGGAGGGAGCAATAGGACAGGACGAGGGTCAGAAGATGAAGAAAAGTAAAAGAACAGGATGTGTCGGTGCTGGAGACAGTGGCAGCAGTGGGGCAAGGGAAAGCGTGGTGATTACACGAGAGAAGCTGAAGGAGTTGAAGGAATACATAATGAGCATGGAGGGAACATGCGCACGGATGAAAGTAAGCCCGAATGTGCCGAATCACCCCCTTTTCCGTGCTGTACCCCTTTCCCTCTGTGCTGTAAAACCAGCCCTTCCCCTCCGTGCTGCTAAGTCAACCCTTTCCGTCCATGCTGTAAAATCAATCCTTCCCCCTCCGTGCTGTAAAATTAAACCGTCCCCCACTATGCGGTAAAATCAATCCATCTCCCTCCGTGCTGTAAAATCAACCTCTCCCCCACCGTGCTGTAAAATTAACCCCTTCCCCTTCGTGCTGTAAAATAAAATCAACCTCTCCTCTTTCGTGCTGTATACTCATAGCCTACCAACGTTTATTTTATAGCACGAACGGGGAGGGGTTGACTTAACAGCACGGAGGGAAGGGGTGAGTTTATAGCATGACGGAGGGGAATTGATTTGATTTTACAGCATGGAAAGGGAGGGATTGACTTAACAACACAAAAGATGAGGTGATGATTGTATAGCACGGAAGGGAGGGGTCGACTTTACAGCACAGAGGGGGAAGGGTTACAACACGGATGGGGATGAACTGATTTTACAGCACGGAGGGAGCGGGTGATTTGGCGCACGCGCCCTCACCTTCATGCGTGCACATGTCCTCCCCATGCTCATTACGCATTTATCCAACTCCTTCAGCTCCTCTCGCGTAACCGCTACGTTTTTCCTTGCCCCACTGTTGCTACAGTCTCCAGCACCGATGCCTCTGGTTCTTTTACTTTTCATCATATTCTAACCTTTGAGTCGACTTAAAAGTCTGCCCCACTGTTGCTACAGTTTCCAGCACCGACGCCTCTGGTTCTTTTACTTTTCATCATATTCTGACCCTCGTCTTGTCCTCTTTGTCAGAAAAGCTTAGCATACTACCATATTATCTAACAGTACTTTACAAAAGGAACAGTGAGAAAAAGAGAAGAAGGGGGGAGCAACAGTGTTTTACTCAGTACATGAGTGCTCACTTGCTCGTTCACTCACTCACTCCATCGCTGGTCACTCACTGTCTCAGCCACTCCTGCACCTTAACACCCACCTTCCAAGAGAGGCAGCCTCCCATAAAAAAACCACCACTCGCCACTCCCTTCACCACTCACATCAAGTCACTCACTCTCACTCACTCACTTACTCAATCCTGCACTCCAACACTCACCTTCCATGAGAGGCAGAGTTCCATCAAACACCACCACTCGCCTCTCCCCAAACTCCTTCCTCATCCACCCCTCCACCCTCTCATACACACTCTCCTCCAGATTTCTAGACAGATTCCCGGGCCTCCGAACCAGGATCGTCACCCAGTTCAGCCCCGTCGTCATCCCGAACGTCTCCGCTAGGCTCGGCAGAGGTCCGGGCTTCAGCACGTCGAGCCGCCGGGGATGTTGTGACTGTTGTTCCTCACGCTGGCTAAGTAAGTCTGTTATGTCTTGGTAATTAAGTGGGGAGGTTCGGCGGAGGCGGAAACTTTCGGGCTCGTATATGGGCAGCCCGTCGGGCGGAAGGAAAAAGTTTCGGCGGAGGAAGCGCCAAATAGTGGGTGTGGCTCGGCCGCAGCAGCGGTAGACAGGCTGGAGGTTGGGGAGCATGGGGGAGGGGGATGAGAGGGAGGAAAGTGGGGAGGAACGGAGGGATAGAGGGGGAAGGAGAGAAGGAGATGAGAGAGAGCGGAACGTAGATACCCTGGTAACAAACGTGGCCTTTCTTACCAACTAGGCTACAAACCCGTCCATACTTAGTAGACACTACTACTAAGTAGAATGTGAGTTCTACTAAATATGGACTGCACCCCTTTTTACATGATAAAAAGCAAGCTAAACCCCAAACCCTGGAAAAGTGCAGATTTTTTTACCTAGAAAAAATATCCATTCTTACCTGATAGAGCGCCTGTGTGAGGAAGAGGGTGTTGCGGTGCTGCCAGTCAAGCACGAGCAGATTCATGTGCGCTGGCTCCACTCCAACTATGTGCTTCAACGGGCTACGGGACCCCCTTGGTTACCTGATAGAGTGCCTGGGTGAGGAAGAGGGTGTGGCGGTGCTGCCAGTCAAGTACGAGCAGGTTCATGTGCGCTGGCTCCACTCCAACTATGTGCTTTAAGGTATTGTTGTACAGCTGGAGCTGCACGGGTGGTATGGTAGGACATACATACACATGCGCACACGAACACACATACGTACACACACACATGCACACGCACACACGCACAGACACACACAATCACACGTGTTTCTTGCATATTATGCTATGGTGCTATGCACTATGTGATGTGATGGTGCTCTGGTGCTATGCTAATCACCCCAGCAATCCCATGAAACTCTGGCGATGCCTCATCATCTGCGTGTTTCCTCATGCTTTGACTCAACTCATGTTCTCTCACCTACCTGAGCAGCCTGCATGACAACGAGCATGTTGGGATGCTCCTGCAGCAGCGCCCTCAGCATCCGAGTGCTTGTTTCCTCTTACTCCAATCATGCGCTCACCTGAGCAGCGCGCATGACAATGAGAATGTTGGGGTGCTCCTGCAGCAGCTCCCTCAGCACGAGCCACTGCGGCACCCACTCGATGATGGAGTGGTAGAAGCTGGTGTGGTGGTGCTGTGCAACTATCTGTGCTTCATGCACACCAGGTCTCACCTGAGCACCGCGCATCACGATAAGTATATTCCGGTGTCCAGCAGTTCCCTCAGCACGAGCCACTGCGGCACCCACTCGATGATGGAGTGGTGGTAGAAGCTCTTGTTGTGGTGCTGTGCTGCTGTGATGCCTCACCGTCTCTGCTCCTGCTGATTCAATTCACGCACAACTGCGCTCACCTGAGCAGCGCGCATAACAATGAGCATGTTCGGATGCTCCTCCAGCAGTTCTCTCAGCACGAGCCACTGCGGCACCCACTCGATGAGGCAGTGATAGAAGCTCTTGTGGTGCTGTGGCACCTCACCTCTCCATCTCTGTTCTTACTGATTCAATCCACGCACTCCAGCTCTCACCTGAGCAGCGCGCATGACAATGAGAATGTTGGGATGCTCCTGCAGCAGCTCTCTCAGCACGAGCCACTGCGGCACCCACTCGATGATGGAGTGGTAGAAGCTGGTGTGGTGGTGCTGTGCAACTATCTGTGCTTCATGCACACCAGGTCTCACCTGAGCCGCGCGCATCACGATTAGAATGTTGGGGTGTTCTTCCAACAGCTCCCTCAGCACGAGCCACTGAGGCACCCACTCGATGATGGAGTGGTAGAAGCTTGTGGCGGGCGTGTACAGCATGCTCACCATCTCTTCTCGTAGCATGCTCACCGTCTCTGCTCTTAGCATGCTCTCTCCTCCTCTCGCTCACCTGAGCCGCGCGCATGACAATGAGTATATTCGGATGTTCTTCCAGCAGCTCTCTCAGCACGAGCCACTGGGGCACCCACTCGATGATGGAGTGGTAGAAGCTCGTGGCGGGCGTGTACAGCATGCTCACCATGCGCCCCACCCGCTGCACCGTGGTGTTGGCGGTGGGGTAGGTGAACTGGTTTAAGGGGGGGGAAAAGAGGGAGAACATAATAAAAAGGGGAGCTGGTGGCGGGCGTGTACAGCATGCTCACCATGCGCCCCACGCGCAGGACTGTTGTGTTGCCGGTGGGGTAGGTGAACTGGTTATAGGGGGGACACAGAGAGGGAGACACATAAGGGGGAGCTCGTGGCGGGCGTGTACAGCATGCTCACCATGCGCCCCACGCGCTGCACTGTTGTGTTGACGCTGGGGTAGGTGAACTGGGTGGGGGTACAGGGAAGAGATGTGACAGGGAGACACAGAGAAGAGGAGAGAGAGCTGGCGTCGGAATTTCAAAGTAAAGCATGCTCACCATACGCCCACCCACTACACCAGTGTAGCATTGAAGGGGCTATTAATCTGGGTGACACACAACACGGGAGAGCTGGTGAACAAGGGGGAGGGGCCCAGAAGCAAGAGGGGAGCTGGTAACCCCATTTCGTGACTCACCTCAGCATCAAAGAAGCCGGCATGGCGGAAGAAGTGCATGGAGCTGTTGAACACCACTCTGTTCCAATCCATCATCACATCCCGCATCTCAAAGTACTGAAACAGCGTGAAAGAGGATTTGCTTCGAGACGTCTCGAAACAAATAATCGTAACTTCGTTCATGTGGCATGACTCACATCAGCATCTGAAAAGCAGCCATGGCGGAAGAAGTGCATGGAGCTGTTGAACACCACGCCGTTCCAATCCATCATCACATCTCGCATCTCGAAATACTGAAACAGCGTCCTGTCATGCCGCACATAGTCCCCTGCCTGCGAACATCTCAAATCTGCGCCTTTCCCCCCAATCTCTTCCCAGTTCTCCAGCTTCAGGCAGTTTTCGGGAGGTCCGGGGTCGATGTGGATCGGCGCCACTATGTCGGTTCGGTGGCAGGCTCGCAGGTTCGGGAACGCCGAGCCGCAGGGAGCGAGGTTCGGACAGGGTCCGCCGGTGCACTGCAGCCGGACCTCTTTTTCAGGGATGTGGAATTTGAAGTATTCTAGAAAAGCGCTGGCTAGGTGGCTGCGGGTTATGCTTGTATTGAGAGTTGTTGTATCGAGTACGGCGTCTGGGAAGGAAGGGAGGATGGGAGAACCTTCTGGAATGGCCGGGATTGGGAGGTTGGGATTGTTGAGCTCTACGCCAGTTTTACTCATTATAATCGGACGCGGTTTCTGTTTAGGGCTGGTTTTTGCTTTCAAACTGCTCTGCTCCGTTGACTGGGTTGACTTGGTTGACTGAGTTGACTTGGTTGACTTTTGGTCCGTAGGTTTGTTCGGATCCGTTGCTTTGCTCTGATGCAACTGAACGGTAAGCTCCTTCTCGAATTGGTTCACTCGTCCCAAGAGCAGCGTGCTATCACGGCTTCCATCCCTGCTGCTGCCGCTGCTGCTGCTGCTGCTGCTGCTGGTGGCGGTGCTGCTGCTGCTGTCAGAAACCGTTTGCAAATTCGATTCTCCTAAAGCGAGACGGGAAGGGGAGAGAGCGAGAGAGAGGAGGAGGAAAAGGGAGAGGAGGATCGGGGTGATGGAACTGCCGTGGTGTTTACGGGGGGTTGACGGACGGACCCAGACTGCTGTCCGCAATTCGCGGATGCTGTCCATCCTCGTTTGTAACATACTGCGTGCCCTCAAAACCGTCTGTAACTGTAATACGAGGCTTCTGGTGGCGCTGGATCAGATAACAGAGTCTCTTGCCGTTGGCTCTTGCCGCTACGATACGCACGGGCGTTCCAGTGGTGGCCACGTGATAAAAGTGCTGTTTTGAGACGTCTCAAAACAACGCTTCTGGTGGCGCTGGATCAGATAAATGATAAGATGCTCTTGCCGCTACGATACGCGCGGGCGTTCCAGTGGTGGCTTCTCAGTCGGATCAAAGAACATACCCGACCAGCTAACATCCCTACTGGGACGGAATTCAAGTTCACCCCCTACTGGCCCGTGCAACGCGGACTGACCTAGCTACGCGGCGGAGAGATTTTTTACATTTACTGCTCTCCCAGATTACGATAACTACTTTCCGAAACCGATAACCGCCATAGCTTACTCAGCTGTGATAGTGAGGCGATCTGCTCTGGCATTTGGCTAGGGTGGGATGGGAATCGAAGTTTGGGATTGAGGTGTGGTGTGGGTCTTGGCTTGGGAGGGAATTGTGGGTGGGCCTTGGGATTGGATAGGCGAGGCTTGGGGAAATGTGTGCCGGCTTTTGGGAATCTTGGGCATTGCAATCGCAGCTCTGCGTTCCTGGTCCGGCGAATTTATTGGCGAACATGAGACATTCAGGTTACGCTGAGCCTGGCGAAGGGAGCCACATACAGGCCGCTGTGCGACGCAGTAATATTTTGGCACGCTATTCACAAGTGGACTGTACCTAATATCGGAAATTGTGGGTATCGAGGATGCGCTGAACCCTCCAGACCCAAAGCAAACCCAAGCCCCTGAGATTTATAAATTTCCGCTAAGCTGCTCCTAGATTTCCGAATCGCACTAATTAGGGAACATCTGCGTTTCTTTGTGACACAAACTTTTCCATATAGCATAATTCCCGCGATGCCGATATCCACGCCTTCTTCACGCGAAAATGCGTCACATTCTAACCCAGTCGCAACTCATCTTGGTAACGAAGCGCTTCAAAAGGAATCATCAGCTGCCCGTATGGAAACGGTTCCCCCTGAACGTGACGCATTGCCCGTCCGCGTGAGATTATTTGTCGGCGGGCTGCCCGGGAACGTTTCAGAGGATGAAGTTCGAGGTAGATTCCAGCCGTTCGGGCAGGTCAACGAAGTCAACGTGATTCTTGCCAAGTCGCACCAGCTGCTCCCCGCGTCCTTCGCGGCGCCTCCATCGCAGCAAACAAATCCTGACCGTCTATTTCACGAAACGAGCGGAGATGGAGCCGATCGGCAGTGCAGCCACGTGGCAGTGTGTCGTGGCTTTGCTTACGTGGACATGGTTCCCAAGTCCGCCAAGGCCTTGCACCAATGCTTGTCGCTGGTGGGTCTTTCGGCGTAAACTTTAAATGATAAATTGTACGCGTTATCACCGATCCGTTAATTCATATAGTCACTCATCCAGCCCCTTATCCGCGCGTTGCCGTCCACCTTTCTATTCTCCCCCAACCCCCACTCTCTTCCCCCCTCCCCCTCTCTTTCCCCCCACCCCCTCCCCCGCTTTCCGCCGCCCCCGAACCGTACAATATTTGCATACGGAAGGGGAGGAAGGCGCGTGAAAACCTCATGAAGCCCCTCCTGTTTTCCTTTTTCCCCAACCCCACCGAAACCCCCCAGTACAACGGGTGCATGTGGAAAGTTGGGGCGGATGCGCGTGGAAGCAGCAAAGGATAGTTTTCTCGAGCAGGAAATCCGTATACCCACCCTCTTGTTTTCACTTCTCCCCATCCCCCTACATGTGCGCAGTACAACGGGTGCATGTGGAAGGGGGGAAGGATGCGCGTGGAAGCAGCAAGGGAGAGTTTTCTCGAGCACAATGCCAAGGAGCGGAAGGAGAGGGAGAGGCAGGAGGCCGAGGAGGCAGAAGAGAGGGCGAGGGCGGAGGCAGAGCGAAGCAGTGGTGGTAACTTGGTTATGCAGGCCTCTGCCAGTGGGCGTTTGAGCCCGGAGGAGGTAGCTGCACTGAAGTCGAGGAAGCTAGAGCCTATGAATCTGGCGTGGCGCGGAGGGAAAAAGGTACGTGCCTGCCTGCCTGCCTGTCTTGCCTCGCCCCTCACTTGCTACTTGGGTGTGTGACCCCGGAGGAGGTAGCTGCACTGAAGGCGCGGCAGCTGGAGCCTATGAACCTGGCGTGGCGTGGCGTGAAGAAGGTGTGTGCTTGCTTGCCTGCCTGCCTGCCTCCCTTGCCCCTCACTCTCCAACTCACTCACTCGCTCACTCCCTCACTCGCCCCCTGGGCGGTTAAGCCTTTTTGAGGTGCCTCAAAAGCCCTGTTGAGACTCTCAAAACTCCTCTGTCTCAAAGCCGTGTGTGATAAGTCGATTTTTTTGTCGACTCAAAAATAAACTCCTCTGTCTCAAGGCCCCGTCAGACGCGGCGCATGCCGGCAGGAGGGGGGCTGGGGTGTGGGTGGCACAAGCTGAGCTTCCAGCTGCTTTCTGAGACAGTTTCATAAGGCTGTCACCATCTCCTTCTCAACCCCTCTCAACCCCTCTCAATCCCTCTCAACCTCTCTCAATACCTCTCAACTCCTCTGTTCGCCCCGTCAGATGCGGCGCATGCCAGCAGCGGGCGGGCCGGGGTGTGGGCGGCACAAGCTGAGCTTCCAGCGGCTTGCATTCGAACCCTCCCTCTCTGCCGTGCTTGCCCGCGCCGCTGCTGCCACCGCTGTCGCCGCTGCTGCTGCTGATTCTGATGATGGGGATGGTGGTGGTCGTCGTGGTGGTGGTGCTTCTCGTGCTTCTGCTGCTGCGGGTGGTGCTGGTACTGGTGTTGCTTCTGCTGCTGCTGCTGCTGGTGCTGCTGCTGTGGGAGGAGGAGGGCAAGAGAGAAGGACGGGTGGAGGAGGGGAGGGTGCTGCTGATGGGTATGCTGGGTTTGGGGAGCAGCAGCAGTGGGAGGATCATGAGGAGGGGAAGGAGGGGGAGGAGGATGGGGGGTTGGAGAGAGAGAGGGAGATGCAGAGGCGACTGCTGCAGCGGTTCCTGATTATAGAAGGGGGAGGGGCGGAGGCGGAGGGGGGGAAGGTGGAGGGGGGAGGGATGGGTGATGGGGGGAGAAAGGGTGATATGGCGGAGAAGAGCGCAGAGGGAAGGGGTGGGAGTGAGAGTGGTGGGCGGAAGGGGAGTGAGATGGGAAGGGGTGACGGTGATGCGGTCATGAGCGAGGGGGGAGTTGGGGAAGAGGAGGAAGAGGGGGAAGTGGAGGAGGAAGAGGAGGAAGAGGAGGAAGAGGAGGAGGACGATGGGTTGAACATCAATCTGACATGGAGTGGGCCCAGCAAAGTCAGTAAAGGCAGCAAAGAAGGCAAAGGAAGCAAAGAAAGCAAAGGAAGCAAAGACAATGAGAATATCAGTAGTAAGGTGGTGCAGGAAACGAGGTCTAGGGCTGTGGCAGTCACAGGAGGCGCAACTGGTGTGGGCGGTGTGAGTGGTGCATTAGTTGGGGGCACGGATGGTGCAGCAGAGGGTAAGCGGGGGCAGAGCTTAGCAGGGATGAAAGGGGTAGAAGAGAAAGTGGGTAGGGAGAAAGGTGTAAAAGAGGTGGTGGTGGAAGGAAAAGTGTTTGGGGAGAAGACAGGGGAGGGGGGGTCGCGATGGGACAGGCTGTTTGCTGTTGCTTCGTGTGATGTGGAGGAGGAGGAGGAGGAGGAGGAGGAGGAGGAGGAGGAGGAGGAGGAGGAGGAGGAGGAGGAGGAGGAGGAGGAGGAGGAGGAAGAGGAGGAAGAGGAGGAAGAGGAGGAAGAGGAGGAAGAGGAGGAAGAGGAGGAAGGGGGTGTAGAGGAGGGGAATGGGGAAGAGGGGAATGAGAGATGGCAGAAAAATTGGGGAAGGTCAAATCTGGAGGGAGAGAGCATGGAAGAGGATATATTGGAAGAAGATGAGTTGGAGGAGAAGAGAGAGGAGGGTGAGGAGAGTAAGGAGGGTGAGGAGAGTGAGGAGGGTGAGGAGAGTGAGGAGGGTGAGGAGAGTGAGGAGGGTGATGAGAGTGAGGAGGGTGAGGAAGAAGTAGGGGAGGAGGAGAAAGAAGTCAAGAGGATAAAGGTAATGAAAGCAGGAGAGGAGCGAGGGGAGGAGGAGATGGAAATGAAGGAGGGGGGTGCAGAGGAGGGGGAGGGGGAGGGGGAGGGAGTGGAGGGCGAGATAGTGGAGGAGGGTGAGGGAGAGGAGGGAGAGATAGAGGAGGAGGGTGAGGGGGATGAGGAGGGAGAGATAGAGGAGAAGGGGGGAGGAGAGGAGGAAGGTGAGGGAGAGGAAGAGGGGAAGGAAAAGGAGGAGGGCGAGGAAGAGGAGGAGGGCATGGGAGAGGCGGAGAGTGAAGGAGAGGAGGAGGGTGAGGAGGGTGGAGCAGGGAGTGAGGATGAGGGAGTAGATGAAGGGGAGGAGGAGGAAGGTGAGGGGAGTGAGGAGGAGGAGGAGGATGTGGAGGAAGGTGAGGAAGAAGGGGAGGAAGAGGAGGCAACAGGGGAGGGGAAAGAGGAAGAGGAGGAGGAGGAGGGGGAGGAGGAGGAGGAGGAGGAGGAGGAGGAGGAGGAGGAGGAGGAGGAGGAGGAGGAGGAGGAGGAGGAGGAAGGGGAGGAGGAGGAAGGGGAAGGCAAGGGGAGTGATAAGCGCACAAGAAAAGGGCCAGACGTGCCTTCGTGGGACAGTCTATTTGCTTTGGCTGCTGGGGAGGGGCTTGGTGCTGGGGAGGGCAAGGAGAAAGATGATGGCAGGAAGGGCTCTGAGAAAGATGGTGGTAGCAGTGGCGGGGGAGGGAAGAGGAAAGGGTCACTGGAGGGGCCTAGTGATGGAGGAAAAGGAGGAAAACGCCAGAAGACAGAAGGGCTGGAAGGGAAGCCAGCTAGTGATGGTGCTGGCAATGGTGCTGCTGCTGGTAGTGCCGCTGCTGCTGGCGCTGCTGCTGCTGGTGAGGCTGCTGCTGGAGATGCAGCAGCAGCAGCGAGTGGGGCCTTGGCGGAGAGGGAGGAGCAAGTGGGCAGTGCATGGGTGCAAAAGTTCACATGGAAATCGCTCACCAGTGCTGATGGCAAACTCTCCTTCTCCCTTAAACCGGTTCTGGGTGAACTGAAGGGCGGTGAGGCACAGGAGGGAGGAGGTGGGACGAAGGAGATGGGGGTTGAGAAAAATGAGGGAGGAGGCGGGGAGGAAGGGAAGGGGGAGGTTATGCGAGGTGGAGAAGGACAGGAGGACGGAGGGAGACTGGAGATGGAGGCGGGAGGGGGTGGGAGGAGGGAAGGGGGGTCATTGTTTGGGGCAGAGCTGGTTGCGCCTCTAGCAACTGGCTTCAGTGGTGCTGGTGGTGTTGGGATTGGTGCTGCTGCTGGTGGTGGGATTGCGGGGAGAGGGGACGGTGGGGGGAGAGGATGGAGAGGGGGCAGGGGAGGTAGGTTCGGAAGGGGAAGGGGAGGAGGGTTGGAAGGGAGTGCAGGAGAGAGGGAAGGAGGAGGTTCTGGGGAAGGTTTACCTCACCTGATGGCATTGGAAGAAGCCAGAGGGGCGGGTGATATGGAGAAGCTTCTGATGGACATGGGAGGAAGCTTCCTCAAGTCGGAGGCGGAGGAGGGGAAGTGGAATCGCAAGAAGAGTGAGCTACGGCATGAGTTGAAGCGACAGCAAAAGTTTGCTCTGAGGAAGATAATGAAGTGAAGCTGCGCATGCCTGCATTTTGTAAGTTTGAAGGTGTTCGGTCAGAATTGGCGTCCACTCTGAATTTTACGTGACTGCAAGCGAGAATGACCACATCCACACGATAAAAATGTGCGGAAATGGCATGGTTGATGTGTATTTCATGTATCCCGAGAAGTCACAAACAAACAGCACTTCACAAACATTCGTTGTTACAATTGTGTTACAGCGCATTCTCCGCTGAGCTGTTTTTTTTTTCGCAACTTCAGTAGAGTGGTCGCGAATGTGAGGTGGCGCGGTGAATGCTGATCCGAAACAGTTCGGCGCTTGGAGCACGTGTGAACCTATCCGCTCTCGAGTCGCGCTGCATCGCTTTTCCGCTCAATCCTCGTCAGCAAAAACTGGTGGCCCTGAAAACAGGGTGGCAGCAGATTTGACTTCGGGCAGGTGTCCGTTGGGCAGGTTCTTGGTCCTGCACTTGGACATGTCGTGCATTTCTATTTGTGGTGACGAGACTGCCACTTCAGCCACGTCGAATCTCCGCGGGTAAGGGAATGAAAGTGGCCAGCAATGTGGGCTTTATTCGAGCCGCGCGCACAGAAATATTGTTGAGGCAGAGGCACCCTACCAGTAAACCTCTTAAACCGTCTTATATATTTTGGTACCACCGTAGACCGCTTGTCGGTCAATGTATCACTTGTTGTGTGTTGCTTGAATTGCTGGACCCTGCCTGCCCAAGACAGACTAGGGTTTCGTGTGGCTGGCTGCTGCTGCTGCTGCTTACCTAGCGGGTCATTTACAATTGACTGAAAGTTTCCTTCTGGTGCGCGACGGTTCAAAACGGTACAGAATTTAAACCGTAACTTAACGTGGCTGACCGTATTTAGCCGTGTCAAAGAACCGTTTCCACCCTCAGGGAATTTGTTTGGCAAACTTTTCTCACCACCAACCTTGCTGTGAAACGCACGAGTTGTGTTGTGTGTGAGAACCATTCATTCCCTCACTAAGAACCAGGCGTGGAAAGGATTGGCGGGAAAGGTGATAAGAGGCCATCCGAGCACTACCAACTCGACTGCGTTTCTTTCCAACCCGCGACTACAAGTTTCGCTCCGCCTAAAGCCGTACTCTCGAACCCGTCTGCCCAACAACCCTAGCGCCAGCTAAGGTTCACGGCGAAACAAATATCAAACAACATTTCTGACTAAAGCTATTCGTTCGTGCCAATGGAGGCCAGCGTAACGCCAGCATGGAAGGCGCAAGCGCGTACACACGCGACCGCCATTTCCACCGCTTCCACCGCCAACTCCTCCCTCGCGGCTTCAGCTTACGTGTCTTCCGCCTTGCCGAAGGCGCACCACCACCACAGCCAACGACGCGCCGGCTTTCTCTGCCCGCGCTCGCGGATCGTTTATATGCGCGCCCCGTTTACGCGGCCACACAGGCGGCAGGTTCCTAGCGTGCTCGTGCCTTCGCGGTCGGGGAGGCGCGGCCGCGGAGACGGCCTTAAATGCGATGTGTTAGTGCCTGGGTGTCCTTCTCCCGGCGAGCTGAGTGAAGGGGAGGGGGAGAATTCGCGCGGACCGGACGGGCTCCGGTGGAGGCGCGGGCAGAGGGGCTCGGCGCGCAGCGAGAATTTGGCGGTGGAGCAGCAGGCGGAAGAAAAACCTGATAACTGGGATTTTGTTGGGTCGAGTGGCGATTCTTCGGGTTCTGGAGACGAGGGTTCGAATCCTCACGAGTTCACATTTTCGGCGGAGAACAGTGTGATGGTGGACCAAGTGCGAATGCTGCAGCACATTCATTCCTGCACGCACGCGGAAGATGAGGTTGCGGGGGGGGATGCGCGGGGGATAATGCGCGCGACCGCGGGGGGGATGAAGCCGCGTGTGCTGAAAGCGAGCACGCCGATTCGCGATATCTATAAGTCGGAAGGTACGCCGGGCAAAGTTAGCCAACTCAGGGAAGGAGGGGAGGAAGTACGAATGGAAAGGGAAGAGTGGGGGGAAGGGAGAAGTCGGGGGAATGGAAGTTCGTGGATGTGAATGGGTTGCGCGGAGGAGAGACATGAGACCCTTATACATACCCAAATCCCCGTATCACCCCCATTCCCCATCTCCCACCTGCTCTCCCTCCTTCCCTTCTACCGCCCCCTCCTTTCCCCCTTCCCTTTCCCTTGAACCCGCACCCCAACCCCCTCTCACCCTCACCAATTTCCGCATTCGTATTTTTTTATCCGGGCTGCCTCTTTCCCTATCCCCACATCTGCTTTCACACCCGCAGTCCCACTTCCCTGCTCCCCGCACCCCCTCTCCTCTCGCATTCTCTTCTCCCCTTCTTCCCCCCCGCCCACCCCCCCTCTCTTTCCGTGTTTTGTTAAAGGTGCTGCGCATGTAGGCCGAGCCTCCGTTCCGCCTCGTCCTTACTTCTCCCTCGCCTTCTCTCCCCTCTCTTTCCCCCCTCCGGTTCCCGCAGGTCCTATCGACGAGGACGTGGTGTGCATGCAGGCTGATTGGCCGCTGACGTGGACGCACATCACGCTGGCGACCGGCGTGTCCGTGGGTTCCGGGATCGCGGGGCCGGAGGACGTGACGATGCTGACTCAGGCGACAACTTGCACCGCCATTCTATGCTTGCAGGTGTGTGACTGTAGCCTGGGTAGGTTCGCAGGAACATTGGGTACGAATGTAGTGTGCTTATTACTGTATGGTTACAAACGGGTGGTTGCAGAGAAGAATCGTTTGTCGCTGAATCCGAAAGCTGATTTCCCGAGCGTACGCGTCAACAGCGTCCCGATGTTTCACATGCATGCGTTTTCTTATGTATGTTTTTGTTTGTTTGTTTGGCATGCAAACTGTACTCTCATCTCACGCGCATTGTCGACCTTTATTCTATTGTTCGTTTTCGACCTTGGGATTAGCTCTCCAAGCAATCTGTTGTGATTGGTTTGAGCAATGCCCAGAGCCGCGGCAGAATCGGAAACGCACGAACAGACTGCTTTTGCACCATTGCTGTTTATTGCGTAATTGACGGTTGACGTAAAACATGAAGTTGATTGAGGCTTATAACGAGAAGTCAGTGGAGGCCGTCCGGGAGCAGGCAGAGCGATGCGTGTTAATATGCCTCAACACAAAACGAGTTAACATTGATAATATAATTTGTTCGACGTTCACTTGAAGGGCCGGCCGTTCCTGAGCAAGCAGGACGAAACGAAACGATGTCGCTAGTGTTTCTTTCTTTAGTCGAGTGAATATGCAATGTCGCCAGTGCTCCTTTTCCAGCATGTCGCCACGTTCTGCATTCCTCTCGGGTCAACTCAGCATTCGTCCTTCTCTTTCGCCTTATGGCAGGGCCAGGAATCCATGGAGTCATTCGTAGTTGACTGGAAAGCGGTTTATTAGCTAACGGAATTGCGCAATTCGCCATGCTTCTTCATTTCGAGTCCACTCCACTCAATCAGCAGTTTTCCGTCTCTCGTCTGTCTCCTCTCTCCACTCTTACTCCACTCATACATGGCAGGGCGAGGAGTCCCTGGAGTCGTTCGGAGTGGACTGGAAGGCCATTCAGGAGCAGGCAGAGCAGTGCGACGTTAACCATGTTCCTTCATTCAAAGTCCACTCAACCAACAGTCTTCCGTCTCTCTCCTCTCTCTTCCCTCTCTCCTCCCGTCCGTCCATGGCAGGGCGAGGAGTCCTTGGAGTCGTTTGGAGTTGGCTGGACATCCGTTCAGGAGCAGGCGGAGCAGTGCGATGTAGCCATGTTCCGCGTTCCCGTGCCGGAGTTCGACCAGCAGAAACAGGTGAGTCAGCCCACACGATTCTAAGGAAAAACACCAGCTTGGAGTCGACTGGACGGCCATCCGTTCAGGAGCAGGCGGAGCAGTGCGATGTAGCCATGTTCCGCGTTCCCGTGCCGGAGTTCGACCAGCAGAAACAGGTGAGTCAGCCCACACGATTCTAAGGAAAAACACCAGCTTGGAGTCGACTGGACGGCCATCCGTTCAGGAGCAGGCGGAGCAGTGCGATGTAGCCATGTTCCGCGTTCCCGTGCCGGAGTTCGACCAGCAGAAACAGGTGAGTCAGCCCACACGATTCTAAGGAAAAACACCAGCTTGGAGTCGACTGGACGGCCATCCGTTCAGGAGCAGGCGGAGCAGTGCGATGTAGCCATGTTCTGCGTTCCCGTGCCGGAGTTCGACCAGCAGAAACAGGTGAGTCAGCCCACACGATTCTAAGGAAAAACACCAGCTTGGAGTCGACTGGACGGCCATCCGTTCAGGAGCAGGCGGAGCATTGCGATGTAGCCATGTTCCGCGTTCCCGTGCCGGAGTTCGACCAGCAGGAACAGGTATGTTAGCCTAACGCGAGAAAAAAATATCATGTTTCGTTCAAGAAGTCGCAACCTTTTGGGAACATTTTGCAAAGGGATTGACAGGATGAATAAACTCACGACTCTTTATTTGCAACAGATATGTTGTGACAAAGCTTATTGTTTGCCTTCTTATGTCTCAAAACACTGCCTTTTTTTTTTTGCCTTCTTCCTCCTGTTTCTCGTCTGATTGCAGGTTGCGGGGATGGTGGAGGCGGTGCGACTCCTAGCATCGCTGCTGGTGACAGGTCACAGGGTCCACGTGGCATGCGCTACAGGGAAGAACTGCAGCCCGCTGGTCGTGCTCGGGTGAGTACATGCGGTGCTGCGTGGTTCAGTGCGGTGCTGCTTTGCTAGGTCAGGTTGCGAGCGGTATTGCCAGGTAGAATGTGGTGCAGTGCTCCAGTGACATTGCAACCCGTCGGTTGTGCTCGGTTGAGTGCGGTGCTGCTCTGTGCTGAAGCCGGCTGAGGTCCGTATTGACGTAGAGCTCACAATTCTTCCCTTCCACCCCCGTCTGCTTCCCCCCCATTCCCCCCACCCGTCCAGCTACCTGACGTTCTTCCAGGGTCTAGCATGGAGCGAAGCCAAGGCCATGATCGCCGACAGCGTCCCATCCGCCGACCCGTCGCACGAGGCGTGGGAACAGGTGAGGGGAAATGGGCGCCGTAAGGTTTCGTTATTGGGGTAGGTCAGGTGCGCACCGCACCCCATGACAGAGCTGTTGGAGGAGCAGCATCAGCGCCGCATAGAGCAGGGCGCAGGCGACACACCATGCTTCATCCTCTTACCCTCCCCAACCCCCCCTTTCCCCGCCTCCCCCCTCCCCCCTTGCCTGTCTCACCCAGGCTCGTCTCGTTCTGTCAGCAGCAGACGGGGTGGGCGCACACAGGATGACTGAACTAGCAGAGGAGCAGTACCAGCGCCGCATAGAGCAGGGCGCGGGCCATACCTCCTCAAATTCTCTTCTTACACTATTCCCCACGTTCCTCTCCTCGCCCCATGCTTCCCTCCCTCCAGGCCCGGCTGGTGCTGTCAGCAGCGGACGGGGTGGGCGCACACAGGATGACTGAACTAGCAGAGGAGCAGTACCAGCGCCGCATAGAGCAGGGCGCGGGCCATACCTCCTCAAATTCTCTTCTTACACTATTCCCCACGTTCCTCTCCTCGACCCATGCTTCCCTCCCTCCAGGCCCGGCTGGTGCTGTCAGCAGCGGACGGGGTGGGCGCACACAGGATGACTGAACTAGCAGAGGAGCAGTACCAGCGCCGCATAGAGCAGGGCGCGCCTTTCCTCCAAGCCCTCGTCCTTTCCCCCACGCTCCTCCCTTGTCTTCATGCTTCCCTTTCCAGGCGCGTCTCGTTCTGTCAGCAGCGGACGGGGTGGGCGCGCACAGGATGACAGAGCTAGCAGAGGAGCAGTACCAGCGCCGCATAGAGCAGGGCGCGGGCGCGGAGGGCGGGGGGCAGACGGCAAGGGACGACTGGGAGGAGGCGCAGAGGCGACTCATCACTGAGACTCTGCAGCACAGGGTGTCCGCTGACGTCAGCATCTCGCAATCCCTCTCCAAGGTACACAGACGTTAGTCACCGTTCCCATGCACTAAAATGTTCGCTTTTCCTCATCGTTTTTAGGCGCCATCTTTCAAGCCAACGAATGCTTCTCTCTTCCATTCCGTTCTCCCCGTACCCCTTTCCATTGTCTCTGCCCACCTCCTCCCCTTCGGTCCGCCCTCTTTCTCCCCTGCACGCCCGTCCATCCAAGTGGTATCATGTCAGGGCGTCATATTCTAAGTCAACGGATGTTCTGTCCTGTCCCCTCACCCCTCCCCTCTCCTTCCTCGCCCTTCCTCCCATTTCCTTCCTCCTGTGTTTGCCCATCCAGGCGGCATCTCGCCAGGCGTCAACTCCCAAGCCAAGGGAGGTGCAGAGCTTCACTCCCATGGTCGACTCGCAGATACTGCCTCCCCTGGATACGCCCTTCCAGGTACTTACCTCCCTGTTCACTTCTGACTCCAGATTATGATATTCAATGTGCCTGAAAAAACTTCCAGGTTCTTACCTGCCCGCTCACGGTTCACTCCAAATTGTGATGTCAGGCCCACAGCCCTGCTCCCTCCCGAGCCCGCTCACTGCTCCCCCATGCGCCCCCGCTGCTCTCCTCGTATTTTGAGGTGAATTTTGAGGCGCGCAGTGAGGTGAATTTTGAGGCGCCTCAAAATTCTCCCCCATGCGCCCCCGCTGCTGTCCCTCTTATTTTTCTCGCATCAGGCAGCAGGAAGCCCCTCAATGCTCCCTCGCATTCCTATTGCCTCCAGCGGTTCCTGTTCTCCTTCCTTCCTTCCCTCCCTCCCCCTCTTCTCACAGCAGCAGCCGCACATCCTGGACTCGATCTACTCGTTTGTCAATGACCACCACGCCCACGCCTGGCCCCTCGTCCATTATCAACCCCCTTCCATCATTCCATGCCATTGCGCCCTATCATACCCCCTCACGCCCCCCCACCCCCCGTCCCTCCCCCGCCCCCTCAAACCCTCCCCTCCCTCCCCTCACAGCAGCAGCCGCACATCCTTGACTCAGTCTACTCCCTTGTCAACGACCATCACTCCCACGCATGGCCCCACTCTCCCCCCACTCCCCGCATTCTCTCATTCCTGCTGCCCCTCTTTCCCCTCTCCCCTCCCCTCACAGCAGCAGCCGCACATCCTTGATTCGGTCTACTCGTTTGTCAACGACCACCACGCCCACGCCTGGCCCCTCGCTGCCCCTCATTACCCCCTCCCATCCCATCGCTCCCTGTCCTACTCACCCCATCCCCCTTCACAGCAGCAGCCGCACATTCTCGATTCGGTCTACTCGTTTGTCAATGACCACCACTCTCACGCATGGCCCCTCGCTTTTGCGGAGGTTGTACTGGGGGAGGGTGTGCTGGGGGAGGTGTCATCTGGAGTGGAGGAGCGCATCGCACTGCTAGAGCAGAAGCACCTTGCTGCCATGGCTGCTGCTAGGTCTGCTACAGAACAGGTACGGAAAGAGAATCTATAGGGGAGGTTGATGTTGGGGAAGGTGGGGTGGGGGAGGTGTCATCTGGCGTGGAGGAGTGCAGTGCATTGCTGGAGCAGAAGCACCTGGCGGCCATGGCTGCTGCTCGGTCCGCCACAGAACAGGTACGGAAAGAGAATCCGAGGTTGATGTGGGGGAGGGTATGCTGGGGAAAGGTGGGCTAGGGGATGTGGCGTCTTGAGTGGAGGAGTGCAGTGCATTGCTGGAGCAGAAGCACCTGGCGGCCATGGCTGCTGCTAGGCCCGCAACAGAACAGGTAGGGACAGAGACATGTGCACACATACATGTTTAGGGTGTGCTGGGGGAGGTGTCATCTGGCGTGGAGGAGCGCATTGCACTGCTGGAGCAGAAGCACCTGGCAGCCATGGCTGCTGCTCGGTCCGCCACAGAGCAGGTAGGGACAGAGAGTTTGTGCACATACACATGTATAAGGGTGGGCTGGTTTTGAGGCGCCTCAAAAACATAATCCGTGTACATATACATGTAGAGGGTAGGCTGGGGAAGGGTGGGCTGGGGGAGGGGTCATCTGGAGCGGAGGAGCGAATCGCATTGCTGGAGCAGAAGCACCTGGCAGCCATGGCTGCTGCATACATTTACTTACATACATACATATGTGGTTTATAGCAACCACTATCCACCCCTTTACCTCACCTCTGTCTTCCCTCTTCCCTTATTCCTCTCTCTTCCTGCTTCCTGCTTCCCAGGTGCGTTTCTTCATGCAGCACGTGAGTGAGTTGAGGGAGAGCGAGACAGCAGCTGCAGCAACGACACCTGTTAACCTTGCCCTTTTCCCTCTCCCTTTCCGCTCCGCCCTTCTCCCTCTATGCAGGTGCGGTTCTTCATGCAGCACGTGAGTGAGCTGAGGGAGAGCGAGACAGCAGCGCGCATGGAGGCAGCAGCAGCACACGAGCGCATCGCCCTGCTCACCGCCCAGGTCGAAGCCCTCAACCTCTCTTTCAGCAGCAGCAGCAGCAGCAGCAGCAGGAGGAGGAAAGGCAGCAGCGCGAGAAGGAGCAGCAGGAGCAGAGGGAACAGCAGGAGCTGCAGGCTGCTGCGTTCCTGGGAGTGGACTCTGCAGCTGCTGCTGCTGCAGCGGCGGCGTCGGCAGAAGCTACGGCGGCAGCAGTGGCTGCGGCGGCAGCCGAGGCCGAAGCAGCCGCAGCGGCGGCAGCGGAGCGAGAATCGGCACTCCATTCCCAGCTCACGGAAGTTTCCCAGGAGCTTTCCCTCCTTCAGGAGCGAGAGAGGGAGCTTTTATCGGCCCACGAAGCAGCAGAGGCGAAAGCACAGGCAGCGGAAGAGCGGGCGGCGGACTTAGCTAACAGAATCGCTCAGATGGAAGAGATGGAAGCAGCAGCTAAGGAAGCAGCGGCGGTGGCTTTGGAGCGCATGCAAGCACTGGCCGAACAGGTGAAGGAACTTTCCGAGAAGGAGCGCGCGGCCACCGCGCGGATGGGCGAGATGGAGACGAGCCTGGAGGAAGCTTCCGAGAAAGCGGCGGCGGATCACGACCTGATGGTGAAGCTGGAAGACCGGGCAGAACGGGCAGAAAAAGAAGCGAGGAAAGCGCAAGAGGCGCTAGGGGCAGCGAACGAGCGGGTGAAATTCTTCTTCCGGGTGATGAGAGGGCTCCGGGATAGGGAGAGAGCAGCAAAAGAAGCTATGCATGCTGCGACAGACAGGCTCGAGGCTGCTGTGACTGAAGCGGAGAATCTCCGGAGGAAGGATGAGTTGATGCGAGAGGCGTGGGCGGTGGCTAGTGAGAGGATTGAGCTGCTGACGCGGCAGGTGCAGCAGGTGGAGGGGCTGAAAATGGAGGTGAAGCGAGAGGCGGTTGATGCTGCAAAGGTGTTTTTGCATGAGAGTGATGAGCACAGGCTAATGGCTGCTAGGGAGGAGTTGAGTGCGGCGGAGGAGAGAGAGAGGATGTTGCAGGCGCAGTTGGAGAGGCTGGGTGCTGAGCTGGCAGCGGCACGCGATGACATGGCGGAGCGGGACGCCAGGCTGGCGGCGGTGGCTGCTGAGGTGGCGGAGAGGGAGCGGGCGGTGGATGAGAGCCGGGTGGTAATTGGGGCGGCGGAGAAGAGGATTAAGGAGCTGGAGGAGCAGGTGGGGGTGGCGGAGGAGAGGGAGAGGAAAGCCAAGAGGGAGGCTGAGGAGGCAGAGGCGGTACTAGCTGCTGCTCTGGCTGCTGCCGAGACAAAAGACCGAGAATACACTGTCTTGGAGGCGTCTCAGAAGACTGCTTTAGCTGCAGCAGCAGGGGCTGTCACTGCCACTGCTACTACCACTGCCGCCGCTGCTGCTGGTGGTGTAGCTGGTGCCAGCAGTGCTGCTGGTGCAGCAGCGAGCGGTGCAGCAGACCAGCTAATAGCTCGGCTGCAATCCCAAGTGGCTGCCATGTCTAGTGAGCTTGAGGGGGCCCGCTACGCCGCTGCTGCTGCGAGCGAACGGAGTGCCTTCCTCATGCGACAAGTGGCTCGGCTGAAAGGAACTGCTGCTGCTGATGCTGTGACTCGGTCCCAGGGGGGTTCAGGAGGGAAAGGGGAAGGGTCGAGCTCGAAACACAAGGTGGCGGCTTTAGAGGTGGAGATTCGGGCACTGGAGAAACGTGAACGGGCAGCTCTGGCAGAAGCAGAGGATGAGAAGGCCCGGGTGCGGGAGCTTGCAGCGCAGGTCGGGCAGCTGGAAAGCAAGGAGCGGGCAGCCCGGGAAAAACTCCAGTCCTCGCAGGACCGGGTGGGGTTCTTCCTGCGGCAAGCGGTGGAGCTGAGGGAAAGGGAGGGCGCGAGTAAGAGTGCGCTAAAAGCGACTTTTAAGAAAGTGGAGGGGTTGTCGCACCAGGTGGGGCTGTTGCAGGGGGAGTTGGTGCGGGCGAGCAAGGAGTCTGGCAAGTCTACAGATGCTGTGGAGAGGCTGCAGCTGCTGACCATGGAGCTGAAAGAAAAGTATGTGGGGGAAACCCATGTTTACTTGCCCTTAGCTTGTTTTCCCTGTTTTTTGCTCACTTCAAATTGGTGCCTGCACGGATTTCGAGATGCATTGTGACAACGGTGGTGGTTGTAAAAAATGTAATGATGATGATTGTGTGGTTGTGGTGGTCGTACTGATGAGTGTGGTTGTGGTGGTGGTGGTTGCAGGATCCATGAGACTTCTCGAGTGGCCAGCAGCATCAAGAAGAGCCCTGGCTTGTCTAGAATCAATGGATCAGAACGGAACGGGGCAGGGCTTAGTGTGCTCCAGGCTCCTGAGCTCAGTTCTTCTGATGCTTCTGCTACTGCTAACGGTGCTGCTAGTAGCAGTGTGGCAATCAATGGTGTCGCCTCAAAAGCTGTGAAAGGGGAGAAGGAGAAGGAGAAGGAGAAGAAGGATGATGACAGTGATGACTTCCCTGGAGGGTCAGGCAGCGGGGGAGGAGGAGGGGTCGGGGGAAGAGGGGTGTCCGCGCAAGGGAAGGCGAGCAGCAGTGGCTCAAAGGCAGCTTCTCCCTCCTTTGGTTCTCTGGTGGGTTTCCTCTCCCTCTCCCTCTCCCTCTCCGTTTCCCTACTTCCCCCTGTCACAACCACTTCCACCCACCATTCTTTCTCACTTCCCTTCAAGTCCCAGCTCACTTCACCTCAATTCACCTTGCTTCACTCACCTCACCTCACCTCACCTCACCCCACTCTCCTCTCCTCATCCTCCGATGCTGTTTCTTCTTTGTTCTGCCCCTCGTCCTCCTCCTTCCAGAAGGCAACCCAACACCCCACACAACCAAGCAGCACCGCTTTCTCCTCCTTCCAGCAAGCAGCAGCAGCAGTCACAATAGCAGCAGCAGCAGCAGCAGTCACGGCGGCAGCAGGGGCAACAGCAGGGGAATACACAGCAGAACTATCAGACACAGCAACGCTGGTTGCTATGGTTACCACCCTCCAGTCCCAAGCCTCTTCCCTCCGAGCCTCCCGCCAAACCGCCCTCGCCTCCGTGGCGGCCTCCCATTGGCCGTTCCAATCTCTTCAACTGCCCGTTTACGCTGCCCCAGTCAGTGCCCCTCTTGGCCTAAAAAAAAGGGGAGGGAAAGCCAAGGACGGGAAGGGAGGAGATGAAGCCGGGTGGTGGTCGGACCAATCCCAGTCCCTGAAAGCAGATGTTGCTTCTCCTGCTGCCCTCTCTCCCGCTTCACCCACCTCTCCTCTGGATTCGTTTCGAAAAGCCCTCACCTCATTGGCTCTCCCCATCCCCTTCCACCAACTGGGTATGAGGAAGAGGGGGTCTGCCGACCCTGTAGCAGGAGAGCCTGCGCCAGAAGGACCTTCCCCAGGTAATGCCGAAGGTGCTGGCCGGAGGGAAGGGGGTGAGTGGGGATGGGTGGCTGCGGCTGTGCTGGTGCTCCTGCCCCTGCTGCTGGGTCCTAGTGACGCCCTGGGAATGTGAATCAGTTGACTCTGGTTAACTATTTTGCTGCTAGTTTATTTATTACGGTATGCTGGGTGTGGAATGAGATAATGAGAATGTGTGTAGCAACTGTTTTCTGTTGCAATGCATTAGCTTGCAGCTGGGTTTGGATATGCCTATATTATTTGGTACCTGGCTTAGATGTGCCTTGGTTTGCTTTACTCTCTTATTTGTGTACAACAATTGAATGTAAGATTTGAGAGGTTTAAACTGGGGTGGAGGTTTTGTTTTAGTACTTAGTTGACTAGTGAAGTACAGCTCTGCTGCTATGAATGTTGTAGCGACTTGCATCATAGATGGACTTCTGTGTTGTACAGTTTCTGATTCGTTGTCGGTGGCCCGCATCCCTCGCTGTAATTCTCCCCTCATCTTCGACTTCCGCCACCCATCCGCAAGGAGTTCGCTTGCTGATTGGGCTGCTCGTTTGCGGGATGGAATTTTCCCCCGTGTGGCTGGTTGGGTTGGGGGGGGGAGGTTATCGGACACGCTAGGGGGTGAGCTGGGCGTTCACTGGCTGGTGTCGAGTCTACGTCTGTGCCAAATCGAAGAAAGCGGTGCGTTGCGGTGGTGGTGGTGTTGGCTGGAGGTGATTCAGGCGAACACAGGCCAATCTCGTGTCGCCATTTTGGGCTAAAATGCGCAGTCGGCGCTACATTTCCATACAGCGCGGCTCGTTCCGAAATGCTCCCCAATCAAACCTACCTGCCCAGCCTTGACTCAGGTCAGCCTCAATTCTTCATTACTTTCTCATCCAACCGTCAAATTAATCTCCTCATCTAACCAGCTCTTCACAGCCGTCTGTTTTCCTTCGTTTCAGAGAGCTCAGCGACCCTCACCTTCATCATCACATCCCATCCATGCTTCCTGGACCTCTGTTGCCGACCGTGTCTCTCTCTCTCTTGACAGCCTGGGCGCATCCGCCTGCCTCTTACGACAAGATCCGTTCACTGTTGACGGCACTCGCTCACTTGCTTGAGTTTTCTCTGCATCGTTTGCTTGCACCGATTTCCTGTTGTAGACGTCTCATCACTCGCCACGGCCACATCCACGGAAGTAGTAGTTATTTTCGTTCGCAACTGTTTTATATTCTTCCGGAGCGATCGGCTGAGTTGAAGACGCATCGCCACAGCTAGCCACTATCCATTAACTGCTTAGCGGCATTAGCGAACCTATTTGACATATTTTCGCCAACAATTACCATATCTCTTGGCATAGGATTATCTCGATAGTGCGAGCTGCTTCAGAACGCGTCACCACGTTCAGCTATTTAGTTCTTGACCATGATCTTCAAGTCCGAAATTGTTTAGAGCCTTTTCGAACCAGGTATGGTGACATGATGCGTCGACTAGAGCAGTTTTCATGAGCTGTCAGATCGATATAGAACGAGACAGTATCGGATCGACTTCACGACCACGACGCGCCAACACTCCGCGCTTAGTCATCCGGGCACTTTCGTTACGTAGAACAGCCACGTCAGCAGCCACGTCGGCAGCCACCTCGGCTGGGTAAAACAGCCACCTCGGCTGGGTGAAGCAGCCACCTCAGCTGCTCATGACCATGGCGCAAGTCACCTCTCCGGCCCACGATCTAGTTCGCTGCTCCGTCCGCCGCTCGCCACTTAATCAGCTAAAGTATCCACATGCGGCTCGGTACCCATTGTCTATAAAGGCGCCTCGGGACGTGGTTTGGCTCGCGGTTCTGCTCCTCGTGACGGCCACTGCCTTCTGTCCGGTGATTTTGCCGGCCGCGTCAGCCCCGGTTTGCAATCTTTTCGAAGGCCGGTGGGTAGTTGACGGCAACCGCCCGCCGTATCAAGACTCGTGCCCCTTTCTGGTAAGGTTTCCGATTTATGAGCCTTGCTCTGTGGAGTTCTGACTTCCACTGCTGTGTATGTTGGTAATCTCGGTTTCATTCTGTTTCACGGGAGACTTGAAGAGGGCACTGGCTGTTCGGTTTCCGTTTGCAGTTCAACTTGACCCGTTGCACTACGAACGGCCGGCCGGACAACGCGTACGTTCGCTACTCGTGGTATTCGACAAGCTGCAAGAGAATAGTGCGGTTCAACCGAACGTACGTACGAACAAGCGCAGGCTACGCTTTTCAATGAAAGTGGTCACGTCGCATACACTCCCCATCCCTTCCCAGCCCATCCCATTCCATCGGGAAGCCCATTGTCTCTTCTCTCTTCCCTTCCTTCGTTTGTATGTTTCGCTCGCTCCTTCCCTCACCACTCCCGCTCCCCGTTCCGTATGCCCCGCTCTCCCCCTTCTCCCACTATCACACTCGCTACAGTCACTTCGGACAGCTAATAAAGAACAAGCAGATCGCGATCATCGGCGACTCGCTCACGAGCGCCAACTTCGTGCCGTCGCTGCTCTGCCAGGTGTGTTCACGTGTATGGGTGGATTTGGAGGGGGGAGGGTGCTTTGAGTCGACTCAAAACATGCGATCATCGGCGATTCGCTCACGAGCGCTAACTTCGTGCCGTCGCTGCTGTGCCAGGTGTGTGTGGGGGGGGGGGACGAGGGGGGGGGGGGGGGGGGGGGGGGGGGTGAGTGTTTCATCAGCCAATAAAGAAGAAGCAGATTGCGATAATCGGAGACTCGCTCACGAGCGCCAGCTTCGTGCCGCCAGGTGTGTGTGTGGGGGGAGGAGGGGGCGAGGGGAGGTTGTGAGTTTTTGTGTGTGTATGTGGAAGGGAGGGGTGTGACCATCGGCGACTCGCTCACGAGCACTAACTTCGTCCCGTCGCTGCTGTGCCAGGTGTTTGTGTGCATGCGCGTATGTGTGTGTGTGTGAAGGGGGGGGGAAGGAAGGGGGGAAAGTCCGAAGCCCGAGCTGCACACGTTGGATGGATCTGAGGATGAAGAGACCAGCCTCGAGAATACCGCCTAGTCTACATGCATATAACCGAAATAATTAAACTCAAAGCCTTCCCATTGTATCTACAGATAAACCAGCTGTACTGGGTGAGTCCGAAGCCCGAGCTGCGCACGCTGGATGGCGGCGTGTGGTCCAAGGATTCGCCCGAGGCGGTGGCGTACGTGTATTCGATTCCCCAGCTAAACGCCAAGATCGTCATGCTCTGGGACGACTACCTCGTCAGGATAAACCAGAGTACGTCTCTCGCTACACCCCCCACTCGATACATCATATGATATATATTTCTACACGTATACGTATGTATGTTGTATAAATTTGTGGGCTTTTGGGTGTTGTAATTATCGAGGGGTGGCATATGTGTATTCCACTACATATGTGCATATGTGTACGTTTACTCACTACATACATATACACACGTGTACATATATGCATATATTCTTGGGATTTTGTGTGGGTGTTAGTAACTAACCCTGAAGCAAAGCTCCTTTCAGACCACAATGCTATAGTAGCTATAACCGAAGTGTTAGTAGCTATAGTTCAGACGCCACAATGCTGGCCAAGGTAGGAAGCATAACCGATCCAAGCCAGCCGACTGTCTGATAGCCCAATCCTCCCACTCCTTCTCCCTGCTCTCCCCCCACTGCCTCCCCGGATTGCCTACCTCCCTCCAGATGCCACAATGCTGGCAAAGGTGGGGGGCATCACCGACCCCAACCCAGCGGACTGTCTGATAGACGTGGCCACGCCCAACCCGCAGTGGGCGCGCTACCTGGACGAGTGGGACGCAGTGCTGCTGGAAACCACCACGCACTGGCGTTCGCTCTCCAAAGGGCCGCGCATGGTCTACACGAACGAGAACTGGGGCAAGCTGAGCCTGGATCAGTACCAGGCGCACAGGTGAGCACTCTGCCAACAGCCCTCAGTCAGCCCTCAGTCAGCCCTCAGTCAGCCCTCAGTCAGCCCTCAGTCAGCCCTCAGTCGACCCTCAGTCAGCCCTCAGTCAGCCCTCAGTCAGCCCTCAGTCAGCCCTCAGTTGCAGTGGGCGCGCCACTTGGACGAGTGGGACGCAGTGCTTCTCGAAACCACCTCTCCTTCCTCTTCCCGTTTCCTCCTCTTCCGCCTAACCCCATCTCCCCCATTTTCCTCCCAGCCTAGCCCTAACGAGCATTCAGAAACCGCAAAAGGTGCCCCTGATGCATGTGACCACCTACCCCTCTCCTTAACCCCCTCCCTCTCTCTCCATCTCCCCTTTTCCACTCCTTCAGCCAAGCCCTGACGAGCATTCGCACGCACTTGAGCAATTGCAAGAAGCAGGGGAAGGACCTGCCAGTGCCGTTCTCCATGAGCGCCCCCCCCTCATGTTCCTGTGCACCCTCCCCTCTCACATTCCCTCTCACCCTCCCTCTCACCCTCCCCTCTCTCACCATCTCCTCCACCTTCCCCTCCATGAACCCCCTTCCTGCCTCCCTTCCTGCAGCCAAGCCCTGACGAGTGTTCGCACGCACTTCAGCAATCGCAAGAGGTTGGGGAAGGAGCTCCTGATACCATTCTTCATGAGCGCCCCCCCTCATCGTCCTCTGTACCCTCCACCTGCCCCCTTTCACCCCTCAGCCAAGCTCTGACGAGCGTTCGCACGCACTTTAGCAATCGCAAGAGGTTGGGGAAGGATCTGCCTGTGCCGTTCTTCATGACGGCTCCTCCGCAGCACAACGCCAAGAAGGTTGGCGGCAAGGGCGTGTGCGGGTCACCTGGTCGGATGCTGAATGCGAAAGAGGTGAGAGCGAGAGGGTAGGAGGTCCCGTACAGAACATACACGAGGTATCAATCTCCGGGAGGGTCTTCTTTTGAGTCGACTCAAAAGCGGACCGTTTTGAGGGTAGGAGGTTCCATGCAGAAGGCTGGCGGCAACGGCGTGTGTGGGTCGCCTGCAAGGCTGCTGAATGCGAACGAGGTGAGGCTGAAACGCGAGCGCAGGAGGTGAGGCAGAATAGGTAGCTTTGGTTCGGGGGTCGGCAGTGTGCCAGTGGCCAGACAACGAAGAAACCGGGGTGAGGGGAGGCTGGTCAGTCTTCTCTGAAAAGTGAAGCTAGAGAAGCAAGACTAACAAAAAAACAATTTATTATTATTGTTATTATAATAATAATAATAATTATTATTATTATTGTTATTATTGTTGCTGTTGTTGTTATACTTATTAATATTACTATTATTATTACTGTTACTATTATTATTATTATTTTATTTTATTATTACGTATGGTTGGCCAGGGAGCTGCCGTGACCAGTTTCACCTGTCAAGCTGTGACACTTCAGCGCAACCATGTACAGATGAAACTCGTCCTGCCCATCCAAAGGAAGGTCCTCACTCCCAATGCCACCTCCTTCCTTTGACTTTCCGCTGTTTCTGCCCATCCAGCAGAAGGTCTTCACTGTTTTCTCATCACTCCCTTTCCCCTTCCCCCCTCTCGTCCCCCGTTCTTTCCGCCTATCCCTCCAGATGGGCAAGCTACAGCGCACCAACGTGCAGATGAAGCTCTTTCTGCCCATCCAGCAGAAGGTCTTCACTTCCAAAGTCCTCCCATCAACTTTATCCTTCCCATTCACCCTTCCCTCTCTCCCAATCAACAGATGGGCAAGCTACAGCGCACCAACGTGCAGATGAAGCTCTTTCTGCCCATCCAGCAGAAGGTCTTCACTTCCAAAGTCCTCCCATCAACTTTATCCTTCCCATTCACCCTTCCCTCTCTCCCAATCAACAGATGGGCAAGCTACAGCGCACCAACGTGCAGATGAAGCTCTTTCTGCCCATCCAGCAGAAGGTCTTCACTTCCAAAGTCCTCCCATCAACTTTATCCTTCCCATTCACCCTTCCCTCTCTCCCAATCAACAGATGGGCAAGCTACAGCGCACCAACGTGCAGATGAAGCTCTTTCTGCCCATCCAGCAGAAGGTCTTCACTTCCAAAGTCCTCCCATCAACTTTATCCTTCCCATTCACCCTTCCCTCTCTCCCAATCAACAGATGGGCAAGCTACAGCGCACCAACGTGCAGATGAAGCTCTTTCTGCCCATCCAGCAGAAGGTCTTCACTTCCAAAGTCCTCCCATCAACTTTATCCTTCCCATTCACCCTTCCCTCTCTCCCAATCAACAGATGGGCAAGCTACAGCGCACCAACGTGCAGATGAAGCTCTTTCTGCCCATCCAGCAGAAGGTCTTCACTTCCAAAGTCCTCCCATCAACTTTATCCTTCCCATTCACCCTTCCCTCTCTCCCAATCAACAGATGGGCAAGCTACAGCGCACCAACGTGCAGATGAAGCTCTTTTTGCCCATCCAGCAGAAGGTCTTCACTTCCAAAGTCCTCCCATCAACTTTATCCTTCCCATTCACCCTTCCCTCTCTCCCAATCAACAGATGGGCAAGCTACAGCGCACCAACGTGCAGATGAAGCTCTTTCTGCCCATCCAGCAGAAGGTCTTCACTTCCAAAGTCCTCCCATCAACTTTATCCTTCCCATTCACCCTTCCCTCTCTCCCAATCAACAGATGGGCAAGCTACAGCGCACCAACGTGCAGATGAAGCTCTTTCTGCCCATCCAGCAGAAGGTCTTCACTTCCAAAGTCCTCCCATCAACTTTATCCTTCCCATTCACCCTTCCCTCTCTCCCAATCAACAGATGGGCAAGCTACAGCGCACCAACGTGCAGATGAAGCTCTTTCTGCCCATCCAGCAGAAGGTCTTCACTTCCAAAGTCCTCCCATCAACTTTATCCTTCCCATTCACCCTTCCCTCTCTCCCAATCAACAGATGGGCAAGCTACAGCGCACCAACGTGCAGATGAAGCTCTTTCTGCCCATCCAGCAGAAGGTCTTCACTTCCAAAGTCCTCCCATCAACTTTATCCTTCCCATTCACCCTTCCCTCTCTCCCAATCAACAGATGGGCAAGCTACAGCGCACCAACGTGCAGATGAAGCTCTTTCTGCCCATCCAGCAGAAGGTCTTCACTTCCAAAGTCCTCCCATCAACTTTATCCTTCCCATTCACCCTTCCCTCTCTCCCAATCAACAGATGGGCAAGCTACAGCGCACCAACGTGCAGATGAAGCTCTTTCTGCCCATCCAGCAGAAGGTCTTCACTTCCAAAGTCCTCCCATCAACTTTATCCTTCCCATTCACCCTTCCCTCTCTCCCAATCAACAGATGGGCAAGCTACAGCGCACCAACGTGCAGATGAAGCTCTTTCTGCCCATCCAGCAGAAGGTCTTCACTTCCAAAGTCCTCCCATCAACTTTATCCTTCCCATTCACCCTTCCCTCTCTCCCAATCAACAGATGGGCAAGCTACAGCGCACCAACGTGCAGATGAAGCTCTTTCTGCCCATCCAGCAGAAGGTCTTCACTTCCAAAGTCCTCCCATCAACTTTATCCTTCCCATTCACCCTTCCCTCTCTCCCAATCAACAGATGGGCAAGCTACAGCGCACCAACGTGCAGATGAAGCTCTTTCTGCCCATCCAGCAGAAGGTCTTCACTTCCAAAGTCCTCCCATCAACTTTATCCTTCCCATTCACCCTTCCCTCTCTCCCAATCAACAGATGGGCAAGCTACAGCGCACCAACGTGCAGATGAAGCTCTTTCTGCCCATCCAGCAGAAGGTCTTCACTTCCAAAGTCCTCCCATCAACTTTATCCTTCCCATTCACCCTTCCCTCTCTCCCAATCAACAGATGGGCAAGCTACAGCGCACCAACGTGCAGATGAAGCTCTTTCTGCCCATCCAGCAGAAGGTCTTCACTTCCAAAGTCCTCCCATCAACTTTATCCTTCCCATTCACCCTTCCCTCTCTCCCAATCAACAGATGGGCAAGCTACAGCGCACCAACGTGCAGATGAAGCTCTTTCTGCCCATCCAGCAGAAGGTCTTCACTTCCAAAGTCCTCCCATCAACTTTATCCTTCCCATTCACCCTTCCCTCTCTCCCAATCAACAGATGGGCAAGCTACAGCGCACCAACGTGCAGATGAAGCTCTTTCTGCCCATCCAGCAGAAGGTCTTCACTTCCAAAGTCCTCCCATCAACTTTATCCTTCCCATTCACCCTTCCCTCTCTCCCAATCAACAGATGGGCAAGCTACAGCGCACCAACGTGCAGATGAAGCTCTTTCTGCCCATCCAGCAGAAGGTCTTCACTTCCAAAGTCCTCCCATCAACTTTATCCTTCCCATTCACCCTTCCCTCTCTCCCAATCAACAGATGGGCAAGCTACAGCGCACCAACGTGCAGATGAAGCTCTTTCTGCCCATCCAGCAGAAGGTCTTCACTTCCAAAGTCCTCCCATCAACTTTATCCTTCCCATTCACCCTTCCCTCTCTCCCAATCAACAGATGGGCAAGCTACAGCGCACCAACGTGCAGATGAAGCTCTTTCTGCCCATCCAGCAGAAGGTCTTCACTTCCAAAGTCCTCCCATCAACTTTATCCTTCCCATTCACCCTTCCCTCTCTCCCAATCAACAGATGGGCAAGCTACAGCGCACCAACGTGCAGATGAAGCTCTTTCTGCCCATCCAGCAGAAGGTCTTCACTTCCAAAGTCCTCCCATCAACTTTATCCTTCCCATTCACCCTTCCCTCTCTCCCAATCAACAGATGGGCAAGCTACAGCGCACCAACGTGCAGATGAAGCTCTTTCTGCCCATCCAGCAGAAGGTCTTCACTTCCAAAGTCCTCCCATCAACTTTATCCTTCCCATTCACCCTTCCCTCTCTCCCAATCAACAGATGGGCAAGCTACAGCGCACCAACGTGCAGATGAAGCTCTTTCTGCCCATCCAGCAGAAGGTCTTCACTTCCAAAGTCCTCCCATCAACTTTATCCTTCCCATTCACCCTTCCCTCTCTCCCAATCAACAGATGGGCAAGCTACAGCGCACCAACGTGCAGATGAAGCTCTTTCTGCCCATCCAGCAGAAGGTCTTCACTTCCAAAGTCCTCCCATCAACTTTATCCTTCCCATTCACCCTTCCCTCTCTCCCAATCAACAGATGGGCAAGCTACAGCGCACCAACGTGCAGATGAAGCTCTTTCTGCCCATCCAGCAGAAGGTCTTCACTTCCAAAGTCCTCCCATCAACTTTATCCTTCCCATTCACCCTTCCCTCTCTCCCAATCAACAGATGGGCAAGCTACAGCGCACCAACGTGCAGATGAAGCTCTTTCTGCCCATCCAGCAGAAGGTCTTCACTTCCAAAGTCCTCCCATCAACTTTATCCTTCCCATTCACCCTTCCCTCTCTCCCAATCAACAGATGGGCAAGCTACAGCGCACCAACGTGCAGATGAAGCTCTTTCTGCCCATCCAGCAGAAGGTCTTCACTTCCAAAGTCCTCCCATCAACTTTATCCTTCCCATTCACCCTTCCCTCTCTCCCAATCAACAGATGGGCAAGCTACAGCGCACCAACGTGCAGATGAAGCTCTTTCTGCCCATCCAGCAGAAGGTCTTCACTTCCAAAGTCCTCCCATCAACTTTATCCTTCCCATTCACCCTTCCCTCTCTCCCAATCAACAGATGGGCAAGCTACAGCGCACCAACGTGCAGATGAAGCTCTTTCTGCCCATCCAGCAGAAGGTCTTCACTTCCAAAGTCCTCCCATCAACTTTATCCTTCCCATTCACCCTTCCCTCTCTCCCAATCAACAGATGGGCAAGCTACAGCGCACCAACGTGCAGATGAAGCTCTTTCTGCCCATCCAGCAGAAGGTCTTCACTTCCAAAGTCCTCCCATCAACTTTATCCTTCCCATTCACCCTTCCCTCTCTCCCAATCAACAGATGGGCAAGCTACAGCGCACCAACGTGCAAATGAAGCTCTTTCTGCCCATCCAGCAACGCGTCTTCACGCCAACCTCGGGCGTGCGTCGCATGGACATCACCACTATGAGCGCCTTCCGACCCGAGGCACACATCGGCGGATTCATGGGCGGGGTGAGTGCCTCACGTGCTTCTATACATGCGTTCTGGGAAAGTATGGCATTCACATGCTTGCTGTCTTCACTCCAGACTCAGGCGTTCGTCGCATGGACATCACATCATCACCACTATGAGCGCCTTGAGACCCGAGGCACACATTGGGGGATTCATCGGCGGGTTGAGTGAATGTTATGAGAGCACATGAGGGGGTATGGGTGCGTTTTGAGAGAGAGTATGCGTTCAGAGGAGGGGGGGGACCTCCTCCTTCACCCCCGCCTCGGGCGTTCGTCGCTCATAGTTCGCCACATGGACATCATCACCTTCCATGATGAGGGTCAGGAGGGTCTCATGGGCACTAGGAGCGCCTTCACCCCCACGCGTGATGAGACGATTTTTGAGTCGACTAAAAAATCCTTCCATGATGAGGGTCAGGACTCAGGAGGGTCTCATGGGCACTATGAGCGCCTTCACCCCCGACTCGGGCGTTCGTCGCTTGGACATCACATCACGTTTTGAGACGTCTCAAAACTCGGGCGTTCGTTGCATGGACATCACATCATCACTATGAGCGCCTTCAGACCTGAGGCACACATTGGTGGATTCATGGGCGGGGTGAGTGCTGTAACGCCACATGGGGGCTGTGAATGCGTGTTGGTAGAGCATGCACTCAAATGACTGTCTCTCTCACGCCACACTCCGGATACATGCGTTCTAGGAAGTATGGCATTCACATGCTTGCTGTCTTTCCTCCAACCTCGGGCGTTCGCCGCATGCACATCATACTTCCATGAGCGCTTACATGAGAGCATTCAGGCCCAAAGCACGGGTGGGGTGAATGCCACACGTGCCTTGCATTCACACCCTACCTTCTTCACTCCAACCTCGGGCGTGCGTCGCATGCACATCATACTTCCATGAGCGCTTACATGAGAGCATTCAGGCCCAAAGCACGGGTGGGGTGAATGCCACACGTGCCTTGCATTCACACCCTACCTTCTTCACTCCAACCTCGGGCGTGCGTCGCATGCACATCATACTTCCATGAGCGCTTACATGAGAGCATTCAGGCCCAAAGCACGGGTGGGGTGAATGCCACACGTGCCTTGCATTCACACCCTACCTTCTTCACTCCAACCTCGGGCGTGCGTCGCATGCACATCATACTTCCATGAGCGCTTACATGAGCGCATTCAGGCCCAAAGCACGGGCGGGGTGAGTGCCACACGTGCCTTTTACATGCATTCACACCCTACCTTCTTCACTCCAACCTCGGGCGTTCGCCGCATGCACATCATACTTCCATGAGCGCTTACATGAGAGCATTCAGGCCCAAAGCACGGGTGGGGTGAATGCCACACGTGCCTTGCATTCACACCCTACCTTCTTCACTCCAACCTCGGGCGTGCGTCGCATGCACATCATACTTCCATGAGCGCTTACATGAGAGCATTCAGGCCCAAAGCACGGGTGGGGTGAATGCCACACGTGCCTTGCATTCACACCCTACCTTCTTCACTCCAACCTCGGGCGTGCGTCGCATGCACATCATACTTCCATGAGCGCTTACATGAGCGCATTCAGGCCCAAAGCACGGGCGGGGTGAGTGCCACACGTGCCTTTTACATGCATTCACACCCTACCTTCTTCACTCCAACCTCGGGCGTTCGCCGCATGCACATCATACTTCCATGAGCGCTTACATGAGAGCATTCAGGCCCAAAGCACGGGTGGGGTGAATGCCACACGTGCCTTGCATTCACACCCTACCTTCTTCACTCCAACCTCGGGCGTGCGTCGCATGCACATCATACTTCCATGAGCGCTTACATGAGAGCATTCAGGCCCAAAGCACGGGTGGGGTGAATGCCACACGTGCCTTGCATTCACACCCTACCTTCTTCACTCCAACCTCGGGCGTGCGTCGCATGCACATCATACTTCCATGAGCGCTTACATGAGAGCATTCAGGCCCAAAGCACGGGTGGGGTGAATGCCACACGTGCCTTGCATTCACACCCTACCTTCTTCACTCCAACCTCGGGCGTGCGTCGCATGCACATCATACTTCCATGAGCGCTTACATGAGCGCATTCAGGCCCAAAGCACGGGCGGGGTGAGTGCCACACGTGCCTTTTACATGCATTCACACCCTACCTTCTTCACTCCAACCTCGGGCGTTCGCCGCATGCACATCATACTTCCATGAGCGCTTACATGAGAGCATTCAGGCCCAAAGCACGGGTGGGGTGAATGCCACACGTGCCTTGCATTCACACCCTACCTTCTTCACTCCAACCTCGGGCGTGCGTCGCATGCACATCATACTTCCATGAGCGCTTACATGAGAGCATTCAGGCCCAAAGCACGGGTGGGGTGAATGCCACACGTGCCTTGCATTCACACCCTACCTTCTTCACTCCAACCTCGGGCGTGCGTCGCATGCACATCATACTTCCATGAGCGCTTACATGAGCGCATTCAGGCCCAAAGCACGGGCGGGGTGAGTGCCACACGTGCCTTTTACATGCATTCACACCCTACCTTCTTCACTCCAACCTCGGGCGTTCGCCGCATGCACATCATACTTCCATGAGCGCTTACATGAGAGCATTCAGGCCCAAAGCACGGGTGGGGTGAATGCCACACGTGCCTTGCATTCACACCCTACCTTCTTCACTCCAACCTCGGGCGTGCGTCGCATGCACATCATACTTCCATGAGCGCTTACATGAGCGCATTCAGGCCCAAAGCACGGGCGGGGTGAGTGCCACACGTGCCTTTTACATGCATTCACACCCTACCTTCTTCACTCCAACCTCGGGCGTTCGCCGCATGCACATCATACTTCCATGAGCGCTTACATGAGAGCATTCAGGCCCAAAGCACGGGTGGGGTGAATGCCACACGTGCCTTGCATTCACACCCTACCTTCTTCACTCCAACCTCGGGCGTGCGTCGCATGCACATCATACTTCCATGAGCGCTTACATGAGCGCATTCAGGCCCAAAGCACGGGCGGGGTGAGTGCCACACGTGCCTTTTACATGCATTCACACCCTACCTTCTTCACTCCAACCTCGGGCGTTCGCCGCATGGACATCACCACCACGAGCGCCTTGCGGCTCACATTGGGGGACTCAGGGTCGGACTGTCTGCACTGGTGCCAGCCGGGAGTGCCAGACGTGTGGGTCGACCTCTTCTACGAGATGCTGCGCCGGGAGCCTCTCATCAACCCCATTCTCTCTTTCCCCAATTCCCTCTCCTCCCCTGTTGTTTGTCCCCTCCTAAACCCCAAATCCCCAAAACACCAGAAGAAGAAAGGGTCCGACTGTCTACACTGGTGCCAGCCGGGAGTGCCAGACGTGTGGGTCGACCTCTTCTACGAAATGCTTCGCCGGGAACCCCTCATCAACCCCACTCCCGACGGCCTCTACGCTCCTGCGCCTCCGCCCTCTCCTCCCAAGCCTAGCCCCAAACCGATTCCCAAACCAAGCCCCGAACCGAGCCCCGACCCGAGTACCAAGCCTAGTCCCAAGCCTGCTCCCAAGCCCAGTCCCAAGCCTGTTCCCAAACCTGCTCCCAAGCCTGCTCCCAAGCCTGCTCCCAAGCCTGCTCCCAAGCCTGCTCCCAAGCCTGTTCCCAAGCCCAGTCCCAAGCCTGCTCCCAAGCCTAGCCCAAAGCCCAGCCCCAAGCCTGCTCCCAAGCCTGTCCCCGTACCTACACCCAAACCCGCCACCTCGCCCACCCCATCCCCCCCAGCTTCCAGCTTCAAGCCCCGTGAGCCAGGCAGCCCTGGGGGCTTTAAGTGGCGCTCTGTGCTCTCTGACCCTCCTGTTGAATCTGATAAAATGGCGGCTCTGGCACAAGAAGATGAGCTGTCTACTGGAGCTTGTTGTAACAATGTTACCAGCAGAGCAGCCAGGTTCGGCAGCGAGCTGGCAGCTCTCCCTGCGAGCCAGGAGAGACCGGGGCCTGAACCTGTAGGGTCGAGAGGTTCAGTAGAAGCTTCTGTGGAGGGTCATGTGTTTCCTGGGGTTCGGCACTGGGCCTGGGCTGGGAAACGGAGAGGAGGGTTTCTGCAGTTGGGGCACTGGCGGCGTCAGGGCTGAGACTTCTTTGGGTGGTTGTGCTGCTGTGCACCTGTACTGCACTGCACTGCGGTGGGTGGTGTGGTTGGCACAGCAGCACAGCAGGAGCAGCAGGAGGGAAGGCACTGGGAGACGGAGGGCGGCACTGGCGGCATCAGGGCTGAGGCTTCTTTGGGTGGTTGTGCTGCTGTGCACCTGCACTGTACTGCAGTGAGGAAGGGCAGCAGCCGCAGCAACAGCGGCAGCAGCAGCAGCAGCAGCAGCAACAGCGGCAGCAGCACTAGGAGGGCAAGGAGCAGAAGGGAAGGTGTGAAGCAGTGCCACCCTAAGCTACAAATCAATCTGGGATCAGCGCAGTGAGGGGAGTTGCATAGGGTGAGCAGTGCCGCAATGAGTGGTCGGTGGCCCGGTGGGTATGTGGTAATAATGGGCAGAGCTGTGGTTTCATGTAATAAGTAGCTTGCACTGTATTACGTAAATGCAGGAGTCGTTAGACTGCAAAACATGGCAGTAGGGGTAGTGTTTGTGAGAGATTGCTGTGCGACTCTAAGCAGGGCAATGCCGCAGACAGCAGCGCCGTGCAAGGGCATAATGTCAATGTTATCGGCTTCTCTGCACCTGATATTGTATGTAATGTAACCATATATGAACAAATATCCAGGCTGTACCGAAACAAACTTTCTCACATCTATTTTGACAAAAGCTTCAATGACTGCATGAACAGGGCAAGTAAACCAGCAGAAGTGATACCTTAAAAACATTGGTTAGTGCAAAACAACGGTGAACTCAAAACTCAGTCCCTGTCTCTCCGCTTCTTCTTCCCCTCCTTATTCTTCCGCTTCCTCTTGCTCCTCGACCCACTGCTGCTGAATCAGACACCTCCTCACTCTCACTCCCACTACTCTCCTCACTGTCTCAGTCCCACCACTCTCCTCACTCTCACTCCCACTACTTCAGAGTTTTTAGACTGTCTCAAAACTCAGTCCCTGTCTCTCCGCTTCTTCTTCTTCCCCTCCTTATCCTTCCGTTTCCTCTTCCTCCTCGCCCCACCGCTGCTATCACTGTCATCAGACACCTCCTCGCTCTCACTTCCACTACTCTCCTCACTCTCACTCTCACTCTCACTCTCGTCTCTCCGCCTCCTGTGCTTGCGTGAAGACGAAGACTTCTTGCCCTTGCTGCTCCGCTTCCGCTCCTTCTTGCCTTTCCGCCGCCTCCTCCGCCTGTCCTCGTCAGAAGACGAGGAATCATCACTATCTGATAACGAATCGTCGTCGTCTGAACTGTCAGACTTTCTTCTCTTCCTCTTACTGCTGCTCTTTTTCTTTGACTTTTTTTTCTTCTTGTCTTTCTTCTTCAAATCGCTCCCTTTCTTCTCCTTCTCCGAAGCGCCATCCCCAGCTTTCGAGGGTATCAAACCACGAGAACGCGCCGCTTCAGCCAAATCCCCGTCACCGTCATCATCGCTAAGCGACACGTCACTCTCCTCTTCCGCGAATTCCATCCCCGGCCGTTTCTGGCCGGCCAGCCCGCCGGCAAGCTCTGCCGGAACGTTAACGTCCTCCTTGGCCGTCAGAAAATTCCGGCACTGGAACGTCAAATGGCCGACGCGATGGCACTTTTTGCAGGAACCGCGAGACGTGTCAGCTCCAGATCCCGTCAATTTCGCGAGCTGCAGCAGTCCTTGGAAGCTGTCGTACGCGTTATCCTCGCCGTCGGCTGCTTTCTTTTCGTCCGGAGCGTACGGATCGTACCCGATGGCGCTCTGCCAAATGCCGTGCGTTTGCAGGGCTGCGCTACTGTGCACCCTGTTGTTCGCGGGCATGCGAACGCGGCCCGCCGTGGCCGGCATGGTGTCGGATTTTTATTATACAAGCTCGATGTAGAAAGGAAGCGACAACAAAGCGTATCAACTAGTAAGGAGGAAGAAAGGGAGAAGTGGGACAAGAGAGGCCGACGATGGAAGACAGCGCGCGAGAGTAGGAAGTACGAGGTAAGTAGAAAGGTCAGGAAGACACTGGAAACCGTAGGAGTGGGAAGACTGCCACAGATGAAGTGACAGGGCGTTTGTGTTTTGCTCCACGCACCTTACTAAACCGCTCTAAGTTCTCAACATCACTACTCAGAACGCCTAAAAACCTTTGAGCCGTACAGAGCTGAACTTGTTATGACACGGCATGAGAAAGCGTGTCATGCGTGGACGAATGAATGCAGCCTGCCGCGAAAAGAAACGCGATAGTAGCCCTCCGAAAGGAGACCAAGAAAGAAACTGAACAATGTAAAATTGCAGTAACATTTGCGCTAAATTTTACTACGGGTTCAGATTCATCAACTGCTTATCATTTACAGAATGTACCACAAAGAGATTACAAATAAGAGCCATCACCTTTATGTTTTCCGCGCCTTCCTAAGCTCCCTATTACGGTCACGTTTCTTCCTGGCCTTGGCAGCCCGTTGCGCCCTAGTCTCTGTAAGCACCGCCTGCATCTTTATCCACTGGTCCTTCTTCTCCTCCTTAATCCGTAACAGCCGCGACATCACCCTTGGAGGTCCCTTTTTCCCATCCAACAACCCATGCTCGTCTAGCTCTTGTAACAGCGCCGCAACATCTGTGCGCATAAGAGCATTTTCGTATATGCACATGGTGTTAAGTGGTGTAGGATATGGTGAGTCTTCCAAGGATAGATCTTGACAGCTCGGAGAATCCTGCATGGAGAGAGGAGGGAAAACACAAGGACTGTGTTGTGAGACTGCAGCTACTGTCCCATACGCATTCTCTCACATAATGGTCGGGCCAAACCACATGAAACGTGTTGACCCCTGTTGACTCACCTTGACCCATCTCTCCACAGAGTACCCTCTTGCTGTCAGCACGCCCTCCCTCAACTCGTCAGCTCGGAACGGAGCCCCCATAGCCCACAGCCAGCTGCATGCGACTCTTGAGGTGCCTCAAATTCCGTTCCATTGCCCACCCACAACCAGATGCCTCCATGGCCCACAGCCAGCTGCACTGGCCCACACACCAACCACAACAGACCGCCGTTGACCTGTGTTGACTCCCCGTTGACCAGCGTTGACTCACCTTGACCCATCTCTCCACAGAGTACCCTCTTGCTGTCAGCATGCCCTTCCTTTCCTCGTCAGCTCAAAACGGAGCCCCCATGGCCCACAGCCAGCTGCATGCGAATCCCTTGGTGTGCATGGCCCAACCACAGCCAAATGCTTGTATGGCAGCCAGCTGCACTGACCCACACAATCGCCAGTACAGACCCCAGTTGACTTGCGTTGACTCACCTTGACCCATCTCTCCACAGAATACCCTTTAGCTGTCAGCACGCCCTCCCTTTCCTCGTCAGACCGGAACGGAGCCCCCATGGCCCACAGCCAGCTGCGCAAGGTGCGCTTCAATGACACGCTGCCACCTGGCATGCCACCGCTGCTGCTGCTGGTGACGCGCTGCAGCATGCCACCTGTCACGATGCTGACGTGGCGGGGCGCTGGAACACCCTGGAGAGCAGCGTCCTGTTGGAGTGGATGGGGATGCGAGGGGATGGGGGGATGCGAGGGGATGGGGGGATGCGAGGGGATGGTGGGATGCGAGGGGATGGTGGGATGCGAGGGGATGGTGGGATGCGAGGGGATGGGGGGATGCGAGGGGATGGTGGGAATGGAACGGCATGGATGGGGATGGAAGGGCAGGGATGGGGGTGGTGGAGATGGGACAGCATGGTCGAGATGAGAAGGGGGATGAACAGAATGGAAGGACATGGATGGCTGGGCAGAGTATGCATGGCAGGGCATGGCAATGAGGGAAGAAGCAAGGGTGATAAGAGAGCGACTGACCTGGACCATGTCTAGCCAGTGGTGCAGAGCAACTAGAGCGGCACCAGGGGAGAGCGTGCGCACATCCAGCTTCCAGTCCTCAGGCGCAACCCTGGTGGGAGGTGGGAAGGGCAGAAGGCGCCAAGTCAGAGGAGGTGGGATGAGGGGAGAAGGAATAGATAGTGGGGGGCGAGGCGGGGCGGGGAGAGGGAGGGGATGCAAGAGCATGCGCACGTCCAGCTTCCAGTCGTTGGCTGCAGCCCTGGTGAAGGGCAGGAGCGTTGAGGAAAAGCACTGGTTGAGGGATGGAGCACTGACCGTACGTACTAGCCATACCTGCTGTAAGAGCGAGCGTGGATGCGATAAACGCTGTGAAGCATGGTTACGGATACACCAATTTAGGTTTAGGGTTGACTCTATAGCAAAACCAGAGGCCAAACAACCAGACACCACCGTACTCACCGAGCAGTGAATCGCGTATAGACTCCCCGACGGATTGAGAGGAGGAAGAGACGGTGGGCCCTGGCTTGCTGACCGAAGCACCACAGCAGATCCACCAGCACGTTCACTGTGCTCCTCGCTGCACTGCCTTCGTTGGCTTGGCTGACCTTGCTTGCTGCACCCCCCTCTGCCGCACTTCCCTCTGTGTTCCTCCCTACACTCCCCTCCCCAGCGCCCCTTGCTTGACCAATCCCAGCCTTGCTTCCCTCTGCAATCATTGCTCCGCTCGAGATGGCATCCCTCGCCAGCAGCCACGTCAGCAGACTGTCGATGTCCGTCCAGGTGTCGTCGTCACATTGGAGGAGTAGCCTGAGATGTTGATTGGCAGAGAGAGGAGAGTGCAAGCAGATAGGAGAGGAGAGGAGAGAAAAGGAGGGGAGAGGAGAGGAGAGGAGAGGAGAGTAGAGGAGATGAGGGGAGAGTAGAGGAGAGGAGAGGAGAGGAGTGGAGAGGAGAGGAGAGGAGAGGAGAGGAGTGGAGAGGAGAACAAAGAATGGGAGAGGAGAGGAGAAAGCGTTGAGGACAAGGAGTGTGGTTTAAACAACAGATTCTTAGCTCCATAGTCCTTGCAGCAGCACCCCACCCTCACCCCTCATTAACGTTGCTCACCTCTCAGGAACGTCTAACTTTACAAAGGAGAGGGTTTCTAGCAGACAGCAACAATATGATAGACCCCGACTTCCATCCACTCCCCTCAACACAATGGCCCACATATTAGGTCGAAATCAGCCCCAAGCTCACCTGTCAGGAATGTCGAACCCCACATAAGAAAGTGCTTCTAGCAAACAGCCGCAGTCTGATAGATTTGTGCACCGCGCTGCACCATCCACCACAGTGGCCCACGTCTTGTACGTGGGTACTACCAACCCACCACTCTCATCGTTACATTGTTACAACTCACACTTAAAAAGTTTGGGCACTCACCTCTCAGGAACGTCGAACCCCACAAAGGAGAGGGCTTCCAGCAGAGAGGAGCAGTCTGATAGATCTCTGCACCGCGCTGCACCGCCCACCACCGTGGCCCATGTCTTGTAGGTAGGGACCAGCCCCAGCTCTCGCATCTGCCGCACCCGCACTGCTGCTTCCTGGGAGTTTCCCTCCCGCAGGTACGCGTGCACAAGGGAGGTGAGCTGGACGATGTCTGGCCTGGGCGGTGCTAATGGTGGGGTGGCTGTTGATGCTGATGTGGCACTTGTGGATGACGTGGCACCTGTGGCTGACATGGCATCTGATGCTGAGGTGACATCGTCACCTAGTCTCAAGCTCATTACTGCTGGGGTTGATGCTGAGAAGGATGGAATGGAAGATGGTTCGGCAGGTGGTACGGCGGAAGGTTCGGCAAATGAATTGGCAGATGGTTCGGCCGAAGGTACGGCAGGTGGTTCGGCAGCCGGTTGCCTAATGTAATCAAGCTGTCGATCCAGAATGGCCTCTGCAGCCGCTGTGTTGCCCGCCCTGCCATGTGCGTCCATGACCATGTGGTAGAGGTCGGCTGTCAGGGGTATACCTGGGACAGAAAGGAAGGACGAGAAAGAGCAACAAAAATGGTGAGGAGGTAAGGGGGGGAGGGGAAGGTCAGTCCGCCCGCCCTGCCATGAGCGTCCATGACCATGTGATAGAGATCTGCTGTTAGAAGGATGCTTGGAGTAAGAGGGGCGAGAAGGGGGGAAGGAGGAGACAGAGAGTAAAGAGAAAGGGAAGGTTAGCTCTCCTTGTTCGCCCTGCCATGTGTGTCCACGACTATGTTATGTGGTAGAGGTCCGGCTGCTAGAGCCATGCCATGGGTAGAGTGAAGGGGACTAGGCTAGCGCATGGCCATGTGGTGCGTCCACCCAGGCATGTGCATGCATGGCCATGTGGTGCGTCCACCCAGGCATGTGCATGCATGGCCATGTGGTGCGTCCACCCAGGCATGTGCATGCATGGCCATGTGGTGCGTCCACCCAGGCATGTGCATGCATGGCCATGTGCACATATGTATCAGTATGCATCCTCCTCTCCTCTCCTCTCCTCTTCTCCTCTCCACTTCTCTCCTCTCGTCTCGCCTCCCCCACTTCTCCTTTCCTCTCCTCTTCGCCTCTCGCCTCTGCCATGCCATGCCATGCCCTGCCCACAATCTCACCTCGTTTTTCCATCGCCAGCAGCAGCTCCTCAGCCTTCGCTGCCTGCCCTGCCCGTTGGTAAGCACCCATCAAAGCCTTGTACGACTGCTCGCCCAACACTTCCTTCTGCTTCTCCCTCGCAACAGGCTCTGGTTCGTTCAATTCCAAACTAGCGCCCACCCCTTGCTCCTCCCTCCCTGCAAGCTCCAGCTCTTTCGTTCCCAAAGCAGCACCAGGCACCAGGCTCATTTCCAAAGCTGCAGGTCCAAGCTGAATATTCCTCCAGACCGCAAGTTCGGGCCAAGCCTGCGGTGCTGGTTCGGCGAAAGATTCATTAGCGAGGGCTTGGGCCATGCGCTGTGCTTCGTGAAATAGGCCTGGAAAGGGGAGGGGAAGAAAGGAGAGATGGTGGGAGAGCTGGGGAGAGGAATTTCGCACGTCCAGGATAAAATAGGGCTCAGGGAATACGTTGCGCTTTATGAAACAAGGCGGGAAAGGGGAAGGGGAGAGCGAGGAGGGAATGGAAAGAGAGAAAATTGGAGGAAGAGCGAGCGAAGAACCAGCAGGCAGGATGCTTTGACAACAACAGCAGCAGCAGGAGCAGCAGCAGCAGCAGCAGGTGACTCACCTTGAGCGTCCGTCCACCTGCCAGCAGCAGCGAGGCAGCGAATGAGTGACGCCAGGAGGCCATCACTCCAAGGGAGACCACGTGCGCTCATGGCCTGCAGCACAAGAATGGGTCAACTCAAGCAAGCACAACCACAGTGACTCACCTTCAGCGTCTCTCCACCTGCCAGCAGCAGCGAGGCAGCGAATGACAGATGCCAGGAGGCCATCCCTCCAAGGGAGGCCGCGAGCGCTCATGGCCTGCAGCACGTGGATGGCTTCGTTGGGCATGCCCGCATGGGTGTACCTGGTGTGGTACACATGGGGAGTTGATACGCGGTGTTGTATAGGGTACAAGGCAGCGAATGGCTGACGTCAGGAGGCCATCTCTCCATGCGAGGCCGCGAGCACTCATGGCATGCAGCATGTGAATGGCTTCGTTAGGCATGCCTGCATAGGTGTACCTGATGTGGGATGGGGTGTTATATGTTAGTTATGTGATGTGGCATGAGGCATGAGTACCCAACATAGTGCATGGTGCATGGGGAAATAACAGCAAGCCCTCTCTGCTCATGGCATGCATGCACAGCACGTGGGTGGCCATGTGGGGCAAGCCTGCATGGGTTAGGGTTGAAGGTTTAAGGTTTCAGGTTGAGGGTTGAAGGTTAAGGTTTAAGGTTTCTTAGAGGTGTTTACCGCTCGTACACAAGCAGCGGTATCTTTTGCAAAGGGCTTGGATAGGGAGACAACAAAAACCTGCCTTTCACACCTCTTGATGCCTTGACAACACAGACAGAAAATGACAATGCTGGAGCTTTTAGATCGATCGAGCCAGGAGGTGTGTGCGATGGAACACCAGGGCACATGATAAAAGTTGAGTTTTGAGACGTCTCAAAACTCAACTTTTATCATGTGTGTAAAAGCAGACAGTGTGATGGAACACCAGGCACATCCTCAAAGCATGCTCTCACACACACACCGATTCCCAGGCTCACATGCGAATGAGAGCACGATATGTTGCCTCCGTTGGAGTGCAATCATTGCCTCTTCTCCTCTTCCTCCTCCCTTCTCCTCCTCCTTTCTCTTCCCACTCCGCTCCTCTCTCTCCCCACTCCCCTCCCGTTTCCTCCTCCTCTTCTCCCCCATTCTCCTCCATCCACTCCCACACTCGCCCTGCCTTGTCATACGCCCCCACACGAGCATACAGCCCAATCATGCTGTTACACGTGGCAACATCCAATTGGACCCCTTGCTTCACCATCTCCCTCACCCCCTCTTCTGCCTCCCCTGCTCTCCCCTCCCTCGCCCAAGCTCGCACAACCCTTTTTAGAACCTTCCCAGGAACCTTCCACCCCTCCTCCCTCACTCTCTCACACGCCTCCTCCGCTTCCTCCACCCTTCCGTCCCTCAGATATGCCTCCACCAGAAGAAGACAAAATTGCCTGTTCGGCATGACTCCGACTGCTGCCATCCGGGAGGCAAGTGCTGATGCAGCATCTGACACTCGACCAAAAGAAGACAAAGAAGGTGACGCACGACGGTTGCCAGCTGGTGAGGACTCAGTGTCCATGTCAGCACGTCTGAACGCAGTCAGCGGCCAATCAGCATTGAGCAATGCACGCATGGCATGACAGAAAGCTGTTGCATTTAACCAACTCCTGTCAACACTCACCCCTCTCTCGCCTACCCTTCTATCATCAGTTATTTCTCCGTGCCCTCTCGCTCCGTAACCCTCCTCTTCCCTCTCCCCCTCCTCCTCTTCCTCCTCTCTCTCCTCTCCCTCCTCTTCCTCCTCTCCCCCCTCTTCCTCCTCCCCCCCACCCTCCTCCTTTTCCATCACTCCCAGCATCATCAGAGCCTCTGCTGCTCTCCCCTCTCTCCCACACCTTTCCAGGTACAGCAGCCGCTGCCTCGCTGGATTCTGCTTCTGCTGAACTGGGTTCCGCTCCTGCTTAGCTGGATCCTGCTCCTGCCTCGCTGGACTCTGGTTGTGCCTCGCTGGATTCTGAATTTGCTTAGCTGGATACTGCTCCTTCCTCGCTGGATCCCGCTCCTGCCAGATGGTTGATTCAGTTGGAGTGTCACCGTGTGGATGCAAACCCGCTTTGCTACTAACGAGTACAACACGAGAGTCAGCATCCGTGGGCGTCACTGACACGCTGTCTGCTTCGCTATCAGTCATCAACCCAATTCCTCCTCTCCCGTCAAACATACCCTCAGAATTCCTGCTGTTCCTATCCTCCATCCCCTGGTTATTCCGTATTCTTAACGTATCCTCCCCTTTCCTGGAAATGCGCGAACTCTCTCCTCGTCTCCATACCTGTCCAACTATGCCGTTCCCTAATCTCCTACCGTCACTCCTACTCGCACTCCTACCCTCTCTCCTCGTCCACCCTGTCCCCCCGACCCGCCTCTCCTCTTCATCCAATTTTCGAGGCGCCTCAAGAACCTTCTCTCTTTCCTGATCCTTGATCCGGACCGCGATTCCCGAAGCTTCCCTCTGATTCCCATCCCCGTTACCGTAAGCCTCGTTTTTCTCCAAGAAGCCTCCTGTTTCCGCAGCATTAGTATCCCAGCGCTGCAAGTTGTATCTGGTTCGAACACTTTGTACGCGATGTGCTACACTGCATCCGCGTTTTAAGCCGAGGTACGGTTTGGGAGCCGGAATTCCAAGAAGCCTCGGGTTTGGATCGACGATTGGATTCTGGCAGCTGATCAGTAAAGCGCGGCTCGGATTCGGAGCAGCACGAGCGGAACAGGCCCCAATGCGCATAGGAACACACTTTATTGATGACTTTTGAGTCGACTCAAAACTGATCAGTAAAGCGCGGCTCGGATTCGGAGCAGCTCGAACGGAACAGGCGCCTATGCGGATAGGAACACACTCTGGACAACAAGGAGTCATTAGGATTTTGTAAATCAAGGAGACTTTCTAATCCTATAAGGTTCTCAGAGGATTTTGTAAGGATTTTACAAGGATTCTCGAAGGGCTTCCAAAGGAAGAAAGGAGATGTTGAACAAGACCTTGACCCGTTAGAGGGGCACTGAGTTAGGGGAACGGTAGGAGGAGCGACTCGTCAGAACCATGCGTGGCGTGAAGGGAAATCGCTCAGAAGAGCGACACGAGATTGGTGTCGCCTGGCGTGACCTGACAAGGTACTTCTGCAGGCAGTAGTAACGTTTCAGTAGATGGTGCGAAATCCCTACTTTAAAGGTTTTTTTTTTTTTTAGGTAATTGCTATGTACACCGATATAACAAGCATACATAAACAATAACAGTCGTAACTGCGCATGAGGGGTAGCCACGTGGCCGCCCCAGGTGTGGCCTCTAAGGAGGTTGGCGAGCTATCCTCGTTGCGAGCCAGATGTTCGAGAATTCCTTCGTCCACGTCCACGACTTGCAATTTTTGTCCCTGATCCGAAACAGTAGCTTGTTCTCCCCCTCCAACGCACAGCGGAACTTCCCCTCATGTTGTATACCCCGGCGCTTCTTCCACTCCGCATCCCTCGTTCTCATGTAGATTCGCGCATGTAGGCGGAAAGCATTCTCAACTCGGCGGAGCACCCGCCTCGTCCGGAACTTCTTTCCCCGGAACACAGCATCACACCGCTCCACCCACAGTTGATGGAGTGTGATAGATGTAAGCGTGGCTTCCGGAAAAGCTGAGCTGGTCCCCGCCTTTCGAAACAGTAGGTCACCCAATGATGACACCGCACGCGAGCCGTTCAGCATGCGGAGGGACTTCAACAGTGCGGACGTCACAACCTGAATCTTGGGGCAACTGTAGAGGCAGTGCTCAAGTGTTTCCTCGCCCCCACAATAGGGGCAGACCGGTTTACTGCTCAAAAACGCCACCCTCTCTCCCACTTGCAGGTTCAGGTTATGGATCCGCAGCAGAACATCCCTCGGCTTACTCGGTGTGACCAAAGAGTCACGGATGGCGATGGTTCTCTTCCAATTGATATGCCCGTTCCACCTGCCCTTCCACAGCTGCTGCTTCGCTGATGGTTTCTGCCCTTCCCTCCAGAGCAGCTTCAAACGCTTCAAGGGCGCAATCCCTCCGTTCTCAAAGATGGGGAAGTCGGAGAGCTTGCGCCCTGCCTGGAAGGAAACCCTCATAACCCCCGCTGAGTCAGATGTTTGAGGTGCACTGAGCAGCAGCTCCTTCCACCTCTGGGGCGCAGCTTCAAACGCCCTTCTTGCCAGTTTTGCCGCACCCTTCCCACCTAGCTCCTTCTCCAGAGTGGCGACATCTTTCAACTCAGGAGCTCCGCTGCCCCCACGCTTGATTAGATCACCGAGGCGTTTCTCCCATAGCGGTTTTGCGTCCTGCTGACCTCCCACTGGTGTAGTAACATTTAATAAGAGTCGCTTATTGAACACGATGCGCTCCCCCTCCACCGCTTCTCTAGTATCCGCCTCCGGTAGGATGCCAAGCGGCGTTTTCATGAAATTTTCGCACGCAATTTTCCATCGCGCACTTTTCCCCTCCCAGTGCTTCAACAGCTTCTCGTGGGCAAAGAAGGTCTCAATGCCCATGGGTAGATCCGCGGCCCGCAACATAAGGTGTCTCTTCAGCTGATTGGTTTCCAGCGCTAGCAGCCCCACCCTCCTTGCCGTGAGACACGCCAAGATCATCTCCGGGTCATGCACTCCCACTCCCCCCAGTTTCCTCGGCGTGTACAGCAACTCCTTGCTCCAGAGGCGGAATACTCTATCCGCCGTTGCCTTGTTGCCGGAGACAAATTTCTCAAAGGTCTTGGAGATAGTCCCCCATTGCTTTGCCGGCGGCGGATAAACTTGCGCCTGGAAGGCTGCCTTTGGCATCGTGTAACTGTTAACAACCGCTGTCCGCGCCGTTGTCGGCAGGAATTTCTGCTCCCATTTTTTAACTTTCCCCGAGATGTCCTCCGAGGTTTTTTCCCATGGTGGCAGGCAACTTCCGGAGGGAGTGACCCACACACCCAACAGATTTTCGGCTTCGTCCTTCTTTGCCCATCTGAAGCTATGCGTTCGGCCAGTCGTCCTGCCCAGGTTGTTTCCCAGTGGTAGGACCACTGACTTCTCCCGGTTTGTCGCCAGCCCAGAGGTCAGTTCGAACTTCGCCAGCACTTGTTCTGCCTTGATGAGCTGTTGCTTCCCTTCCAGGACCAGGGTGGTGTCATCCGCGTACCCGATGTACGCCAATCTCTCACTTGCTTTGCTGATACCCATCTTCTTCCGGAGGACCGTCTGCGCCAACGGTTCTACTGCACACAGGAAAAAGGTAAGGCGCGAGGGGGCAGCCTTGCCGAACCCCAGACACCACCTCCACTCCTTCCCCCATCCAACCGTTTACTAACAGCCTCGTTTGCATTCCTTCGTGCAGACCCTCCGCCCAACTCACGAACCGGTCCGGGAAACCCATCGCCCGCATCGTCCTGAAGATGTAACCACGCGATACGGAGTCGAAGGCTTTCTTAAAGTCCACAAGAAGAAGGAACCAATCCTCGTTATGATTCCGCGCGGTGTCGATTATATCCGCAACAAGCCCCACTGCATCTGTCAGCCGTCTTCCCGGCAAAAAACCGTACTGCTCCGGCGATATCACCCTCCCCAGGAACTTTTTCATTCTGTCTGCCATGACTCGCGCCAACACTTTGTACGTGAAGTTGAGTAACGTTATCGGGCGATAGTTATTAAGCTGATCCTTGTCGCCTTTTTTGTGTAGCAGAATCGTCACCGCTTCCTTCACTTCTGTCGAAAGCACCGCCGTTCTTGCGAAGTCCTTGGCGAGAGCCATGAAGCCTTTTCCCAGCAAGTCCCAGTGCGCTTCGAATAGCTCCTTAGGTAAGCCGTCTTTGCCTGGAGATTTATTCGCCGCCATCGCACTGAAAGCGCTCTTCACGTCCTCTTCCGTCCAATCAGCCGACAGCTCCGCTGCTTCCCAAGATCTGAGGACCTTATCCTTGTCTGGTCGCCACTTCTCTTCAAGCTGACATCGGTCGCTCCCGAAAATATCGGCAAAGAAGTCAGACGCCGCTCGAAGTATCCCCTGAGAGTCCGACACCACCCCACTCGCCGTCTGCAGTTCCGCAATCTGAGTACATGCTTTCCTCGCTTGCACCATCGCCGTAAGGTGCTGCGATGCCACTTCTCCTCTGAGCTCCGTCCGCATCCCCGACATCAGGCGCAACCTGTCTTTCCGTGATGCTTGGTATTCCCGCAGCTGCGCCTCTTTCACCGCTAACTGTTCGCTTGTTTGCTTGCAGGAAGGATCCCGCATCATCGCCTGTCGGAGCTTGGCAACAGCGTCCACCAGATGAGTCGCCGTCGCCTTGACGCGTTTGCCCTCCTCCTTCGCAAACGCTCGAAGCCCAGCGGCCAACCTCGAGAGCAGCAGTTCGAAACTGCTTCCGTCCGTGACGGCACACCGTTCCACCGTCGCTTCAACGACCTTCCGAACACCACGCTTATGCACCAGCAAGGCGTGGAGCCTCCAGAGTCCAGGCCCAAGGCTAAGCTTGGCGTCGATTCGGAGTGCTATGCGAATCGCGAAGCTGTGATCTGAAATGTAGTCTGCCGGCATAACGTGTGAGGCTTGGATCAAGTGCGGTAAGAGAGAATGGGAGAGGAGGGCACGGTCTATGCGCAGATGAGCCTAAGCGCGACGACTTGTCTAACACTGGGTCCTCTACAATATTGAGGTCTCCCATGATGAGCAGGTGGCTAGTCGGCGGGGACAGATCAACTATCGGACCAAGGGTGTCACGAAGAAAGGCAGCACGCGAGGTCGGGCTGGCTGGGAAGTAGCATGCTATAACTGTAAGACTAAGACCAAGGCCATGTATGTCGGCAGCGACTATTCTACCCGAGGGATGGACTAACACGTTGCTAAAGCTGAGGAGCTGCGATCTACAGAGTAAAGCTACTCCACCAGCCTTCGACCTAGGTGAGGTGGCTGCTGCTAAGCTGTAAGTAGGGTGAGACCAGAGAGGATGATCTGAAGCTAGTCTAGTGTTGGAAAGTACTAGGATATCTGCTGCTTGTCTGGACCAGTCTAAAACTCGCTGCTGTTTGGTCTTATCTCCAAGGCCGTTGACATTAAGGCCCGCAAAACTGATGAGGCTTTTCTTACTCATTTGATAACAACTTGAGAACCCCTACGCATCCACAGGGTAAAGAAGAGTACAACACTGACTACCGTGAGACCTACTGCCGCTGATGCTGCACATCTACCAAGCTGCTCCAGCCTCAGAACCCGTAATCTTTCTTCGTGGTGTTGAGGCTCGCTCGCTCGAGTGAGGCATGTGTAGCAGAGCCGAGCTGTTCCAGGTGGATGAGATGGTTGGCCGATGTGATGTGATCTGCTGCAGTCATGAAGCTCCTTCCCTTGGCTTTCCCGCAGCCCACTTGTGTGCAGATCCACTCTTCTCGGCTTCCTCCAGTGGAGATGAGCACAATCGCCGGATCCAGCAGAATGGGAGTGATCAGCGGCGAGGCCGGGAGAGAGGCAGCTGCATAGCATCACTTGACAGTCAGCACAAGTAAGAGTACAGCAGTGCGAGTGATCATGGATAAAACAGCAGTTACCGTTAATGCGGTGAACCCGACCCAAGGTAAGGTTCCACTTTCCTATGTTGTTTTGCCGCTCTGTTGTGAATGCATCATAATTGACATCATAGTGCTGTCCACCACAGAGCAGGCAAGACAGCGCAGGGAAGTGGACCAGGTAACGGCGACCGAGCTCCAGCGGGTCCTGGAAGACGTGGCGCCAGCGGCAGCGGTCTCCAGGATGCGGGATCACAAGCCCTTTGATGACGTCCGTATCGGCTCCGGTAATCGGGTGCAGAACGCGGTGGAAGCAGATACCATCCTTGAAGGCCGACTGCTTCCGGTTCCGCAGCTGATAGACCACCATCAGCTCCCTCAGCATCTCAGGCGTCTTCGTCGCAGGGACGTTGCGGATCACCACTTCAATGGCTCGTGCGTTTGTTGATCGTTCACGCACGAAGGCTGGATCCTCCGTGTGCTGCCAGTAGAGACGAGTTGTTGCACTATTAGGACGCGCGTAGTCAACATCCTTGGTCCTGATGCTCATTATGTCTTCTTCTCGCAGGAGGGAGATCTGGAGACGACTGTAGCGAGTCTTCGCCACGTACGCCGGCATGAGTTCCTGGAACTTTGCCGATTCAACAGCACCATCGGACAGAGTAGACGACCAAACACGCTTCATCAGCGTCCGCACCGTGGTGATGATGGACGCAACTCCAAGGCGAGAGCCACAGGGATCAGCAGGATCGCCGTGTAGCGGACGCGGTTGAAGGCTTCAGTATTGACTTCAACTTCCAGCTCTTCATCCGAGTCATCTTCAAGAAAACCGCTGTCAGGAGCAGCTGTGCGAAGCGAACGCAGCTTCTCCTCCAGCGATAGACCAGATCCGCTTGCAGAAGTCTCAGCAGGAGGCACAGAGCTTGATTCTTCCGGCATTCTGCCCTTGCCTTTGTCCTTGAGCGCAGGATCCGCCGCAGGCGACGGAGGTGGAGCATCCAGGGACGAGGAGGGAGCCTCCAGCGACGATGCTTCCGGCAGGAGCTTGGCCTTCCCCTTGGGAGGCATCGTGCAATGATGAGAAGAGCGTGGCTGAGAGAAACACGGCTGTAAAGCTGATAAACAGACCTGCAGTGTCTGAACTGATGCCACAACTCTGACCACAGACCAGTTAAATAGGTAAAAGCCGTGAGCATTTGCCCATTGTTCTTGCTGTAGATGATGAGAAACCGAGGTTGACGCCTCGGGATCATTGCATTCAATAGTTGTAATAGATGCCTTGTCTCCAGTGCAGAACCTTAGAAAGCTTAAAACCGATGAGCGTAGCCTCGGGAACAGCAGCAAATCAAAAGGAACCTTGAGATTAGTTGCCTGACAGAAAACTGGATCTCGTTTAGCGATGAACACAATGTCCGACGTGTAGACATAAAAGAAGTATCGATCGCTGCGCCTTGTAACGAGGAGTCCGGATCTGTAGTCAAAGTGGACAACCGATAACTGAGTTACACGGGATCTAGAGATTGCGCTGCGCGGAGTTATCCATGGCGGACTCATGGCGAACATTGTTTGAGACGGATTCTAGAGAAAGTCCTACTTTCAAGGTGGATGAACCAACCAAAGCTTCATAAGTCCCAGCGACGGCAATCCCAAGGTGGAAAAGCAGATGGAACGAGAAATGTGCACACAAGTAAAAATACCTACCCAACCGTTCTAGGATGTAAACCAGCCACTCCGGGTGTAGAACACCCCACCCAAGTAGCCTACTCAAATCAAGACACGAACTTCGCTCACGCATTTTATTCTTGAAATAGCACCCGGTTTTTATCGAGAAGTTAAAAAACCAAAGAATAATCTACTTCCAACATCAAAATTAATCATAAGCATGGATGAAATACAGCATTCTGCACAAAAGAGCTAACTAGCGAATACGCACTTTCAACAAGCCTCCCATGTGCAAGCACTTTCCACATCACCGCATGCGGTAGTGCTGGGTGCGCGACGCCTTACCTCTACGACCATCAAACTTGTAAGTCACGGATATGTCTATATCGCGGGGGTTCTTCGCGTTGGGCTTCACTTGCATGGTTCCGGTAATCGCTTCCCCTTCACACACGGTTAGGGTGTCTTCCAAGTATAGCACCGTTTGCTTCCAATGCGTACCCCGGCTCTTGGGCCCTGCGGAAATTATCACAGCATACAGAAAATATATATTTTTATCAACAAATGTGTATAAAAATATGTATGGGAAAACATGAGAATGGCTTATGGCATGGAGTGAAGAAAAGTGAGGGAGAGATGAAACGGATTCCACGTAACGGTATGCTGACCTGTTGAAAAGCTAATGACCAGTCCAAAACCACTAAGGCAGTCACCTCATGCACCCCATGCTCATGCTCACCTGTGGAGAAGCCGATGGGCTTGTGGCACTTGGTGAAGCCGACATCAAAGCCACAAGCGCATGCACAAAGTCATTCCTAGCATGTGTGAGTGCCACATGGTTATGAAAAAAGGGTGGTGTTAGAGTTAAAAAAGGTACCTGTGGAGAAGCCGATGGGCTTGTGGCACTTGGTGAAGCCGACATCAAAGTAGGCCACGAGAGCATGCACAAAGTCGTTCCTCTCCGCCACGAGCTTGAAGGGCACCGAGAAGGAGAGATCGCCCCTTGTCACCTTGCTGATGTCGAGCGACTGGATTTGGTGGAAAGCGGAGGGGCAGGAGGGAAGAAGTGAGTAACAGCGGATGCACAAAGTCGTTCCTCTCTGCCACGAGCTTGAACGGCACTCAGAAGGAGAGGTCGCCCCGTGTCACCTTGCCGATGTCCAAAGACTGGGGTGGGTGGAAAGAGTAGAGATGGGGGGCAAGGTCAGAGACAGAGTGTGAACAAGTCATTGCTTTCCGCCACGAGCCTGAACGGCACCGAGAAGGACAGATCGCCACGTGTCACCTTGCTGATGTCTAGAGACTGGGGTGGAGAGATGGAAGGGTGGAGCGAAGGAAGAGGGGCAGAATGGGGAAAGAGGGGCAGGAGGGGAAAAGGGAGCGAGAGAAGAGGGATATGGAAGAGGGGAGTGAGGACAGAGGTCCTTCTTCTTCTCACCTTGACGAGGCAAGAGTTGGTGACGATCTGCTCTGCGTCCACAGTGTCAACTAGAGGCTCCAACATGGCCTTGTCAGTGAGCCAGAGGGTGAACAGATGGTTATCAGAGTGCAGTGGATAGGCCAAACAAGCCCGATGCTCACCTTGACAAGGCACGAGTTGGTGACGATCTGCTCTGCGTCCACAGGTGTCAGCCAGTGGCTCCAGCATGGCCTTGTCTCGGATGAGCGAGCGAGCGAGAGAGAGGGAGTGGTGCGTGTGCATGTGGATCCTAAGGGGTGCATGTGGATCCTAAGGGGTGCATGTGGATCCTAAGGGGTGCATGTGGATCCTAAGGGGTGCATGAGGGTCCTAAGGGGTGCATGTGGATCCTAAGGGGTGCATGAGGGTCCTAAGGGGTGCATGTGGATCCTAAGGGGTGCATGTGGATCCTAAGGGGTGCATGTGGATCCTAAGGGGTGCATGAGGGTCCTAAGGGGTGCATGTGGATCCTAAGGGGTGCATGAGGGTCCTAAGGGGTGCATGTGGATCCTAAGGGGTGCATGTGGATCCTAAGGGGTGCATGTGGATCCTAAGGGGTGCATGAGGGTCCTAAGGGGTGCATGTGGATCCTAAGGGGTGCATGAGAGTCCTAAGGGGTGCATGAGGGTCCTGCTTCTCACCTTGACGAGGCAAGAGTTGGTAACGATCTGCTCGGCGTCTACGGTGTCGACCAGAGGCTCCAGCATGGCCTTGTCTCGAATGCAGCTCATGTCAAACCCATACACTGACTGCCAGACTGGGAAGGAAAGACGCATGGGCAGAGGGGTTGTAAAAGTGAGTCCGTACGCATGTTAAAACACATGACATGCGAAACACACGACATTTGCCCCTGCTGTACCATGGATCTGTTTTTTGAGAATTCTAAAAAAAAACAGAACCAACATATATTCAATGGCAAGGACCGTTCGAAAAAAAATGACAGAAAATACTGAAGAAAAAACCCACTCATTTCTCTAGCACTCACAGTGGATCTTCTCCTGCTTGTACTCTGCATCCTCTATCGCCATCAGGTGCAGCACAATGGGGAGTAGGCAGCAGCACACGGCCAATGGTTCCCCTTCTTCCCCCTCCCCCCCCCCCCCCCCCCCCTCCCCTTCCTCCCTTTCCTGCACTCACAGTGGATCTTCTCCTGCTTGTACTCGGCATCCTCTATCGCCATCAGGTATAGCGAGCAGTGGTCTGGCAACACTATGCCGCCGTTTGCCTGCAGGTACATAAACGGGAGCAACAAGAGGCATATGCAGTGGAAGAATGAGAAACGACACAGCAGCACCAGGTACAGCGATCAGGGGTCTGGAAGCACTATGCCTCCCGTTGCCTGCAGGCAGGTACATAAACGGGAGCAACAAGAGGCATATGCAGTGGAAGAATGAGATGAAAATATGGGAAGAATGAGAAACAACACAGCACCAGGTACAGCGAGCAGGGGTCTGGAAGCACTATGCCTCCCGTTGCCTGCACACACATAAACGTTGGCAACACGAGGCACATGCAGTGGGAAATAAGAGCAGGGAGAGAATGAGCAGCGACACAGCACAGCCGTGTGCGTTCCAATATGGCTGTGCTGTGCTGCACACAGAAAGCAAGCACCCACTCAGCCACTTGTCGCGTGCAAACAGCACAGTATCAAGCATAGACTCTTAGAAAAGGAAGTAGCCCATCCATCCACTCCGACGCAGCTGAAAAGTGCCAACACTGAGAATTGAGCCCTGAAGCATCTGTATAATCATATAGTGCTCACGCACCAGCCACTTGTCTCTGGCAAAGAGCACATTGTCAAGCATGGATTCATAGAGAAGTACCTAGCCCATCCACTCCCATGTGGTAACCCGGTTACACTCGCCAGCCACTTGTCTCTGGCGAAGAGCACTGTGTCAAGCATGGATTCGTAGAGGCGGAAGTAGCCCATCCACTCAGACACAGCTGGAAAGCGCCAACACTGAGAATTGAACCCTAAACCATCTGCATAATAACTCACCAGCCACTTGTCCCATTGTCCCTTGCAGAAGCATGGACTCCTAGAGAAGAAAGTAGCGCATCCACTCTCCCATCCCCTGTGGTAACCTGGTAGCCCTATAACATAGAAAAGGAAGCATCCCCATTCACGTACCAGCCACTTGTCTCTGGCGAACAGGACTGTATCGAGCATGGACTCGTAGAGCAGGAAGTAGCCCATCCACTCCGATATAATCACATCCACTTTCTCCCCTTCTGGCAACTCCACGTCCTCCACCTTCCCTTTGATCACCGTGATTACTGCGAAAGGAAGGAGAGAGGGGGGGTAGGGAGGGAGGCAGAAGGGGGTACGGAGGGTTGTGGAGGAGTGTGGTGTGGTGTGGAGGGGTGGTATTGACTTCACCTACTCCCTTCTGGCAAGTCCACGTCCTCAACCTTCCACTTTATCACTGTCATTACTACGAGAGGGGTGAAAAGGGGGAGTTGGGGGACGGGTTGCGGGGACGAGGGGCAAGGGTTGGGGGAATATGGGGGGGTAAGAAATGACAAGTCCACGTCCTCTAACTTCCATGCACCGTTGTTATTGTATGAACCGAACTAAACCACGACAACGGTGATTACCCTAAACCCGAAACTAAGCTGGTTGCTCAACTCGAGGACACCGGCCCAACACCAAAAACCCCTGTACCATAAAACCAACTTTTTGAGACGTCTCAAAAGACGGCCCCAACACCCAAAGCCCTGAACCCTGGAACCATGACATGCGCCTCGTGAAACGAATAAAGAATGTGTTGACTCACTGTGGTCCATGTGATTGGCTGCCACGATTTCGCGCGCGCACTCGGCAATCTCTGAGCACTCCATCTGCATGGCACGGCATGGCACGGAATGGCACGACACGGGCAGAACTAAGGCAATTTGTTCACATTAAGTGAAATGTTTGTATGAGCATTCTTCACACTTGGAAGTCTATGAGCACTTCATTTGTATGGAACCGGTTTGAAATCTGATATTCGACACCAAATGCTTTGACAACGAATGTAGAGGAAAGGCTTTACGGCATACAGAAGCAGCTCTTACCGCGTACACCTTCTTGGCGCCCGCTTTAGCAGCGAAGAGCGAGAGGATCCCAGTGCCAGCACCGACGTCCATGACGACCTTGTCCTTGAACAGAAACGTGCTGCCGCAGATCGCTGCCTCGTACGTCTTGGTGCGCACGGCGTCTTTGAGCATTTCCTCGTGAATGCCTGCGCGGCGCAGGGAAATTACGGAGAGGGATGAAAAAGGTGGGTCGTGAATGAGCGGGGGTCTTGCGCTGAAGAAGAGGAAGAGGGTTTGATAGAAAGCGGGGAAGTACCGAAGTGGGCGTACGAGTCGAAGTAATAATCGGCGCTCGTTTTGAGTCGACTCAAAAATAGGCTCGTTTTTTAGTCGTCTCAAAAATAGGCTCGTTTTGAGTTGACTCGAGAAGAGGGTTTGATAAAAAAACGGGGAAGTACCGAAGTGGGCGTACGAGTCGAAGTAATAATCGGTGCTCGTTTTGAGTCGACTCAAAAATAGGCTCGTTTTGAGTCGACTCGAGAAGAGGGTTTGGTAAAAAACGGGGAAGTACCGAAGTGGGCGTACGAGTCGAAGTAATAATCGGCGCTCGTCAGGTCTTTATTCCCTGACGACGCTCCCCCGCCTCCCGCGCTGCTCTCCGGCGCTTGCGCCTCCGCTTGCGCTTCCTGCGCCGCCCCGCTAGTTTCCATCGGCTCCGCTGAAAGCTGCTGTTCCGCCTCCTCTCCCCCCGTCAATTGCGCCGCTTCCGCAGCCTCGGATTGCCCCGGCTGTTTCTGCTGCTGCTGCCGCTTCTTACGCCTTTGCTGGTTATTCGACGTCATCGCTACGACGGCTCTGGTAGCTCGAAACAATGAATTATCACGGAGGGAGGAGGTGGGGCGCCAATGTTTCAGCGCGTTAATTGACGGGTTTATGAAAGAGCTAGGTAATATAGCAAGTTTCATGGTTTAGCAGACTAGCAATGAAAAAAGGAGTGAGGAGGGTTTTGAAGGTTTGGTTGGGTTTCGACAGACGGGTTTTTGGAATTGTGATTTGAAGCGTTATTGGATCCTCCGATACTACGCAAGAGAGCGAGCGAATGTCCTTGTTACCTAAATCAACACTCTTGTAAAATTGCAGCTGATAATGATTTTTCATCCACCCTCACAGGTACCACGAGTAACTTCGCCAAACAAACTCTAAGCTCTCCGCCATGGCTCCTACAATAACTTCTACTCACGCAATTTCAAGCTAACCTTTATCAGCTTCAAGAACTGAATACATATTTTGGGTCTACTCATCAAGGGCTTGATTTCGACACCACTTTATGTTCAAACAGAGAACATTGGTCGTCGTGACTTCCACTTGTGAAGATCTGTTTTCATGTTCTTAAACTGGTTTTAAGCTCAAGACATTAAGTTACTCTAAGGAAGCTATAATGGCCAGGCTTAGCACAAGTCATGACGGAAGCTGGAACCTGGAAAGCAACACAGACACAAGACATGAGAAGAGAAAGTACAAGGCAGCTGGACCGCCAAATATTTTTCGACTATCAATCTTCTCTGCCATTGTTCGACAACAGACAAGAAATGAAACGTCTCGTCAGCCGCGGACATGTTTATTACCACTTTCAAGAGCGACCAAATCCGGATCAGCAATGGTTTCTGACAAGACAGGGTATACATCCTGTTTGCAGCAAACGCAAAGTGAAGGACATCTAAAATGGCTCCCGAGAAGAACTACAAGTGCAATGACGGGTGTGAAGTTCAAGGAAATATCTCAACGGAACCTTTTCAGACTATCAACACTTTCCTTCCTACATAGTTCAGAAACAGGAGCTTCACGCTTGTCACGTCAACGCACGACAAGGAATGACTACGTATCTGAATCAAGATCATGTTCCAAACAATCGATTCTGACCATATCAGTTCAAGAACTACCAATCTTTCGAATGGCTTCACTATCAACTCAGGAAGAGGATTTCTCTATATTTCTTGGCGACAACTTATGGCAACATGATGCTGACTTGAATAAGGATAACAAGGTGGATCCTTCAGCAGAACACTTTCAGGATAAGCCTATGTCGCTGGAGGAAACTGGGCTATGGCGTCAAGTTACGACTGGGGAGTGTGAAGTTACTCAGAAATCTGTCGCGGGTGTGTCAGAATCTAGCAGCAGGAATGATTGAACTATGAAAGAGTTGGGTACAAGTATGAAACCCTAAAAGGGGCTGTACCCCATATTGGCTACCCCACTACAGCCTACACATATATAGCATGCATATACTTTGACACACCCCCATAGGCAAAGTGGGGGAGAGCAAGGGGTCACACGACCAGTCAAGAGAAGCAAAGCAAGCTCAGGGTGGATCACAACGTCACCACACACACTGAGCACAAGCAAAGGGCCACAAGGCCAGTTCACATGCAGGGGTATATATGAAAAAACAACAGCACAGTGATCTCTACCTAGCAGAGCAAGCATGCAGGTATATATAGATCACAGTACAAGCAAAGTCTACAGCAAGTGAGGAAACGTGGGCACAAGGCCTAACAGAGTGCAGAAACACTGATGATCACCAGACGGAAGCGCCTTGGTTAATATATCAGTAGTGTTGGCCCGAGTGGCCACGTGAGCAAGACGAAGCTGACCACGCTGCTGCAACTCTCGAGCCACGAAGTAACGCAGAGCGATGTGCTTCGTTCTGTGCTCCAGTCTGTGCTCCTGACACAAGGCAATGGCGGCCTTGTTGTCGACGTACAGCACTGGAGGAGAACGAGGCCGCTCTCCCAAGTCGGTCAGCAGGTAGGTGAGCCAGCGTAACTCCTGTGCAGCCATGGCTGTGGCGTAGATCTCAGCCTCACAACTGGAGCTGAGAACTGAAGACGAGCGTGTAGAACGCCAAGAAACCGAACCAGAGCCAAGGCTGAAAGTGTAACCCTGTGACGACCGCTGCGTAGCCTGGTCGTCAACCCAAGAAGCGTTCGAGTGCCCAGTGAGGACAACGTCGCCCCGTCCTCCAAGCACGAGCCCATGCCCGATGTACTGCACAAGTAGCGCAGTACCCTCTTAGCAGCATCCATGTGCACCTTTCGGTGCCGACCAGGAGCCACGTAGCGAGCCAGAAGGCCAAGAGGGTACGCAAGGTCAGGACGAGTGCAGGTCATCAGGTACATGAGGCAGCCCACTAGCTCTGGGTAAGGACCACTCGGCTCTACGGACTCGTCCGAAGGTGGAGCTGAGAGCGAGTGACCTGTAGCCAGAGGAGTGGCATGTACCGAGGACCAGGTGAAGCCGAAGCGCTGAAGGACCTGCTGCACCATGTGTGACTGAGTCAGTGTGATGGCGCGGCGTGCTCTGTCCCGGGTGATCTGCAAGCCAAGGTAGCTGCGCAGCTCACCCAGGTCTGTGCGCGTGTGTCTCTTCTGCAGCTCCGACTTCACCAGGGCGAGAGCCTCAGTGTCAGCAGTGGCAAATACCAAGTCGTCGACGTACACGAGGATGTAGAACGGCGGCAGCGAAGTGTCGGTGCGCAGAAACAGCGACGGGTCAGCAGTCGACGGAGCAAACCCAAGAGCCGCAAGTGTCGTCCTCAGTGTGTCGTGCCACTCACGTGGCGCCTGGCGGAGACTGTAGACCGGCCGCCTGAGGCTCCACTGGGTACCAGGAGGGAACGACCCAGTGAAGCCAGGTGGGCGGCGCAGCCAGATCTCCTCGTGCAGGCTGCCCTGTAAGAAGGCTGTGCTGAAGTCAAGAGAATGAAGCTCGTAGTCACGCTGAGCGGCAACGTGCAGCAGCACCCGAAGAGTGGTCATCTTCGGGGTGGGGGAGAAGGTCTGGAAGAAGTCAACTCCCTCTCGCTGAATGAAACCTCGTGCAACGTAACGCGCCTTGAAGGCAGGCGGAGAACCTGGCGGCCGCTTCACCCTGAAAATCCACATGCCACTGACGATGTTTGCCCCAGGTGGGGGAACCTCGTCGACGTAGGTGCCTGTGGACTTCCAGGATGCCATCTCTGCGTCCATGGCTGTCTGCCACTGAGAGGAGTACTCACCCGCGATCGCCTCAGCGTAAGAGCGCGGGGTCGGGATGTCTGGAGCATCCGGGTCTCCCTCAGGGGCAAGCAGCATGGATACGAGATGAGGCGCAGCTGCTGCAAGACACTCAAGGTCCTCCTGCCTGTCCTCAAGGACGTCCGTGCCAAGAGCACACTCACCCCCGACGGACGGAGGACAGACAGACTCAGACTCAGCAACAAGACTAGCGGCGTAGTCTAGACGACATGCAGCAGCAAAGTCAACAAGCTCAGCAACTAAGGCAGACGTAGCAGCAGACTCAAACGACGGGTCAGTGACAACAGTTGCTAGCAGACGCGTGACAGTAGGGTGCTCAGCACGAAACCGGTCAGACTCGGGGTCCGCAACGACAGGCAGAGAAGATGCAGGAGGGGACGGCAGAGGAACACGCTGCGGAGGAGAGGAAGGACGATGGACTACAAGGTGGGTGTCGGGGACAGCCGGCAGACGCAGACGAGGAACACGACGACCGGAACGACCAGAACAGACAGGCGAGACAGGACACGACGCAGGCTCACGACGCTCAGTAAGACCCCCTAGCTGCTCAGTGTAAGGAGAAGGAGCAGGCAGCGGTGAGCCAGGCTGTAACGGAAGACCAGTAGACGAAGGGAGACTAAGAACCTGGCGAAGCACAGAGTCAGGCGGTGGCTGAGACGACGGAGATGGTGGAGCGAAGAACAGGCGCAGCTGTGCAGTGACACCAGCACCAGCAGCTCCAGTACCCCCAGCAGCTCCAGCACCTCCAACAGCTCCAGAACCTCCAGCGCCAGCACCCTCAGCAGCTCCAGAACCTCCAGCTCCAGCGCCACCAGCGCCAGTACCTCTAGCAGCTCCAGAACCACCAGCACCAGCACCCTCAGCAGCTCCAGAACCTCCAGCTCCAGTGCCACCAGCGCCAGTACCTCCAGCAGCTCCAGAACCTCCAGCACCAGCACCCTCAGCAGCTCCAGAACCCTCAGCGCCAGCTCCTCCAGGACCAGCTCCACCAAAAGCAGCACCCCCAGAACCGGCACCTCCAGTCCCAGGGTCTCCAGCCTCAGTGCCTCCAGCAGCAGCACCCTCAGGCTCAGCACCTCCAGCCCCAGCAGCTCCAGTACCTCCAGTACGAGCACCTCCGGGACCAGCACCACTCCCAGCTCCAGTGACGTCAGCAGAAGTACCTCCAGCGGCAGAGCCCCGAGCTCCAGAAGCGCGACCCTGACGGCGACCGTACCAGTCGTGCAGCTGCTGCGAGGTGAGAGGCACACGCGGACGAAGGCGGCTACTCCAAGGAAACCGCGCAACAGCAGACTTAGAACCCTCAGCGCCAGTACCCGCAGCAGCTCCAGAACCTCCAGCGCCAGCACCCTCAGCAGCTCCAGAACCTCCAGCTCCAGCGCCACCAGCGCCAGTACCTCCAGCAGCTCCAGAACCTCCAGCGCCAGCACCCTCAGCAGCTCCAGAACCTCCAGCAAAAACAACTCCAGTGGCAGAGTCACCAGCTCCAGCGCCTCCCGCAGCAGGGCCCCTAGCTCCAGCAGCGCGACCCTGACGGCCAGCGTACCACTCAAGCAGCTTCTGTGGAGAGAGAGGGAGGCGACGACGAGAGTGCAGCGGCGAGGCACCAGAGGAGCGACTACGGAGACGGTCGCTCCAGGGAGACTGCTCACCAGACGCCTCAGCGCCCCCAGGCTCAGCACCCCCAGACTCCTCACACCCAGGCTCAGCAACTCTAGTCTCCGCACCCCCAGGCTCCGCACCTCCAGGCTCCGCACCCCCAGGCTCAGCACCCCCAGGCTCCGCACCCCAAGGCTCAGCACCCCCAGAAGCAGCACCCCGAGCAGGACCACCCTTAGCAGGACCTGAGTCACCAGTGACCTCAACCGGCTCAGTCAAGGGAGGAGGGTCTACCTGAGACACACCTGAAGGAGCAAGACCAGGAGCGGGGAGGGGGTCTACCTGGGGAGCACCTGGAGCGAGGAAGAGCGGCGGGGGGGGGGAGAGGGGCAGTGCGGTAGGGGAAGAGACGGTAAAAGGGAACCGACTCGTCGAACGTGACGTCCTGAGAGGGGAAGACACGGCGCGAGGTGGGGTGGTAAAACTGCCAACCAGGCGCGTCAGGGACAAATCCAAGGAAGACACAGGGAACAGCGCGGGCGGAGAGCTTGTCCGCGGTGGTATCGCGGACAAAGGCACGAGCACCCCAGACCCGGAAACGCGACGCATCGCCAACCTTCCCCGTCCACAGCAGTGTGGGCGAGGTCTCCGGCAAGGAGACACGGGGCCAGAGGTTGAGCTGATGCGCGGCGTACCGGACCGCAAACGGCCACAGAAAATGGGGGGCAGCCGCATGGATCATGGAGGTACAAGCAACCTCCATGACTAAGCCAATGCGACCCCATTCTGCTGCGGAGAGGCCGGAAGCGTGAACGTATGGCGGATGCCGTGCTCCGCACAGTAGGCTGCCAAGAGGTCTGAGGAGAACTCACCACCTCTGTCAGAGTGCAGACGCAGGACAGGAAAGTCCGACTGGAACCGCTCGCGGAGCTGGAGACGAACAGCGCGGATCCAGGGGATCAAAACATCAGGGACCTCCCCCTTGCTGCGCAAGGGGAAGACCGTGGTGTAACGCGTGTAGTCGTCGACGACCAGCAGGAAGTACCGCTCGTGGCCCTGTCCACGGACGCGGGCTGGGCCCCACACGTCCAGGTGGAGAGTCTGCAGGGGAGCCTCTGTGGGAGGGAACGAGGAGGAGTGAGGAGCGGCGCGCTGCCGCCCCTCGACACAGGGAAGACAGGGAGGAGCAGGCGAGGGTGGTAGAGGAGGCAGAGTCTCTGGAAGTCCAGAGACAAGGAAACGGCGGTGCATGCTACGAAGGCGCTGCACCGAGGGGTGACCAAGGCGGTGGTGCCAAAGGAGGGTCTGGTGCGACAAAGTGCGACACGAGCAGGGGGCCGCTAGCTGACCTGACGCAAACGCAGACGCAGACGCAGCTACCTGAGGGGACACAGTGGTCAGTGTGTACAGACTCGAGCCAGGCTCTCGGGTGAACGTGGCCAGGTTCTGTCCAGTCCGGGAGCACGTACAGTGGGTCACACGCTGACCTCCAGGGGTGAACTGGTCAACCCACACATCCTGTAGGTCAGCTCCACTCACCAAGTTCGTAGAGAACGAGGGGAGGTGAAGACCTGACAGGGAGCCAGACGGGACCGCCGGACACGGCAGGACCGTGGAGGAGTGCGCAAGGACTGGACCCCCAGAGGGGTCTGCCAGGGAGACTGCAACCGGCCGACGAAGCGGCGTGAGGGTGGTGCTGTCCCGAAAGAAGGAGCGGGAAGCACCTGAGTCAAGTGTGAAGGTGTACAAGGCCTCAGCAGGCGCAGTACCAGAGAGAGCAGACTCACCAGGACCTGGAGCAGCAGCCTCACCAGCACCTAGCGCAGGAGACGTACTAGCACCTAGAGCAGCAGCCTCACCAGCACCTAGGGCAGCAGGCTCTATACCTGGGTCAGGCGGTACGCACAGGGAACAGGCACGGTCAGCACTAGTAGGCAATGCATACATGGCAGTGAGAATAGCATCATAGTCAAGAGCAAAGATATCTACCCTCTGCCCAAGCAGCTCCAGCCAGGTGGGGAGCTCAGCCTCGTCGCCAAACTCGGTACGCCAGGCGTCGCTCAGACGGGCGAAGCAGCGGGACTGGGTGTGACCAAGTGTCCCGCAAGCCTGACCAGCCCGATCACCTGTGCGAAGGACGTACGGGCAGCGAACGGTACTCCGAGACCCTCGACTCTGAGCGTACCTTTCGTGAAGCTGCCGGGACGTAAGTGTCTCGCGCGGATGCCGCTGCAGCTGCAGCTGGCCACTGCCAGACGCTCCCGACCGACCAGCCCCAGGGCGACAGCCACGAGGGCTACCGCCACAACCCCAACTGGCGTACCACTCACGAAGCTGCTGAGGCGTGAGAGACTCGCGCGGACGTCGCTGGAGCTGCATCTGGCCACCGCCAGTAGCAGTAGTAGCAGTAGTAGCAGCAGCAGCAGCAGTCTAGCAGTAGTAGTAGCGCGGGTAGGGCAGGCAGGCAAGCAGGCGTGGCAGGCAGGCAGGCAGGCAGGCAGGCATGCAGGCAGGTGCTCACCAGTGGCGAGAAGGGCAGGCGCACGACGGCGGCGACGGCGGGGCCGCGACAGCTGTGGCAGAGCAGGACCGCATCGGAGGTAGGGCAGGTCCGCTACAGCTGCTGCAGGGCGGGGACGTGACGGCTGCAGAAGGCTCCGCAACAGCTGCTGCAGGGCAGGGCCTCGACGGCGGCAGGAGGCTCCGCGGCAGCTGATGTAGGGCGGGGCCGCTACTGTGGCAGGGCGCTCCGCGGCAGCTGCTGCAGGAGTGACGGCGGCGTCCAGGGGCAGCCGCGGCGCGCGAGGCTGCAGCGCGCTACGCGGGCTGCGCGAGGACGGCAGCCGCGGCGCGCGGGGCTGCAGCGCGACGCGCGGGCAGCGGACGCGACGCGCGGGGCTGCAGCGCGACGCGCGGGCAGCGGACGCGACGCGCGGGGCTGCAGCGCGACGCGCGGGCTGTGGGCGCGACGCACGGGGCTGCAGCGCGACGCGCGGGCTGTGGGCGCGACGCGCGGGGCAGCGACCTGGCGGGGCGGCGCCCTGGCCTGACGGGCCTGCAGGGGCGGCTCGCAGGCGTGACGTGTCTGTAGGTGCGGCGCGTGGGCCTTACGGGCCTGCAGGGGCGGCGTTCTGGCCTAGGGCAGCAGTAGGCAGCACGAGGGCTGCAGGACGGCGCGCGCAGCGCAGCACGTCACAAGGCAAGGCAGGCAGGCAGGCCAACACGTGGGGTAACGCGGTAACCGCAACGGTAGGTGGGCCCGAAAAAAAAAAACGGTCCTACGGACCTAGTGCTCTGAAACCATGTCAGAATCTAGCAGCAGGAATGATTGAACTATGAAAGAGTTGGGTACAAGTATGAAACCCTAAAAGGGGCTGTACCCCATATTGGCTACCCCACGACAGCCTACGCATATATAGCATGCATATACTTTGACAGGGTGCAGCTACTCCTGCTATCTTCCCTCAGACAGTGGGGGTAGCTCCCAGCACACAGCTCACGCAACTGCCTGGCATAGGAGGCTTTGGTGTACAAGGCACAATCGATAGGCAGCAACTTCGAACCAGGGCACATTCTGCTCTCCCAACCCAACTCCACCACTCTCGGCGAATCAGATTTGGAGCCTAAGGACCAAGACTGAACATCCGTCACGAAGGTCTCGCTCAGCAGCAATTTCGAACCAGGGTTTTCTCTGCTGGATCCCAACCTTTTTACAAGGCACGGCAAGGCAGGCTCGGAGCCAATTCTTCCAAGCTGAAGCGACAGATACAGAACCTGGAGCCTACCGAGGCGTTTCTGCCAGAGCTGAAGTGTGCCAATGGCACAAAGGGGTTTTGCAGTGGGCAAGTTGATTTTTTTAGGCGTTTGGTCTATAAGCCTCCTTAGATCTCTGCGAGGGTACGGTATACACTACCTATGCCCTCTAGCTCCGGTTTCGACCGACGGTGTTTTGCGTTGTACGGTGTATAATGCATTTTCACCTACCAAAAAAAAAAAAAAAAAAATTGCAGCAGCTGCCCATATTGACCCACTTCAGTTGAATATATTGAAGGTAAATTTAAACTTGAATTTGAATGGAAGGCTTTCTTCGTCTTCCATGTTTTGTTCTTCGACACTGTCGAGACATCCTCGATACTTCTTCAGGTTGTGGAGAATTTTTCATTCGTTCGGGAAGATTGAGTTAAACGATACTTATTCTCTTTGAGAATACATCAATAAAGAGCCATGACAGGAGAAGCAAAATGTGAGCCGCTCTGCAGCTGCCTGTTAGAAAGCTTGGCTGTGGATTCGAGTCGCACGAAGTAAGATTTCCGTCCTTCACGCAAAAAATACATATTCCTAGAGCAAATACTACGCGTGCATCATCTCTCATCTTTTCACGGCCTAGCGATCACGTCGACCTCTGTTTGAAGCCAACCGACCTTCTGAGTCTACCCTTCATGTTATTAGTAGTTATTACCGTTGACCGTTGCTCGTCGATTCACACGTGACTGCGTTTGCGAATTTAAGTTGTAAGACGCCTGCGAGCATGGCCAGTACTGAGGCCGTGAATTTCGATGTTAACGCGGCGTTGCATCATGACATCACAGCTGCTCACGAGCGCGAATCCGCGTCTGACATCTGTCGCTTGCCGTTCGAGGTACGGCATTCCACACGCTCCAGAAGCTGGTTACCACTCGTGTTAAAATTGTTGACATTTTTTTTTTTCCCCTGAAGGATATCGTGAAGCGTATTGTGCATCTTGGACCCAGGCTGAAAATTATAAAGCTAACGACGTCGTTACAACACTTCCCCTGCCATAGGAAGTTATCGCATTCAATAATATAATTGTTTCTGAGGCGCCTTAAGAATGATACCACCGCTCTTGATTTCTTTCCATCCTACGTCTCCCCTCTCTGCAGTTGCTGGCTCGTGTTTTGGCTCATCTGTCATTGGCTGATAGGGCGCACGCCGCCATGTCATGCTCCCTCATGCACCACGCTGTCAACAGGTGAGATAAGTGCCATGCTGGCTGGCAACATGTGCGGTAAGTGCCATGCTGGCACCCGCTTGCGTAAGTGCCACGCTGGCAACAGATACTACTTGCCATGTCATCCTTCCACCCAAAACGCTTTAATTTCCAGCAGAGCTTGCTATATGTGTCTCCTTCGCTCCGATTCCCCATCAGCCCGTCAACCTAAATCTGACAGCACTCTGATGTTTGTCTTTCCATGTAGCACCTCGGTATACCATCCCTCCCCTCCCTCTTTTCCCCTCTTTTCCCCCTCCCCTCTCTCCCAGTCTGCTCCCTACCCTGCCCTTCCTCCACCTCAAGGCCGGAAGCCCCTGCCTCAATGACGCTGCATTCACTGCGCTCTGTCCCTCTCTCTCCTCCCTCCATTTTTCCCTTCCCTCCTCCATTCCAGTCTGCTCCCTACCCTGCCCTTTCTCGACCTCAAGGCGGGAAGCCCCTGCCTCAGTAATACTGCATTCACTGCACTCTGTCCCTCTCTCCCCTCTTTCTCTTTTCCACATCCTCTCAATTCGTCTCTCAGTCTACTCCCTGCCTTGACATTTCTTGACCTCAAGGCCGGAAGCCCCTGCCTCAATGACGCTGCATTCACTGCGCTCTGCAGCAGACTGGGGGCTGCTGGGATTGGGGATGGTGGGGAGCGGTGCTCGGTGGGGGGTGCTGGGATCGAGGAGGGTGGGGGAGGAGCGGAAGGCAAGGAGGGGATGGGGAAGAGAGGAGCAGGGAGGAAGAGGGGGAGGGCAGAGGAGGAGGAGGAACGGCGGAAGGGTAAAGGAAAGGATGAGAATGAGAATGAGAATCAGGATCGTGGTGTGGAGACCGGGGGCGTCAGAGAAAATACGGCTGGTGGGAGACAGTGCTCCTTGCAGCGACTAGAACTGGTGAGCGAGTGTTGTTTTCCAGTCAGCAGACTGTGCTAGCCCAGCCATGTAGACTGTGTTTTTACCTTTTTTTTACGTCTCAACAAAGCGTTTTTTTCTAGTCAACAGCTGTGGAGCCTATATCATTCTTTTCTCGCTTTTTGATGTTCTTTCTCCTCCACCCATTCACTTAAGAAAGAAACTGGGAACAGCATAATCGTTGCTCTCCCCCTTCCGTTTGTGTGGTTTCACTTCATCCGTACTAAGCCCTTGCACCCTTGTGGTTTTTTACAGAACCCTACGTAAACTAGCTAGGTTTTTCTACTACTGTTTTCTCCTTTGCTAAACCTTCTCCTTTGAAACTTCTGCTTGCTGGAATGTCTAATAATCCGTTTGTGTGGTTCCACTTCATCCGTACCAAGCCCTTGCAAATTTTGAGGCGCCTCAAAAGTCGTTTGTGTGGTTCCACTTCATCCGTACTAAGCCCTTGCACCCTTGTGGTTTTTTTGTTTGTAAACCCCTCTCCCTGCGGCCAGGACTGTTGGCATCTGAATGACAGGTGCACATCCGTACTACCGGAGAGCATAGAGGAGCTGGCGCTGTGTGGCGCAGACAGGCACACAGACGCGCTCATTCACAGTGAGTGTAGCTGACTCAGGAGATGCCTCGCAATTCTCTTGTGTGGCGCAGACAGGCACACAGATGCGCTCATTCACAGTGAGTGTAGCTGACTCAGGAGATGCCTCGCAATTCTCTTGTGTGGCGCAGACAGGCACACAGACGCGCTCATTCACAGTGAGTGTAGCTGACTCAGGAGATGCCTCGCAATTCTCTTGTGTGGCGCAGACAGGCACACAGACGCGCTCATTCACAGTGAGTGTAGCTGACTCAGGAGATGCCTCACAATTCCCTTGTGTGGCGCAGACAGGCACACAGACGCGCTCATTCACAGTGAGTGTAGCTGACTCAGGAGATGCCTCACAATTCCCTTGTGTGGCGCAGACAGGCACACAGACGCGCTCATTCACAGTGAGTGTAGCTGACTCAGGAGATGCCTCGCAATTCTCTTGTGTGGCACAGACAGGCACACAGACGCGCTCATTCACAGTGAGTGTAGCTGACTCAGGAGATGCCTCGCAATTCTCTTGTGTGGCGCAGACAGGCACACAGACGCGCTCATTCACAGTGAGTGTAGCTGACTCAGGAGATGCCTCGCAATTCTCTTGTGTGGCGCAGACAGGCACACAGACGCGCTCATTCACAGTGAGTGTAGCTGACTCAGGAGATGCCTCGCAATTCTCTTGTGTGGCGCAGACAGGCACACAGACGCGCTCATTCACAGTGAGTGTAGCTGACTCAGGAGATGCCTCGCAATTCTCTTGTGTGGCGCAGACAGGCACACAGACGCGCTCATTCACAGTGAGTGTAGCTGACTCAGGAGATGCCTCGCAATTCTCTTGTGTGGCACAGACAGGCACACGGACGCGCTCATTCACAGTGAGTGTAGCTGACTCAGGAGATGCCTCGCAATTCTCTTGTGTGGCGCAGACAGGCACACGGACGCGCTCATTCACAGTGAGTGTAGCTGACTCAGGAGATGCCTCGCAATTCTCTTGTGTGGCGCAGACAGGCACACAGACGCGCTCATTCACAGTGAGTTCATTTTACTGTAATATACACAGGCGTCCATTCCGGTTTATTTTCTCACAAGTACTCTTCCTTCTCATAACTCTGTCGGGTGTGTTAAGTCGATTTTGAGTCGACTCAAAATTCGACTTAACACTCTTTTCACACTTTTGAGTCGACTCAATAGTCTCTTCCGGTTTATTTTCTCACAAGTACTCTTTCTACTCATAACTCTGTCGGTTCTTCAATCTGCCGGCCCAGGCACCCTCATTTTCGTGCTTTTCCACATTCCTCTAGCCATCACTCCCTCTCTCCCCAAGCCTAACGGACAGGCTCGACCCAAACCTAACCAATTACTTCTTTTCTGGCTTCACCTAGTCCACAGGTTCAAACTCCTTTGTCTCCTTGCTCTCCGTGTCTCTCCTTTTCTCCCAGGCCTGGCGGCCAGGCTCGGCCCAAACCTGACAAAATTCGCCTTCTCCGGCTTCAGCCGGTCCATAGGCTCGGACCCCTTCGTCTCGCTTCTCTCCGTGTCCTCTCGCCTCGTGTCTCTCGCCATCGATGGGGGGGAAGGGCTGGATGTGGATACTATCGTGATATTTGCGGGGAGGAACTGTCCCATGCTGAGAGAGCTCAGTGTCTATGACATATCAATGGTGAGTTGGAGAATTTTCAGGTCGTTGCTGCAGTCTAGTCATCATAAAGGCAGTATTGTATAGGTCCTCAGTTGAAATTTAGCCCTGCATGCGATCTAAGGCTAATCGCCAACGAAGACCAACATTGGCCAAACCTAAGCGCATCATCTTAGCCTGATTGTTGAATAGGGCGTAGCATTGGCCACACCATAGACGGTATTAAACCCACCTCTCGAAGTAGGTTGGGTTTCGGCTCTAGGGGCGGCACTTTTGCTCGGGCAAGGAGTGTGTTGTTTTTCCGGAGTGTTTCCAAGAAAACCACAGAAAATATTTCCATAGCGGTGCTTTGTAAGCTTTCGGTTACCCTAAACGGCTGCATTCAATCAACCGAGTTCACCCTTTCGGGGTGTTTCTTAGACTAGGCAAAAACGTCATTCTTTTTACTTGGGGCTAAGGTTTATCATTTGCCTCCGGTCCAGTTTGCATCAGCAGTTTTCCTTTGCGTGTACTTGCGTACAAAACATTGTGGTTCCGTCACGGAAATTTGCTTTTCGTCAACCCCCAACACACTCGAACGTGTACCGTCGTTAATGAAGCGAACGAGTGCTCACGAAGCACCTTTTTGCACATGTCTAGGTTGGCCTCGCATGCACGCACGCCTACTCGCCAAGTGTTGGAAAATTGGTACTTGTTGAGACCTATTATCAAGTATGGCTGTAGTCAACGCCTTTAGGCAGTCGATCGCACATGTATGCCGCCGCCCGCAGTCTGCCCTCCAGAGCGTCGGTCGACGTGGGTTGGCAGGGGGTTTGCACCAGCAAAAAAATGCCCGTACGAATGTATTACCCACGGAACCGTACATGTCATTTGAGCAGCATGCAGTCCTAGAGAACATAGATAGGCTCTAATCAACTAATGAAAGAGGTTGCCACAGCGACCGGCATGCTCTAGCAAGACCTAGCTCGAAAGAGATCCATAGGAGCCTATCTATGCTCTCTAAGACTGGTTGCTGCTCAGATAACCTGTACGGTATCATGGGTAATACATCCATATCAGCTATTGTTGCTGGTGCAAACCCCCTTCCAAGTTCCAGCCCCTTGGGAGATGTCGACCAACGTCCTAGAGGGAAGACTGCACGCGACATGCATGTGCAATCGACGTTGATGGACATTGCCTAAATCTGCTGAGTTCAGTTCAGCCATACATAGTGAAAAATTTCAACGGGTACTGATTCTCCAACACTTGGCGTTTAGGCGTGCGTACATGCGAGACCCACCTAGACATGTGCAAAACGAATCTTCGTGTGCCCTCTTTTGCTTTGTTAGCGAGGATACACTTTTGGATAGGTTGAGGGTTGACAAAAAACAAGTTTCCTTGACAAAGCCAGAGTATTCTGCAGAAAAGCACACCGGAAGGAAAATTACCGATCCAAACTGTACCAGAGACAAGTGATAGACCTTTGTTCCGCTTGATTCATACACACCTTTCCTTCCCAGCACACCAGATACACCCCGTCTGTCCCCAACTCCCCTCACACACCAAGGAACGTTGATCCACCTGTTCAGTTGTCCCCTGGCCCGCTTCACGCGCTTTCAGCACAAGAGTCGGTGAGCGACACCCTCTTCTTGATTGATTGGATACACCCCTCCCACCCCCACTCCCACCCCCACCCCCACCCCTCTCCCCTCCGGTCCCCACCCAGGTGACACTGGACTACCTGGCCAGTTGCCACCTGCCCCATCTCACCCGCTTTCAGCACAAGAGTCGGTGAGCGATGCCCTCTTCTTGATTGATTGGATACACCCCTCCCACCCCCACCCCACCCCACTCTCCCCTCCGGTCCCCACCCAGGTGACACTGGACTACCTAGCCAGTTGCCACCTGCCCCATCTCACCCGCTTCCGGCACAAGAGGCGGCACGAGCGGGGCGTGGGGGTGAGCGACTCGCTGCTGCTACGGCTGATGCTGCTCTGGCCGGGGCTGGAGGAGCTGGTGCTGGTGGATAAGGCAGCAGAGGGCGTGGGGCAAGGGAGAGCAGAAGAGGTGAGTCAGGCTGGTTGGTCGTATATTTTTTACATGAGTGATGTCTGGGAGTGAGTGAGTGATCCAGTGCTGCTGCTGCTACGGCTCGTGCTGCTCTGGCCTGGGCTGGAGGAGCTGGTGCTGGTGGATAAGGCAGCAGAGGGCGTGGGGCAAGGGAGAGCAGAAGAGGTGAGTCAGGCTGGTTGGTTGTATAGGTGTGGCGAGAGTGGGGTGTGGTGTGGGGTGGGTGAGTGATGCAGTGCTGCTGCTACGGCTCGTGCTGCTGTGGCCTCGCCTGGAGGAGCTGGTGCTGGTGGATAAGGCAGCAGAGGGCGTGGGGCAAGGGAGAGGAGACGAAGTGAGTGGGTGGGGTGGGGATGAGGGTGGCTGGAAAATGTTCAGGCAAAAGTGTGGGATTAGTGAGTGAGTGAGCTAGTGAGTGAGTGAGTGAGTGAGTGAGCGAGTGAGTGAGTGAGTGAGTGAGTGATTGTGATTGCGTGGGTGAGCGTGTGATTGAGTGGGTGAGTGAGTGAGTGAGTGTGTGCTGTGTGCATGTGTGTTTTGACTTATTTCAGAGACGCCTCGTGATCTGTTCTCTCCAAGCAGCTCTTAGAAAACAGGTGCTTTCCCTCCCTCCCTCCCTCCCTCCCTCCCTCCCTCTCTCCCTCCCTCCCTCCCTCCCTCCCTCCCTCCCTCCCTCCCTCCCTCCCTCCCTCCCTCCCTCCCTCCCTCCCTCCCTCCCTCCCTCCCTCCCTCCCTCCCTCTCTCCCACCCCCCCTCCCTCACCACTCCACCCAACAGGCCCTCACAGGCACGGGGCACCTCATGCTGACCACGTGTGCAGCATCACTCACATCCCTCACTCTGTACCTTCCATCCTTCCCTCTCTCCCTCCCTGCCCCACCTCGCCATCCAGCAGGCCCTTTCAGACACGGGTCTCCTCATACTCACCACCTGGGCTTCTTCACTCACATCCCTCACTCCCACCCTTCCCTGCTTACCCCTTTCCCTGTCTCCCTTCCCGCCTCTCCATATGCACTTTCATATCCACCCACCCATCAGGCCCTCACAGACACCGGTCTCCTCATGCTCACCACCTGGGCTTCTTCACTCACATCCCTCACTCCCACCCTTCCCTGCTTACCCCTTTCCCTGTCTCCCTTCCCGCCTCTCCATATGCACTTTCATATCCACCCACCCAGCAGGCCCTCACAGACACCGGTCTCCTCATGCTCACCACCTGGGCTTCTTCATTCACATCCCTCACTCTGACCCTTCCCTCCCTTTCTGCCTCTCCCCATGCTCAATTCTGTGTCCACGCCACCCACCAGGCCCTCACAGACACAGGTCTCCTCATGCTAACCACCTGGGCTTCTTCACTCACATCCCTCACTCTGAGCCTTCCCTCCCTCTCCGCCTCAAAACGCTGCTCTGAAGTAGCTCTTATGCAAGGTGAGCGCGGTTCAGTGCGGTGGAGTGTGGTGGCAATGCAGTTCATCGGTCTGCCAGGGGTGAGAACGAGTCCAGTGGAGAGCGGTGGAGAGCGGTGGAGAGTGGCGTCAACATGCATTCGAGTGGGACCTTTTGTGTGGTGAATCCACATGGGTGATACCACGAATTTATTTTTGAGTCGACTCAACAGGTGATGCCACGAATTTATGCATACAATACGAGTGCCTTTGGACCTCTCTCCATCAATGTCGCCCTTCAGTGTCGATCCCAAGTTCCAACCCCCACCTTCCTCATCTTCCGTCTTCCATCACTGGCCACTCGTCGACATATTAACACAGTGGCCAGTGCGTGCACCAGTCTCACCCACCTCGACCTCTCCAACCTCTGAGTCGACTCAAAAGTCTCCTCCCCCCTTCTCGCCCCACCACAGTGGCCAGTGTCCGACCCACCTCTGCACGAGTTTGAGTTTGTGAATCAAGTGGTATCCCATCTCCCATCTTCCACCCGCAACCCCCAACAGTGGCCAGTGCGTGCACCAGTCTCACTCACCTCGACCTCTCCAACTTCAGATGCATGTCTGACCCGCCTCTGCACGAATTCGTTTCTGTAAGTCGATCGGAACACCTTTGCCGTTCTGTGAAATGCATACTGTTATTAAGCACTTCCTTGGGTGTTTCCCCAGGAATCGTTTGTTAAATCTGTTTTCACAACCTTGTGACACTGCCTGTGAGTAAAAGACGTTTGATGCATCTCGAGCCGTCTCAAAAGAAGTGTAAACAATGTGCACCAGATCAAATCCTCCATGAGTACATGCTGAAGCAACTGAACTTCAGACGTCCCTTTCCAGCTTCATGCGGCACGTGGCTCTTCTACTGTCTCCCTTGCACCCTCCCTTTCCTTTTTCACCTTGGCAACGATCTTTGAGACATGTTATAACTGTCTCGTTTGCACCCTCCCGTCCCCCTTTTTTTTTTGGCAGCGATTTCTTAGGAACCTGAAAATTCCTCGCTATCCCCTTGGGCAGTTCTGCCTTTCTCTTGTTAGCACTTAATCACAGATACCTCGTTGGGTCTTATTATTTAACTAAATCTTGTTCTAATCCCATCCCACACTGCCCCTCGCTCGCCCATCTCTCCCTCGCGGGTGCAACCATCACCTATGACCTTGGATCCTTGGATCTCATAGCCTCGCACTGCCTTCTTCCCCTCATTTGACTTTTGAGTCGACTCAAAAGTCTCCTTGGATCTCATAGCCTCGCACTGCCTTCTTCCCCACATTTGACTTTTGAGTCGACTCAAAAGTCTCCTTGGATCTCATGGCCTCGCACTGCCTTCTTCCCCACATTTGACTTTTGAGTCGACTCAAAAGTCTCCTTGGATCTCATAGCCTCGCACTGCCTTCTTCCCCACATTTGACTTTTGAGTCGACTCAAAAGTCTCCTTGGATCTCATAGCCTCGCACTGCCTTCTTCCCCACATTTGACTTTTGAGTCGACTCAAAAGTCTCCTTGGATCTCATAGCCTCGCACTGCCTTCTTCCCCACATTTGACTTTTGAGTCGACTCAAAAGTCTCCTTGGATCTCATAGCCTCGCACTGCCTTCTTCCCCACATTTGACTTTTGAGTCGACTCAAAAGTCTCCTTGGATCTCATAGCCTCGCACTGCCTTCTTCCCCACATTTGACTTTTGAGTCGACTCAAAAGTCTCCTTGGATGTCATAGCCTCGCACTGCCTTCTTCCCCACATTTGACTTTTGAGTCGACTCAAAAGTCTCCTTGGATCTCATAGCCTCGCACTGCCTTCTTCCCCACATTTGACTTTTGAGTCGACGCAAAAGTCTCCTTGGATCTCATAGCCTCGCACTGCCTTCTTCCCCACATTTGACTTTTGAGTCGACTCAAAAGTCTCCTTGGATCTCATGGCCTCGCACTGCCTTCTTCCCCACATTTGACTTTTGAGTCGACTCAAAAGTCTCCTTGGATCTCATAGCCTCGCACTGCCTTCTTCCCCACATTTGACTTTTGAGTCGACTCAAAAGTCTCCTTGGATCTCATAGCCTCGCACTGCCTTCTTCCCCACATTTGACTTTTGAGTCGACTCAAAAGTCTCCTTGGATCTCATAGCCTCGCACTGCCTTCTTCCCCACATTTGACTTTTGAGTCGACGCAAAAGTCTCCTTGGATCTCATAGCCTCGCACTGCCTTCTTCCCCACATTTGACTTTTGAGTCGACTCAAAAGTCTCCTTGGATCTCATAGCCTCGCACTGCCTTCTTCCCCACATTTTCGCCTCTTTTTCTCTCTCTCTCCTGTTTTCTCTTTCCCACTCCCAGCGCTGCCCATCCCTCGCTCATCTCTCCCTCGCTGGTGCACCCATCACGGATGCCTCCTTGGATCTCATTCCTTCTCTCTGCCACCATTGCGCTCCCCTCTATTCTCCTGTTCCCACCCCCCCACTGTCAGCGCTGCCCCTCGCTCGCCCATCTCTCTCTAGCCGGGGCACCCATCACCGATGCCTCCTTGCACCTCATAGCCTCGCACTTCCCCCTTTGCGCTCCTGTTGTTCCTCTTATCCCATTCCCCACTGTCAGCGCTGCCCCGCGCTCGCCCATCTCTCCCTAGCCGGTGCGCCCATCACCGATGCCTCCCTGGACCTCATAGCCTCGCACTGCCCCAACCTCCAATCCCTTTCCATCAAGTGCTGTCGCAAGGTGAGGTCGGGGCGAGGTTACTGAGGTATGAGGTGGGGTGAAAGAGCACGGATCAGAGCAAGCATGCCTCCTTGGACCTCATAGCCTCGCACTGCCCCAACCGCCAGTCCCTTTCCATCAAGTGCTGCCGCAAGGTGAGTTCAGGTCCACCCCATTCGCCTCTGACCACCCCCAACCGCCTCTCACCGCCTCTCACCGCCTCTCACCGCCTCTCGCTACTTGAACAAGTGGCCAAAACCCTACTCATCTGTTCATTCCTCCTTTCGCCTCTCCTGCTGCTTCCCCCAGCTGCTTGAGCCAGGTGTCAGCGCATTGGCTCGCTGCACTCGGTTGCAATCACTCAACGCTGCTCTGGTGCCCGGGGTAACTGACGTCTCTGCCCCGCTCCTGTTCCAAGGAGCCACAGCGCTCAAAACCCTGGTGAGAGAAACGTCATATTTCTGGCAAAAGAAACCTTTTATTCATCTCACATGAGGGATTCCTCTACTCTTTACTTCCACTGTCTGTTCTGCACTGTATTTACTGAATTCATCGTCCTTCATCTCTCAAATTGTTTCCCCCTCCTATGCCCACCCGTCTCCTCCTCATCCCATCACTTGCCGAACCAGAGCTCGCTAACCCCCCTTGTTATTCTAATACTCTGTTGTTACTTTCCTGTTATCTCTCTTCACTCCCCCCTCGTCCCATCAGGTGCTGAACCAGAGATCGCTAACAGACACCTCGTTAATGTCACTCTCTATTCTTGCTTTCGTACTATCACTTTCTAAGCCATTGTCAGTTTTTGCTATCTCTCCTCACCTCCCCCCCGTCCCATCAGGTGCTGAACCAGAGCCCAGTACCAGACACCTCGTTATTGTCACTCTCTATTCTCAATTTATATTATCTCTTTTTATTGTCACTCTCTGTTGCCTCTCCTTATCTTCCCCCTCGTGCCATCAGGTGCTGAACCAGAGCCCGCTACCAGACATCTCGTTATTGTCACTCTCCACTCATTGTCACGGTCTGGAGGAGCTGGCACTGCATGGCTGCCCCAGGCTCACCAATGAGGTACGGTACCTACATGCGGGGGAATGGGAGGGGTAAAGGGGGGGTAGGAATCAAAATACGGGTATGCCTGATTATTAGAACTCACCGGCACCACAGAGGGCTTGTTCACTGTCACTCGCCTCTCATTGTCACTCGCCTCTCATTGTCACTCGCCTCTCATTGTCACTCGCCTCTCATTGTCACTCGCCTCTCATTGTCACTCGCCTCTCATTGTCACTCGCCTCTCATTGTCACTCGCCTCTCATTGTCACTCGCCTCTCATTGTCACGGTCTGGAGGAGCTGGCATTGCACGGATGGCCCAGGCCCACCAAACGAAGTACGATAGCTTAAAGAGGGACGGGAGGGGGAGGAGGAGAGAGGTTGGGAATGATAGAATTGGAACTTAACTGATTGATTGATAAGGAAGGCACGAGGCCTTAAGTACAAACACGGTTGGGTTGAGCAAAGCTAGGGAAAGGATGGGATGGGAATCCTAGCAAATCTCCAATTGGTGAGTTGGCAGATTTGCAGGATTACGAGGGAATCCCAACCAGATAGGGTTGGGATTACAAATCTACACCCAACCTACAAAGTAACCTAACCGATATAGAATATAGTACAAAGGGTTGACTGACTATTTCTAACACACCCTCTAGGCTGACAACACTTCAGCCACATGGCGGTCCAACACCCATGGACGAGAGGAGGCGGTAGTGGTCTTGACGAACAAGAGACTTGGTAAACAAGTCAGCAAGGTTGCAGTCGGAGGCAATGTGTTCTGCCTTCAGCTGCTCGCGCTGCACCAGCTCACGAAGAAAGTAGTGACGGACTTCAATGTGCTTGGTGCGGCCGTGGAAGACGGGGTCCTTGGTGAGATGAATGGTGCTCTCGTTGTCACACCAAAGCGTTGGGGCTGGTTGAGGATACCCAAGTTCTGCCAGCAAGAAGGAGAGCCAACGGGCCTCCTGGGCAGCCATGGTCCCTGCATACAGCTCTGCCTCACAGGTCGACAGTGAGACGGAAGACGACCGAGTGGAGCGGCTCGTGAAGCGACCAGGTGCAACGTAGCGAGACAGGACACTGACTGGATAGGCCAAGTCTGGTCGAGTGCACATCATCGCGTACATGAGGGAACCAACGAGCTCGGGGTAAGCCTCATCGCAGGGCTCAGGTGAGGGAACAGAGGGTGCAGTGAGTTGGTGCTGCAGAGAGAGTGGGGTGGGCATTGAAGCTGCTTCCTGCATCTTGAACCTTGTCAGAACGTTGTTGATGTAGAACTTCTGCGAGAGGGTGATGGTGCGGGCCGTGCGATCACGTGTAATTTCCATGCCCAGATAGTTCGTCAGCTTCCCAAGATCCTTCATGGCCAGCTTCTCACCAAGTGCGGCTTTGACTGCTGCCAGCTCAGTCTGATCCTTGGTGACAAGGATCATGTCATCGACATAAACCAAGATGAAGAAGCGGGATGGTGTTGCTCGAATGAAGAGGCTGGGGTCAGAGGTGGATGGGTGAAAGTCGAGGGACCCTAAGGTGCTCTTGAGCTTGTTGTGCCATTCCCGGGGTGCTTGCTTTAGGCCACATACTGGTCGATTCAGCTTCCATACAGTGCCTGGTGGAAAAGGAGCTGGAAATCCTTCGGGCCGCTCCATGTAGATTTCCTCTCGAAGGATCCCTTGCAGAAACGCAGAAGACACATCCATGCAGTCAACCTCCATGTCATCTCGAGCGGCCACATCGAGAAGGGTGCGCAGTGTGGGAGGTTTGGCAGTGGGAGAGAATGTCTCAAAGAAGTCCAGTCCACGCTTTTGGGTAAATCCCTTGGCACAGTACCGGGCTTTGAAGACATGAAATTCGCCTGGAAGTTGTTTCACCCGGAAAACCCATTTTCCCTTCACAATGTTGACGCCGGAGGGAGGAATGATATCTGTGAAAGTCCCTGTGTGAATGAAGGCCTCACACTCTGCGATAATGGCCCCTATCCACTGAGCGGAGTTAGGACCAGAAACTGCTTCAGCATAGGTGAGAGGTGTGGGGATGGAGGGGTTGTCTGAGAAGTTGAGGGTGGGAGATTCTGCGATATCTGGAAAGAGAGAGCAGAGCGCGTGTATGGCTGAGTCAATGTCAATCAGCTCCTCATGTCTGTCCTCAAGAAGGGAGGGCATGAGCGAATAATCACCCCCGACAGGAGGAGGATTGAGAGAGACACGAATGGAAAGGGAAAGAGGCTTGGGAGCTTTGTGCGAGCGGGTGCGACCAGCGATGGGGGAGGGAGGCGGAGCTGGAGGAGGAGAAGCAGGAAGTGTAGTGGCAGCATCAGGTGCAGCAGCTGAGTCGGGAGCAGGAGCCAGATCAGGAGTAGGAGGTGGAGCAGGAGCAGGAGCAGGAGGACGGCGTTGGTAGGTTTTGAGAGGAATGGACTCGGGGGCGGGAAGGAGCGGGGGAGACTGCGTGGTGCTGGATGGGGAAGCGGGTGATGGGGGGTCGGAAACTGTGGAGGGAGCGGGAAGAGGAGGAGATGGAGTGGTGGCAGGAGGAAGGATGTCAAAGTCAGCCCATGTTAGAGAAAGAGGAGGAGGAGGAGAAACTGTGGAGGAGGGGTAGTATGGGTGGGATTCATCTCGGCTGCGATAGAGTTTGTTGGTGGTAGGATGGAGGAAGAGGTAGTCTGGTGAGTCCAAGTTGTGCCCGAGGTACACGCACGTGATTGTTTTCGGAGCAAGCTTGCCGCCAGCTGCACGACGGGCTTGGGAGTTCAGGAGGACATAGGAAGTGCACCCCCATACACGGAGAGGGCGGACGGACGGCTTTTGACCCGTCCACAGCTCTGCGGGGGTGGTGTGGGTGTGGTGAGGATGAGGATGGAGATTGTGGAGGGCGGCAGCATGGAGCATGGCGTATCCCCAAAGAGAGGGAGGGGCGGAAGCATGAGTGAGGAGGCAGCGAACAATCTGCACCAGGATGCGGTTTCGGCTTTCAGCAACACCGTTCTGTTGAGGGCTGTCTGGGAGAGTGAAGGTCTGTTGGATACCCTCAGTAGAGCAGAAAGCTTTGAGAGTGTTGTTGCGGAATTCACCGCCACCGTCAGAGTGAAGAATCTTGATTTTGGTTTTGAAGTGTGAATGAGCCTGCCTGGCCCATTCCATGATGATGGCTGGGGCTTCAGACTTGGCGGTGAGAAGGTGAATGGACACATAGCGGGAATAGTCATCAACGATGACAAGGAAGTAGAAGTGTCCGCCACGGGAACGAACAGGAGCTGGACCCCAAAGGTCCATGTGTACGCGATCGAGAGGTGCGGTAGAGATGGACTCAGTGGGAGGATGGGGCTGTTCCCGAAGCTTGCTCTGTGCACAGTCAAGGCAAGGCGGTCCAGAAAGAGAGGGGGGTTGTGGAAGTGTGGCGGGCAGTCCATGTAGGAGTTGCTTGGTGGCAAGGTCGGAAAGTGCGCGGAAGTTGATGTGGCCGAGGCGGTTATGAAATAGCATAGTCTTGTCAGTGAGGAGGCGGCAGTGACATGAGGGGGAGTCTGAGGATGGAAGCGGAAGGTTGGTGAGGGAGCATGTTTGAACGGGAGGTACAACTAGTGTGTACAAGTTGTTGGAGTTGAGGGTGAAGCGGGCAAGATGGAGTCCGGTTTTGGCGTCAAACATGTCACAGTAGTCAACATCATTGGGAAAGATGGTGATCACGCCTGCGTGTTGGAATTCCCGCTGTGCAAGAAGGTTGCAGCGGAGGGTTGGGGCACAGATGCCAGTGACGGTGCCAGATGGGAATGCTGGACAGGAAACTGTGGAGGAGCCATGGCATTGGATGGAGAAGCTAGAATCTGCTCCAAGGAGTGAGGTGGGAGCCTGATAGGGAACGAAGGCGGTTTGGTCTTTAAGCACTGTGTGGGTGGCACCACTGTCTAGTATGAACTCGATTCCCTGTGTGGTTGAAACACCGATGTACTGCGACCCCTTCTCATTAATAAGACCAGCACCAGAGAACAACAGGTTAAGGCGAACATCAGATGGGGCGCTAGCAAATGCCTGAGCAGGTTCCTCCACTGCCTCGACCTGGTTCACGCGACGGGGTGGTGCCCAGTTGGGAGGGCGCTTGTCCTTGGAGACACCATGGACGTCATACCACTCGTCATCTCGCTTCTTGAAGCAAGTGGCCTGAGGGTGGTTGGTGCCGTTGCATTTCTGCCCCGCACGTGGACCCTTCCTAATGAGGTACTGGCATGGGGGAAAGGAGTTGCGCCTCTGGCCCTGCTGGGAACGGAATGGAATGCCAGGGGAGTAGCGCACAGCATTGACTGATGCCTGAGCTGCAAGGTCCTTTTCCTCAGAGAGAAGGGCCGAAGCGACTTTCTCGAAGGTGAGTTCCTTGGTGGGGAGCTGCTTGAGCA